AGGAGAAGAGCTCCAGGTGAGCTGGTTTGCATCCCGGTTGCAAGGTTTGCATTTGGGTTTCCAGGTTTGCATTACGGTTGATAAGGTTTGCCCACTGGGCTGGTGATGCTGCTGCTGCTGTGCTGGGGACGACGAGTGGGAGTAGTCTGGCGAGCTGGGCGTTGAAGGGCGTGGGGATGGAGGAGAAGAGCTCCAGGTGAGCTGGTTTGCATCCCGGTTGCAAGGTTTGCATTACGGTTGATCAGGTTTGCCCACTGGGCTGCTGCTGCTTCTGCTGCTCCGGCGGCGACGAGTGGGAGCAGTTTGGCGAGCTGGGCGCTGAAGGGCGTGGGGATGGAGGAGAAGAGCTCCAGGTGAGCTGGAGGGGACTAGGTCAGCTGGAGGGGTCAAGTTGAGTGCGAGGAAGAAGGCTATGGGTTCTGAGCGCCCCTCAGTCTCAGCTGCCAGTTCAGTCCGGAAGCCCGGCTCTTTTCCTCAACTCTTACCGCCAGCTCAATTCAGTCCAGAAGGGCTGAGCGCCCTTGCTCTTCTCCTTCCTCTCTCTTTGCCCCCTCTTAACCCCACTCTCTCCTTGCCCCTTGTTTCCCTCCCTCTCCCTCCGCGTTCCCTTCTTCCCCTTTCAGCTCTGAGCGCCCCTCAGTCTCAGCGGCCAGTTCAGGCCAGAAGGGTCGGCGGCTCTTTGTCTTCATCGTGGGCGGCATGAGTCGGTCTGAGGTGAGGGGAATGGGGTGCGGTGCAACGTGGTGGGGCGGGATTGCATGCGGTGGTGTGGGGTGTGATGCGGCGGGATGGTACATCTCATCCATCTCAATATGTAACAGCCCTATCCGGAAGGCATTAACCTCACTTGCAATCCACTCCTCCTTCTCCGTTTTGCTCTGACCCCTATACCCCATGGCTGATGCCCTATGCCCCACACTCACCCCCATGCCCCACACTCACCCCCATGCCTCACACTCACCCCCATGCCCGATTCCCACACCCATGCCATCAGATTAGATGGCTCACATGCTTTCACCTTTACCTGGCAGGAGGTTAGCATTGCTCACACTTCCTGCATCTCCTCCCTTCTCCACCGCCCCCCTCCCTCTCTCCTCCAGATTCGAGTGGCGCACATGCTCTCACAGCAGCTCAACCGGGAGGTTATCATCAGGTCAACCTCTCCCACACTTCCTGCATCTCCTCCCTGTCACCCCCATGCCCCCCCACCCTTCCACCCTCTCCTTCCCTCCGTCTTTCAGATTCGAGTGGCGCACATGCTCTCACAGCAGCTCAACCGGGAGGTCATCATCGGGTCAACGTTTCTCACACTTCCTGCATCTCCTCCCTGTCACCCCCATGCCCCCCCACCCTTCCACCCTCTCCTTCCCTCCGTCTTTCAGATTCGAGTGGCGCACATGCTCTCACAGCAGCTCAACCGGGAGGTCAGCATCGGGTCAACGTCTCTCACACTTCCTGCATCTCTTCCTGTCACCCCCATGCGCCCGCCCGTCTCTCCTCCAGATTCGAGTGGCGCACATGCTCTCACAGCAGCTCAACCGGGAGGTCATCATCGGGTCAACGTCGCTCGACACACCCAACAAATTCATCCAAGTGAGACCCCCCTGCTGCTGCTGCGGATTTGGTGAGATGAGAAGACCATTGATGTGTCGAGACAAAAGAAAAGAAGCAAAAAAACACGTCTAGCAAAGGGAGGAGCTTGCTGCAGTAAAAGGCATTTTGGAAGCTGTTTTTGCTCTCTGTGCTTCTCATTTGCTGCTGCTAATCTGCTTCCTGCAATTTTTTGCCTTGGTCCCTCACGCTATTGCTGTCTACCTCTTACCCCGGCCGTACCCCTTGCGCTCACTCATCCATGCCTCCCCTTTCTCCCCCCTTCCCCATCCCTTGTAGAAAATGAAACTCCTCAAGAGTTAATGCCATGCGTAACATGCTCAAGGATACGTTACATTCTAAAGGTCACGTGCCGTGCGTCATTACACCATGCGCACTGTTTAGGGGAAAGTCGAGGGACAAAGGAATGGCTAGGGTGTGTCAGTTGGTAAAAACTCCTTTTCCAGTCATGTCTTCATAACAACCCAACATATCTGTGACGTTTGCAGTCAGGATGCCTAGGGGCTGCTTGAAATGCTGGTAGCTTGACAAAGTCTCACCTCGTGTGGTATGATTTATGACAATACTGACTAAACGCTGCCGGGGTGTTGAATGAAAGTGTTGGTGCTCTCTCGGGGGTAACATTATGTCGGGGTTTGTTCGAGGAATCCGTACCGTAGATGAAATGTTGAGAGAAAACTTTTGCCAGTAGGTCTTGTACTCACGGGAGAAATGTACGCTTAGTGCCGAAGTAAAGTCATTTTTATGTACTAGTGTGCTTATGTTTAGCTCTTATAACTTACTACGGCTTTCACAATGCAAGAGACACCCTTACGAGCATCTCCGATATAATAAACCTCATGGTGCCCAAATTAGGCTTCAATATGAAGCTCCACAAATCGCGAACTAGGTCGTTGTCACAAGTACGGTGTAGCAAAAGCCGTTACAGACCGCTACCAGACAAAAGCAGGGAGTGGCTGCGTCGGGCTTGGTTCAGACGCAGTAGGTGTGAGAACGGACATGGGGCTCGGCCCTCCTGCAGCTTCCCTCGATACAGGCACAGCATCCTTCACCATATAGGAACATTCGTTAGCAGCGCGAAGTGGCCCCCTGAAATCCATCACAAAGTCTGGAATATCCAAAACCTCATCATAAGCCGCTGGACGAGGTTCGGAACGAGGCTCGTCACCGCGAACGGCCAATGCGACAGGTTCGGGACAAACGAGGGCGATGAGGCTCGACCAGAGGGATGACGTGTCGACAGAGCAACCGCAGGATTCGCGATATCTGCGACTCAAATTCGGCGATTGCAGGTCGAAGTCGCTGAATTCGGATCTACTCAAAATGTGCGACATAAGCTGCTGCTGCGACACATTTACAGCGTGCTCTGCGACAGGTCGCTCTGCGACAGCAGAATTCGGCTTTCTGTCGTTCACCCGACAGCCGGTAAGTGAAATGCCGTGCCCCATACCCATCCCCGCGCCCATCCCCGTATTCCTCCCCCGATAGTGCGCGCCCACAATCATCCCCCCATTCAGGCGGCTTCCGCAGATTGGCGCAGCTTCCGCCGGCTCCGGCAGCCCCGCCACTGGCGCACTGGCTCGCGGGGGCTCCGGATCGTCCCGCCAGAGCCGCCTTCTCTGTCTGTCCTGCGGCTGCGGCTGCGGCGGCGGCTCTTGCGGCGACTCTTGCGGCTGCGACGTCGGGACCGGCTTTTGGAAGAAGAAAAGCGGAGTGGGGGAAAGCGGAGGCGGAACGGTCTCCGGGATTGCGAGCATGCAGGGGCGCGGCTTGCGCCCGAGAGGGGGGTAGGGGTTGTGTGAGAAGGTGAGTGTGCTAGTAAAGAGCTCCATCTGCGTGTCGCAGTAAGGCGCCATCGCTGTGAAGGTTTCCACACGAAGGTGGCTGAAAATTTGCGGGTGGGAAATTCAGAATCAACTGGGTCAAGGTAGCAGACTATCGAGCCACCTCGAATGACGGGAAATCTTCCGGACGCAGAAGAGGAATACGGATAGAAGCTTTGAAGCGGAAAAGTGCTTTGAAATGCGTTAGGGTGATGTTGAAGTGACTTGCGTCAGGAGAACGCGCAGTGTCTGGACTGCGTCTTCCGACGGCTGTACAAAAAGGTAAAAACTGAAATGGTTGCAGTTGAACTCGAAGAATTCAACTTTTGATGACAGTGATATGTTCAGGTGGTTTAGTTGGAGGAAGGTGGTTGAGAAAGTTGTTGCCGTCAGGGCAGTGAGTGAGCTGGGGTGCAGGGTGCATTGGGCGAAGCGATCAATTCGACGCAACATGCTCGTTTCTGGGACCACCTGAACTGAACGACAAGGTGAGACGCGGAACGGAACGCGTTCCATCCAGGGGGCGGCGCGAAGTCCAGAAAGATTGGGCTTCGACATGAGGGGAACGAACAAACAAACAGAACGAACGAACGAACGAAGAAAACGAATGAACGAAGCAACGAACAAAGCGAGCTGGCTGGACTCACTGTAGCTTGTACGTCAGGGAGTGCTCGAGCCAAAATATTGCCTTGCCTAGTACTGTAGCTTGGTTTGCCTCGACGATCTCCCTCCCTCCCTCTCGAAATACCGAGTCGCAGCGGAAAATGTAAAGCAGTCAATCGACGGACATCTCAGACTCCGTTGATTGACCGCTAAGTCTCTGGCACGCGCCACTGGCGAGAGTGGTTCGCGCAGCCGAACGTTGGTACGTATACGAGCCTCTCATTGGCTGGTCGTCTGACCCAAACCAGGCTGGTTCATATGGGCTTGTCGCCACCTAGGGCGATTGGCATGCCAATCGGCCAGTGGTCTGGGGAGAGCAAGTGGTTATAGGCGTAACTTCTCCCATTGGTTCACATTCCCCCATCAGCAAGGTGAGATGAGCGACACTGTGACTGTGCTGGAGTGAAGTGGACATCGTGCCGCCTCTGGTGTGAGAAAACCCACCTGCGACGCGAGTACGGACGCCATGTGTGCTGGAAGAGAAGATCCCCCAGATCTACAGAGGCAAGGGTATACAGTCGTTGGAATTCCAAGTCTACATAGGGTTTTGTGGTCAAGCGTTTTTGTTTGTGGGCTCACTGTGAGACCAATTCATCGAGGTGTAGGGGGTGGTAAGGCCGATATTTCCGGCCCGTTCTGGTTACCAGCGCATTAAAAAAAAAAATGCTCGACCAGGGGATTACAACAGAGAGTGTTGTGATTATGTCAACATTCTGGCAAAGCAATCCGTTTCAAAAAGGTTCGATTCGAGTGCATCCTTACAATCACACCCAGAAACTATCATTTGTGCCAGCTTTATAACTTGCATTACAAAAAAGGATTTATTCATATCTTCTCCTACATTACCACAAAGAAAACCCAAACTCAATACTCGGAACAGTTAAATAATACATTTCCATATTCTCAGCTCGAGGCAGACGGTTTTACTACTACCACAGGACAAGGGGCATGGTTGACACAATAATCTGAAACGCTCCCAATGAGCATCCTGCATGACACACACATTGAAAAAATTATGCAGGACACCTCTGAGGTTTTGAGGTACCAATATACAAGTATGATGTTTACAACTGAAACGGTTTCAAAATATGAAAACCACACGTCCTTCGCACTCACCTCTTCACGGGCCCCATACCCCGGCTGCCCAGAATCAACACGTCAGCATCTCTATCCGCCACCTCAGACACGATCCTCTCCCGCGGGTCTGCATCGCGCACAACCCTCACCTCGCACTGCAACTGGAATAACGAGGGTTGGCAACGATTGGGTAGTGGGAAGTGATGGGTGGGAATTGATGAACGCACCTCCATCCACACCACACAGGCAGACGCCCACCTCTGGATTGGGGCATCCCTGCGTCAGCAGCCTCTCGGGCTGATTTTTTAAGCGCCTCAAAACTGCATTGACTTTTGAGGCGCTTTTCAAGGAGTTTTTTGAGCCGCCTTAAACATGAACAACAGGCGGACCCTCACCTCTGCATTGGAGCATCGGTGCAGCAGCAGTCGCTTGAGCTCCGCGTTGACGGCGCTCTGCCGCTCCTCCGTGCGCACCAGAAGCTGATCCATGGCCGCCTCACTCATCGTCGTGTCGCCCAGAGCTGGTAGGCCGTGGCCCGGGGAGTGGCTGCTGGGAGCCTCACCCCCAGACCCTCACCCCCATCCGCATCAGACAGTCAAACCCTCGATCTCCATCACACAGGCTGGCCCCTCACCTCCGCGTTGGAGCATCGGTGCAGCAGCAGTCTCTTGAGCTCCGCGTTGACGGCGCTCTGCCGCCCCTCCAGCTTTCTCAAACAGGCAAAACCTCTCCTCGTGCGCACCAAACAAGCCGACCCTCACCTCTGCAGTGGAGCAGCGCTGCAGCAGCAGTCTCTTGAGCTCCGCGTTGACGGCGCTCTGTCGCTCCTCCGTGCGCACAAGAAGCTGATCCATGGCCGCCTCACTCATCGTCGTGTCGCCCAGAGCTGCTTGGCCGTGGCCCGGGGAGTGGTTTGTGGGGTGGTTGTTGGGATCATTGTTGGGAGAATTGTTGGAGTGGTTGTTGGGATTGTGGTGGTTGTGGGTGTGGCGCAGCAGGGATTCAGGAAGAGGTGGCAGGAGGGGGAAGAGGGAGTGGAATGGGGTTAGGCACGGTTGATGCAGCAACTCGTCCACTGTAGCAACTGCAGCATCGCTCTCAGCAGCAGCAGAGTCAGCAGCAGCAGAAGCAGCACCGGATGCAGGAACTAAATTAGAAGGAAGATTGGGATTTTCTTTGCTCGTGGCTGCAGTCACCGCCTCTGCATCAGCAAGAGAAACATCAGCATGACTGATGAGAGCCGTGCTGCTACTGATGCTACTGCTGCCGTTACCAGCACCACCCGCTTCAGAATCCCATGCTGCACATCAGCAAGAACAAGGGACAACGACGCTCGTATGCTATCAGTGAAAACCGATGCACCCTCACACGAACGCCAATGCTTTCGCGTGTACTTGACGACACCCCTGAACTAAACCTGTTAATATTCAGTTACCTGACATGGTTTACTACCAGGTATTCTATGGAACCAGGTAAAACATTGCAACCAAGCGTTGCCATTGCGAACGTTACCTGCATAGATTCCGGGAGCAGTCAGGGCCTCCGTTGGCGATTGCACATGCAGCATCGTTACCAGATCGGACGGTCGCAAATGATTCTCGATCGCCCAATCCACGGCGTGCAAGCTGTTGAGCAGGTGAACGCATGGATGACATTACGACACAGGAGAGCGAATAAAAGGTTTTCAGAATGTCTCAGACTCGAATGCACGGATGATTTCATGGCACAAGAGGGCGAATGGAATGAAATTCTTCTAAAGATCTCGACTCACCTATCTCGACTGTGATCCACCGCTACAATCACTCGCCGCTGCTCGCCGTCCGCCGCAGATCCCCCCGCATCCCCCCCCGAGCTTCCCTTTCCGCCTTTCCCCGCAGAATCCCTTTCCGCGGCTACTGCGCCGCGAGGAGCGGCAGCGCCGGTGGAGGAGGAGGAGGTGGTGGAGGCGGAGGCGCGCTGGCAGGAGGAGGCGGCGACAATCCCGAGGGCGAGCGACACTCCGGGGGCAGCAAAGCGAAACATGACTGGCGCGACGATGTATAAAGCAGGACTGTTACACGTCTGGACAAATACGGCTTCTGGCGAGAAAAAAAAGGTGACTGCTTGGGTCGAAGCGGTCAAGCAGGGAGTTACGTCTAAATCTAACAAGCTGTTCCGAAGGTATACTACTACTTGCTAATGCTGATACATGCTCAACAAGGGAACGCCAAATGTACTACAGAAATGGAATGAGAGTCGTTGCCCTTACACGGCAGAATAACTGAAACAAAGAGTCAGCCAAGAAAATCTGCTGGGACGCCATTGGCTCTGGGGGATGAGCTTACTTTCCAGATAGTTTTGCCTGGATTTGAGCAAAGCTAGAGAAAGATCCAACCTAGGTTGTGAAGGAAACAAACCGTTTCCGATTGTACAGAAACGTCTTCGACCGTTTTGAAGTGCAGAAGCAATTTGTTTCTGACACACCTAGATTCCTGGGCATTTATCTTAGCGGTAACACTCATGGAGCTCGAACGCACGCGAGGTAAGCCACGTTTCCAAATCGTAACAGAGATGTCTTCTCATCGCCACCATGGTAACCAGCATTGCCGAGATGGTCAACATTATTGCCTGAATGGTAATGAAGAGTGCATCCGGAAATCCTGGCTGGTAACTTCGCGTTCCAACCAAACTGTACACCGTACAGGTCAGGTTTGACTCAGCAAAACGAAACTGACTGTCCACGTATACACCCACAGAATGCGCAATTCTGTTTATAATACCGGCGTTTACAATTCCGGACAGTAAAACCATGAAATGCAAACTTGTAATCCGTAACAAAAAAAAAAAAAACATACAATCATATAGCCTTAACTATCAAACAAACGCCACAAAACAAAACACTCACACAATGTCAAACCGAAAAGCTATCCTAGTGATAAATTATTTGAAACAATTTATTTTACCCTTTCATAATTATATTTCCGACTATAAAGAAATGGAGCTAGACCAAGTTACAATAATTTCAATCTCAATTTGAACAATACTAATTTTGCATATGACAGATAATAATGATTGCATAAGAATTAAAACATTCTGTTGATATAATAAATAATTCATTCAAGGCATGATATGGACTGTATTAACAGATAATCTAATCCCAGTTTTTAAATAGTCAGGATAAATTTGTTTCTCCAGAGTGTTCGTAAAATGCTTGCTGTAATAGTGATAGGAAATTATATCGAATACGTGCATGTAACGTTTCGCGTTTGTAAGCGCTGGTATTATAAACAGAATTGCGCATTCTGTGGGTGTATACGTGGACAGTCAGTTTCGTTTTGCTGAGTCAAACCTGACTTGTACGGTGTACAGTTTGGTTGGAACGCGAAGTTACCAGCCAGGATTTCCGGATGCACTCTTCATTACCATTCAGGTAATAATGTTGACCATCTCGGCAATGCTGGTTACCATGGTGGCGATGAGAAGACATCTCTGTTACGATTTGGAAACGTGGCTTACCTCGCGTGCGTTCGAGCTCCATGAGTGTCACCGCTAAGATAAATGCCCTAGATTCCTCATTCTCGTGCTTCGCCAGGTTCGAGGGTCAAACCATCAGCGAAGTCAAAGTCGGTCCAGAACGTTTTCTAGGTTTCCAGTGTGCTTTGGGTTCGGTTCAAAGCAGAAACACGTTTTTCTTTTCCACCGCTGGAGTGTGCTGGCAGATTCTTGGGACAAGTGTGACGTGGAAGGATACGGGATGTGACGGTGCAGATATTGCGAATCTGCCAAGCGAGTCACTCTCAGTCAGATTGGAGTATAAGCTCATTCGTTATAAGAGATGTTGATTACATCCTTGTTCTGAACCCGTATTCATGACTTCACCTTATTTTTGGAACGATTGAACCAAATAGGGAGGGAGGATGAAACCACCCTCTAGAGTTTTTATCTTCAATGTACGTTCATAACGCAATGTACTACATACATGCATACAAACTCAATCAATGGAGGAGCAAACATCACGAATTAGCACCAGAAGGATGATACCTCTACCGCCTTTCAAGGATGCTGTCGCTCCACGAAAGTAGCAGATCCCTTCCAATAGATGGTATGCCTGCATACGGATCACATTATTGAACAAATTATACCAAAGGACTACAGTAAAAGAGGGATAATCGCACGAGCGGAACAAAACACGCGGTCGAACCGGGGTTTAGAGGAAGTTGTCTCACCTTCAACAATATCTCCCACAAAATCATCGGTCGGCAGGTCGTCAGCCACAAGCCGGTATAAATCCATCACCTATGAACATGGAGCAGAAGGGGATTGAGAGAGTTAAGGATGTGCAACCGTGAGTCTTGGGTCAAACCCGATCAAAAAGTCCTCCTCCCTTCTCTTCCCCACCTCACCTCTTTCACATGCAGCCAGGAGTCCTGAGTGAACGCCAGCAGCAGCTGCCTCCGGAGCCCTGAGTCCATCAGCAGCACATGTGCACACCCAAACCCACCTCACATTGTCACCCCACCCTTCACACCCACCTCTTTCACGTGCAGCCTCAAGTCTTGAGTAAATGCCAAGAGCAACTGCCTCCGGAGCCCCGGCTCCATCAGCAGCACGCGCGCCCAAACCCCAACCCATGGTCTTCCCCTCCCCCCCCTCCTCTCCCTTTCTCCCCCCATCTCACCTCCTTAACATGCAGCCTCGAGTCCTGAGTGAACGCCAGCAGCAGCTGCCTCCGCAGCCCCGGGTCCATCAGCAGCACGCGCGCCCGATCCCTTCCCTATCTCATAGTGTCATCCCCTTCCTTGAACTCACCTCCTTAATGTGCAGCCTGGAGTCCTGAGTGAATGCCAGCAGCAGCTGCCTCCCGAGCCCCGGGTCCATGAGCAGCACGCGCGCCCCGTCCTCATCCCAAGGTGTTCCTCAGATCTAGAGCGCCCAGTCAACCACACCACACCCTCACCTCCTTAACGTGCAGCCTTGAGTCCTGAGTAAATGCCAAGAGCAGCTGCCTCCGGAGCCCCGGGTCCATCAGCAGCACGCGCGCCCAAACCCCAACCCATGGTCTTCCCCTCCCCCCCCCTCCTCTCCCTTTCTCCCCCCATCTCACCTCCTTCACGTGCAGCCTCGAGTCATGGGTGAACGTCAGCAGCAGCTGCCTCCTGAGCCCCCGGGTCCATCAGCAGCGCATGTGCGCGCCCAAACCCCACCCACTCACCCCCATCTCACCTCTTTCACATGCAGCCGTGAGTCCTGAGTGAATGCCAGCAGCAGCTGCCTCCGCAGCCCCGGGTCCATCAGCAGCACGCGCGCCCGATTCCTTCCCTATCTCATAATGCCCTCCCCTTGCGCTCACCTCCTTAACGTGCAGCCTTGAGTCCTGAATGAATGCCAGCAGCAGCTGCCTCCTGAGCCCCGGGTCCATCAGCAGCACGCGCGCCCCGTCCCCATCCCAAGGTGTTCCTCAGATCTAGAGCGCCCAGTCAACCACACCACACCCTCACCTCCTTAACGTGCAGCCTGGAGTCCTGAGTAAATGCCAGCAGCAGCTGCCTTCTAAGCCCCGGGTCCATGAGCAGCACGCGCGCCCCATCCCGAATCGTTTCCCTCAGGTCCAGACCCCCGTCCGCCACCGCCGATGCTGCTGACGTGGCGGCTCTGGCTGGGCCTGTAGCGGAGAAGCCTGTAAGGAAGGCTGGGGCCGGAATCGGCAGGGCGAGCTGGCTGAGGCTCCTGCGGTTGGGGATGAGGGTGAGGGATTGAGAGTGGGAGTGAGAGAGAGAGTAAAAACGATGGAGAAAAATGTGGAAATGGTAGACTCCTTGTCGACAAGTCAGAAACCTGAGGCTGGATGGGCTGTGAGGCATCTCAAAGACGTCTCAAGGCCCCTGCACGAGTGGCCCACACACCTCGATCAGCCGGGAGCGCAGAGCCGGGTCGGGGTCAGTCAGCAGGCGCTTGGCGACGTAAGGGTAGGCAACCTCAAGGAACTTGAAGTTGGGCTCGAGGGAGAGGCAGACGCCCTCCTGGGTGAGCAGCGAGCGACCAGTACCAAGAGCGCAGCACAACACAGCACCCCGCATACCTGGATGAGCCGGGACCGCAGAGCGGGGTCCGGATTGGTAAGCAGGCGCTTCGCCACGTAGGGGTAGGCCACTTCGAGGAACTTGAAGTTGGGCTCGAGGGAGAGGCAGATGCCCTCCTGGGTGAGCAGCGAGCGGCACGTACCAAGAGCGCAGCACAACACAGCACCCCGCATACCTGGATGAGCCGGGACCGCAGAGCGGGGTCCGGATCGGTAAGCAGGCGCTTCGCCACGTAGGGGTAGGCCACTTCGAGGAACTTGAAGTTGGGCTCGAGGGAGAGGCAGATGCCCTCCTGGGTGAGCAGCGAGCGGCACGTACCAAGAGCGCAGCACAACACAGCACCCCGCATACCTGGATGAGCCGGGACCGCAGAGCGGGGTCCGGATCGGTAAGCAGGCGCTTCGCCACGTAGGGGTAGGCCACTTCGAGGAACTTGAAGTTGGGCTCGAGGGAGAGGCAGATGCCCTCCTGGGTGAGCAGCGAGCGGCACGTACCAAGAGCGCAGCACAACACAGCACCCCGCATACCTGGATGAGCCGGGACCGCAGAGCGGGGTCCGGATCGGTAAGCAGGCGCTTCGCCACGTAGGGGTAGGCCACTTCGAGGAACTTGAAGTTGGGCTCGAGGGAGAGGCAGACGCCCTCCTGGGTGAGCAGCGAGCGGCACGTACCAAGAGCGCAGCACAACACAGCACCCCGCATACCTGGATGAGCCGGGACCGCAGAGCGGGGTCCGGATCGGTAAGCAGGCGCTTCGCCACGTAGGGGTAGGCCACTTCGAGGAACTTGAAGTTGGGCTCGAGGGAGAGGCAGATGCCCTCCTGGGTGAGCAGCGAGCGGATGACGAGGGAGAAACGCTCTGGGATGCGGATGGGGAAGTTGTACACCAGCTGGTTGAACTTCCCTGGACGGTGAGAGAAAGGTCCAGATGGGGATGGGTGGGAGGGGGTGCAAGTGGGTGGGAAGGGGGTGGAAGGGGTTAGGGGAGAAGGGGGGAGGGAGGAAGGGCGAAATGGGGAGAGTTGGGTTAGGAGACACTTGGATGACGAGGGAGAAGTGCTTGGGGATGCGGATGGGGAAGTTGTACACCAGCTGGTTTAACTTGCCTGCAAGGTGTGCAAATTGAGGGGTTGGAAGTGGTTGGGTGGGTTGGAGTGCTGTTCTGCCAGATCGCCTCTAGCGCCGGCACAATGGGCGTGACGTCCGTGCGGGGCGCCAGGAAGCCCAGGCAGGAGAAAGCTGTCCGTCCCACCACACACCACCCTTTTCTGTCCCTCCCCCCCCACAAAACCCCCCACCTCCCAACTCACGTGTGACGGTTCGGAAGTTGAAATCCGCCAGGCTCTGCCCCGTGCTGTTCTGCCAGATGGCTTCTAATGCCGGCACGATGGGAGTCACGTCCGTGCCGGGCGCCAGGAACCCCAGGCGGGTAAAGTCCCCAGCCATCTCAACATAGTCCTCGTTGACAGCGTGCACAATAGCGTCGATGAGGATCTCCTTGTTGTACTGGCTCAGCTCCGCCACGTTGCCAAAGTCCACGTAGGCTATGCGCCCATCCCTCATCGCGAAAATGTTGCCTGAGAAGGGACGGGGCAGGGGAGGAGGAGGGGGAGGGGGAGAGAGGGAGGGGGAGGGCAAGGAAAGGGGGAGATGGAGGAGAGGGAGGGGAGAGAGAGGATAGGTAGCATTGAAGCTAAGGCGCGTTGAAGTCTCTCACCATTTCCTTGATGGCTTGCACCCACGAGGAGTCACACCACACAACACCACACCGTACCGCACTGTGCCCAACCCCACCAAACCAAACTGCACCGCATCACACACCTGGGTGCGGGTCGCCATGGAAGAGGCCGAACTCTAGCAGCTGGCGGAGAGCGGCACTGACTCCCACCGTGAGGAACACCTCCGTGTCTATGCCCGCTGCTCGGATGGCCTGGCGTGGGGAAGAGAACAAGACACGGGAAGGGAAGAGCACATGAGTGACCAGGCCAAACTCTAGCAGCTGGCGGAGAGTGGCGCTGACTCCCACTGTGAGGGACACCTCCGTGTCTATGCCCGCTGCTCGGATGGCCTGGTGAGGGAAGAGGGAGAGACAAAAGGGCCGTTTGAGACAAAAGGGAGGGAAGAACACACATATGAATGGGAGGGGATTGAGCAGCTGGCGGAGAGCGGCGCTGACTCCCACCGTGAGGAACACCTCCGTGCCAATGCCCGCTGCTCGGATGGCCTGGCGTGGGGAAGAAAGAAACACAGAAAAGGGGAGAACAGACACGTGTGATTGAGAGGAGATTGAGCAGCTGGCGGAGAGCGGCACTGACGTGACGCCCACCGTGAGGAACACCTCCGTGTCTATGCCCGCTGCTCGGATGGCCTGGTGAGGGAAGAGGGAGAGACGAAAGGGAGGGAAGAACACACATATGAATGGGAGGGGATTGGGCAGCTGGTGAAGGGCAGCGCTGACTCCCACCGTGAGGAATACCTCCGTGCCAATGCCCGCTGCTCGGATGGCCTGGCGTGGGGAAGGGCACAGGCAAAGACGAGGTGCAGGCGTGAGTTTCAGGTATAGGTTGAGATTATTAACTTTTTTTTTTTGTACCCATCCCCAACCCCACCGCAATCCCATTCCTCAACCCCTAACCCCACCCTCTACCTTCCTCCTATCCCGCACCTGGGGGTCGGTGCAGCGAATCCCGTCGATCCACTCCATCACCAGCACCCGCTCCCCGCTCATCTCCGCGCAGCACAGCGGAATCTTGACCGTCGAATCTCCCAGGAAATTCTCGTAGAAGCTCTGGATGTTGCGCGCCTCCTGGCGGTAGTCCAGCTCCTCCAGCAGCTTCTCGCCAAACTCGTCGACGATGAGCTCAGCGTTGCATCCGAGCTTCTGAATGGAGATGCCGTTCAGGAAGGACGCCAGCGTGCGGAATAGGAAGAGGTCGCGGTAGATCACCGGCTCGATCCCCGGCCGCAGCACCTGGGGGGGTGGGGGAGGAGGGGAGCGGGGGGGGGGAGGGGGAGGGAGAGGGGGAAGGAGGGGGGGAAGGGGAGGAGGAGGAGGGGGGAGGGGGAGGGGGAGGGGGAGGGGGATGGGGATGGTTGGGGGAAGGTGAGCTCCGCGCGTTGCACCCGAGCTTCTGAATGGCGATGCCGTTCCAAAAGGAGGCCAGCGTGCGGAAGAGGAAGAGATCCCGGTAGATCACCGGCTCGATCCCGGGTCGCAGCACCTGGGGAGGGGAGGGGGGAGGTGAAGGGGAGGAGGGAGGAGGGAGGAGAGAAGAGAGAGGAAGGCGGGGGAAGAGGCGCCAGGGTGCGAATGAGAAAAGTGGTCCAAATACATTGCCGGCTCGAAGTCTGGCTCCAGTGCCTGGTAGGTGGAAGGGGCGGGGTTGGGTGAGTTCCAGACAAAGAACATGTGATGGGCCGACATTTGAGAGCAATGTGATGAGGAGAAACATGTATTTTTTGCTTCTAAGGCGCCTCAGATTCTGACCACATAACTCTCGCTTGACTGCCACGTCACCCCCACCCCAACTGCCACATCATCCTCACCTTGACTGCCACCTCGGCTCCCGAGGCTCTCAGCCTGGCTCGGTAGACCTGCCCGAGGCTGGCCGCGGCAACAGGCTCGGGGGAGATGGCGCTGAAGGTCTCCTCGAGAGGCACCCCCATGTTGGCCTCTATGATGGCAAACGCTTCCTGGGGGGGAGGAAAGGGGGGAGGTCGGGAATGTAGGGCGAGTTCGGGGGAGTTGGGAAAGAAATTGGTTAATCAGCCAGTCAGAAACCAGGGGGAGAGATGGCGCTGAAGGTCTCCTCGAGAGGCACCCCCATGTTGGCCTCGATGATGGCAAACGCTTCCTGGGGGGAGGGGAGGGATTGCGGGGAAGGGAGAAGGTGGGGAAGAGAAGAAGGATAGCAGGTTGGCTGGTAGAAAGGCAATTAGATGGCGCTGAAGGTCTCCTCGAGAGGCACCCCCATGTTGGCCTCGATGATGGCAAACGCTTCCTGCGGGAGGGTAGGGGGAGGGCGGGAATGTAGGGCGGTTGGAGGGGGTAAGGGGAAGAAATTGGTTGGTCAGCCGGTCAGTACCCAGCGGGAGGGATGGCGCTGACTGAAGGTCTCCTCCAGGGGCACCCCATGTTGGCCTCGATGATGGCAAACGCTTCCTGGGAGAAGAGGAGAGGGGGGGTGGGGAAGGAGGGCAAGACGGGATGTGTGGTTGGTGGCGGGGATTGGGGAAGAGCTTGGTTGGTCGGCTGGTCAATACTGGGGTGGGAGAGATGGCGCTGAAGGTCTCCTCCAGCGGCACCCCCATGTTGGCCTCTATGATAGCAAACGCTTCCTGGAGGGGGTTAGGGATGTAAGAAAGCCGGAAAGAGGAGAGGCTGCTTGGTTGGCTTTGCAGCTACAATGGCGGAGAAGTGCCTCTCTAAGCGTGGCTTCTAAAGGTGAAGAGACTGTGAAAGCGCAGGTGCCTGAGAGCTGCCTCCCAGCACCGCTTGAGACATCTCACCTGAGTGGGAAGGCTGGAACATCGTCCTGCAGGATGCAGCGCTCGTTCATGTAGTCCTCTCTCATGATATCTAGCAGGTTCGTCACTGCTTGCACAGGAGGCAGCTTGCAACACCTGCCTACCAGCATTACCCAGGACGTCTCACCTGAGTGGGGAAGGCAGGAACGTCGTCTTGAAGGATACAGAGCTCGTTCATATAAACCTCTCTGATAATGTCTGGCCGGTTCGCCAGCACCTGCCTCGACTTGATGAACGACGAGCCCAGGCGGCACAGCAGGCAGCTTTCAGGGCGGACAGCACAGCAGCTTGTACGCATGCCTGCAAGCTGCCTTACAGCAACGCTTGACCTGCGGCCTGCGGAGTGAAGGCTGCCTCACCTGAGTGGGGAAGGCAGGAACGTCGTCTTGAAGGATACAGAGTTCGTTCATGTAGTCTTCCCGAATGATATCCGGCCGGTTCGCCAGCACCTGCCCCGACTTGATGAACGACGGGCCCAGGCGGCACAGCAGGCGGCGCAGCTGGCAGCTTTCAGGGCGGACTTCACAGCAGTTTGCACAGGTGCCTGAGAGCTGCCTCCCAGCAACGCTTGACCTGCGACCTGCCTCACCTGAGTGGGGAAGGCAGGAACGTCGTCTTGAAGGATGCACAGCTCGTTCATATAGTCTTCCCTGATAATGTCCGGTCGGTTCGCCAGCACCTGCCCCGACTTGATGAACGACGGGCCCAGCCGGCACAGCAGGCAGCTTTCACCTGCGAGCAGCGTGCGTTAACCGAGTGCGGGCAGTCTCACCTGAGTGGGGAAGGCAGGAACGTCATCCTGAAGAATGCAGAGCTCGTTCATATAATCCTCTCGGATGATATCCGGTCGGTTGGCCAGCACCTGCCCCGACTTGATGAACGACGGGCCCAGCCGGCACAGCAGGCGGCGCAGCTGGGCGGCGCGCGTCGGCACGTTGCGCTCGTCGAGGCCGACGAGCTTGTCGTAGGAGAGGGAGAGGAAGAACATGGTGAGCTCCCACACGATCTCCGTGCCTCGCAGCAGGATGCCTAAGAAGGCCGAGGGGGAGCTGAAGGCGCGCGCTCGCACCTGGGGAGAGAAGGGGAAAAGGGGTGGGATGGGGCAAGGGAGTGGGGCATGGGGAGAGGAAGAACATGGTGAGCTCCCACACGATCTCCGTGCCTCGCAGCAGAATGCCCAGGAACGCGGAGGGGGAGCTGAAGGCTCGCGCTCGCACCTGGGGAGGACAGGAAGAAGGAAAGAAGGGGAAGTGGGCACGAGGGGACGGAAGGGCGAACGCGGCATGGTGAAACCTGGTGCAAGGGGGGAAGGCGTGGGGCGTGGGGAAGTAGATGGGAAAAGGAGGGGACTTACATACTCCACCATCCGTTCAGATCTTCCCCCTCAATACCCTCTCCTCTCTTCCCACGCGCTCTGCTCCCCTCTCCGTCTCCTCTCATCGCCATTCCTCTTCATTCTTCACTCTCCTCGCATCCTCCCTCTCCTCCCTCCCCTCCTTCCTCTCTGGCATACCTCGCCTCCCTCCCTCTCCAGTTCACTTCCCTCTCCTGCTCCACTCCTGCTATCTAATATGCATCCCTGTTCCTTCTCCTAGGCCGTCAGCTACAATGGAAGAGCTCCATTGACGTTGACCAGCGTTGACTCACCATCTCGGGTGTGTACTTCTTGAAAGGGTTACACACGCCTCTCTCCAGTTCCAGCTGCTCCATTGCCCGCATTTCCCCGCCGGACGGGTCGCCTGCAAGCTGATTGGGTAGGAATCCCGAGTCGCCAACCACCGTTGTCCGCAAAGACAACGGCTTCGTTGCCACGTCGGCGTTGCTGCTGTTCATGCGGCTGCTGATTCGTCGCAGAGCGCGCGTCGCGGGACCCGTCGCGGCTCCGTTTCCACTGCGCATTGTTCCGTTACCGTTGCCGTTTACGTTTCTGCTGCGCGCCGACCCGTTTCCACTCCCGCTGCGCGCCGAGCCATTCCCGTTGCCATTCCGCGCTGCGGCGCCATTGCCGTTGCCATTGCTGCCTAACCGTACACCGTTCTCCCGGGAACCGGCGGGACGAGGGGACGAGCTTCCCCCTCCCCCTGTGGTGGTTTGCGGAGGGCGTGACGTCACGGCCGCGCGGGGACGAGCGGGAAGCGCGGGAAAGCGGAGGCCCGGAGAGGGGGAGGTAGCGGGGAGAGGTCGGGGGAGTGAGGGAGCGTGGGGATGGAGAAAGAGAGAACTGCGGCTAGAGGAGAGGAGGTGCGGTGATGACGTCATGGCTGCGTAGGCCTGAAGCTATGAGTTGAGATGCTGGGATGCTTGGCGTATTGTGTTTAGAGAATATGAAAAATGACGTCGACGTTGGCTGTGATTCTGCTTGTCGGGAGATACGGTGACGGTAAACGACGTATGGCGACGTTAGCCGACGATTCGGAAGCAGAGTGCGACGAGAGCGAATGTTACCAGGAAGACAATGCAGGAAAAGGAACTGGCGACACTGCGTCGAGGCTTGTGTCAGATTACTCCACAACCTTAGACGACGCGAGGGTCGATTGTACAGTATGCGAGGGTGACAAAAGAGAGCCTGTGAACTCCAACAAGGCCTTTTCTAACAACCCTAGATATTTTGCAAGAGTGAATGGCCAATCACATTAACTCGTGCATTGGCCTATTGACCCTTATTATCGTTTTCTCGGCCCAGCAGCAGAATCTTTAAGTCTGAGGATAGAGCTGCAGGCACAGCGACGGAGGGTGAAGCTAATATGCTGAACACAAGGAGTCAGGACGCTGTTGCAGCTTGAAAACCTTGTAAGGACTGAAACGCAGCTCAGCTCAGAGACATACAGGAGACCGTCCTCCGATTAACGGCCTGAAAGAGCTAAGCTAAACGTTCCGTCGACCGTCCTGCGAGAACAAAAACGGTACTGAGAGAGTAGTAATGTTCTTGAAGACACCTTGATTTTGTCAGAGAAAGGTGGACTACTATTGCCTCAGAAAGGAAAGCTGAAGATTCCTGAATCTGGCAGGTTGGACGAAAACGAGGACGAACGAACTTAGGTGTAACTAGAAAGGGCTACGCGATCTATATCAGCGAGTAGGATTTTGGCACGTTGACTCTACTCTGAAGTTTTTTCGCCGTTCTCGCAAAAGTACTTTAGTGGACGCGGATGCGTGCAGTCAACGTGTTCGTTGTGGCTGTGAGATGCCGATGACAGCGAACTGGGAGCAAAGTTCATGCTACGTGGCTAGCAGAACGTCCAGGAGCCTGGGGAGGGGCTGATGTGGCATACTCACATGACCTCGCTGATTGGCTTACGGACAGACTGTCGTCTTGGATGAAGTCCACAGGTTCGTGGATCAGATATGGTGCCGTGCTTGCAGCGGAATCATTGCCAAGAACCCCAGACGTTGGGCTAGTGTAGAAACTGAGGTGTAAATTAGAGGGTACAATTATGTTGTGGATATTCTTCCAAACAACTACGATATACGAAGGTTCAACTGTAAACAACGGACACATAAGGAGATATATTCAAGACAGTTGTGGTCAAACATACCGAGATGAAATCGCTCCGGTCAAACTAAACTCCTTACTAGATTCTACCTCACAGCGGGATTTCTCCCCCCCCCTTCAACTACGGGTTTTGCAGAGGAGTATCTACAAACGCGAGAACGAGGATCTCGTACTAGCTCTTACATAGTTTGACATTTTGTTTCCACCTGTTTGAAACAATTTCCCCGTGGTCTGGCCAAGAATGAACCGCTTCCGAGAATCCTGGGATATTCCGAGTCCGTGAGTCTGGTTGGGTCTAGAATGGCAACTTTTCAAGTTCAAGATTCTTGAACTTGAATTCGCCTCCCCTCCCGTCGCCTTTTAGGTGGCTCTCCCTTCCCGCGTCCGTCGCCCACGCTTACTCTGAGTGTCTCCCACGCTCTCCCATCATGTCGCTGGCCTTCACATGACCATCGCTTGCCCATTCCGTCGCTTTCCCAACACCTTTCAAGTTCAGTATTTTGACGCCTTACCATTCTAGACTCGGGTTTTAAGTTATAAAAAATACCCGTCGCTCTGAGCTTTTCTATTTCCCTTCTATGTACCGCCTCTCGTTTCTGCGACCAGTGGTTCCAGCCACAACACTTGAGGGATGCCACCTAATTTCCACTCGGCAACAAATCGTGTTTAGTCAAACAAAAGATTTGTCGGTAGTATTGGGCAGCAATTTAGCACGTGAGTCCCCCCCCCCACAGGACGACAAGAATGTTTCAAATTATAATCCTTTATTGTAGCTGACTCGTTATGAGCCGAGAAAAAGACAAGACACCGCAGATTAACATCGACACGTTAACAAACACTCGTTCAAAAACAGATTGTCGTCGGCTGACCTCGGAAAACTGCTAAGGCATGTCGTTGTTTTTGGGTTGCGTAGCAACCCCTTTACAATTGGTAGCACTTTTTTCGGTCGACTCAAATGAACAGTGCAGTTTTTATCTCTTTTCCAACGCCCGAAGCACTCGATTTAACGTTTAAAAAAAAACGGGTGCTCCAAACACGTCTAGATGACGGCACTGATACATACGAGTCTCCAAAAAAGTGAAACCAAATGTAACCAATCATTCCATAATCGTCGATAAATACGGCGACTGGAATAATTGGTCGTCATGTTTTTACCTACATAAAGCAGAACTGACGAGACGAAACACAGTGGATGCACGTTATGGTACTTGCATCCATTGAACACGTACAAAAACGACAACACATGACAACTGTGACTGTCATAAAATGAATGCTAAAATGCATCGGTACTACAATAGCGATGGATCCGGTATGCTAAGGCGAGCAACGCTGCCCCAACAACGATCCCCACCTCAATTGCAGGCCCGACACACTTTAACATCACACCTTACAACAAAAATGAACGAGCACATAACAAAAACGACAACACATAACAATTGAAGCGTCTTGGGGAGAATGCTAAAATGCATCGATGATGCAACAGAGATTGGTCTGGCACGCTAAGGCGATTGCCCCACCGGCGATCACAACCTGAGTTGCATACACGAGGCACTTCAGCACACGCCTTGAGACAGACACAAACAACTGTACATATCTCACACACAGGCTCACAAGCACACGTACACACCGACACAAACGCACACACTGACACACACGCAAACAAGCACAGAAACATGCAGATAATAATAAACACGCAACCATCATGAAATTCGGCTATTCATAAATCATCGCTAGCCAATTACCCCTTACCGTCCTTACAACCCTCCCTCCCTCCCTCCCTCCCTCTTTCCCTCCCTCCCTCCCCCTCTCATCTCCCTCCCACTGCCTCCCTCGTCTCCCTTCTCCGCCAATCAAAATTAAAGAATGCAGCTCCCGCGCCCTGCACAAAGCAAAATCAGAGAATGCAACACACATAACCTGCACAAGAAAGAAAAACCAAGAGTACACCTCACAGCATTGCTACAAGAGAACAAAAACAGAGAATGCAGCTCACACATGCACTAGAGACGAAACAAGCACAATAGAAAGAGCTGTTTAAGAACGCATGGATCAATAAAAATTGAGCAATGGTTTTCACAACTTACAAAGGTAAACTGGTATCAATCGTGGCACCACAGATACTACGCCAGCATGATGCGATCCCTTGCAGCCTCCCTCGTGTTCAACTTCACACTCACGTTCACACTCACTATTGTATTCAATCTCGCACCCACTCACACCCGCACAAATACTCCCAACTTTCTTCGACACACTCATATAAACATGCATAAGAACCTACACGCTCACTTTGGCACTTACCCTCGCACTCATAAGCGTTATCACTCACGCTCGCTCGCACTAACCATCGCTTTTGCAGTCACATTCACTCTCGCACTTGCTCTCACGCTTGCTCTCGTTCTCATTCTCACCCTCGCGCTCACCCAAACACTCATCCTCGCACTTGCTCTCACATTCACCCCCATACACAGACTTACACGCACCCTTGCACTCACCCTCGAGTGCATGCGCGCACTCACTCTCGCAGTCACACCCGCCTTTGCAATCGGATTCAAAACCGCACTCGCACCCTCGCACTCTCTCGTACTCACTCTCGCAACAACTCACGTCACATAATTAATTTCAGCCGTTCTTAGACACACTAACAGAAACACACACACACCCTCGCACTCACCTTTAAATTCGCGCTTGCGCTCACTCTCGAACTCACTCGAACGCTTTCACAAAAACACGCACACAAAGTCGCCCGCACCCTCAAACTCAACTCACACTCACACCCACACTCATGCTCACAATTGCCCTCGTACTCACACTTGCACTCACTCTCCTACTTGCCCTCGCACACACCATCTCACACCCTCGCACTCACACCCGCGATCACACTTGCGCTCAACATCGCAGTCTCCATCGCACTTACTCTCGCACTCACACTCACGCGCACCCTCATGCGCACCCTCATGCGCTCTATCACGCGCTCTCTCACGCGCTCTCTCACGCGCACTCTCACGCGCATTCTCACCCGCTCTCACGCGCACTCTTCCGCGCTCTCTCGCGCGCTCTCTCGCGCACACTCTCACGCGCTCTCTCATGCGCACTCTCCCCCGCACTCTCACGCGCTCACTAGCGCGCTCTCTCACGCGCTCTCTCGCGCGCCCTCTTACGCGCTCTCTCACGCGCACTCTCACGCGCACTCTCACCCGCACCCTCACGTGCTCTCTCGCGCGCTCTCTTACGCACTCTCTCACGCGCTCTCTCACGCGCTCACTCACGCGCTCACTCACACGCTCTCTCACGCGCACTCTCGCGCGCACTCTCGCGCGCACTTTCCCGCGCTCTCTCACGCGCTCTCTCACGCGCTCCCTCACGCGCTCACTCACGCGCTCTCTCACGCGCACTCTCACGCGCTCTCTCACACGCACTCTCAGCCGCACTCTCACGCGCTCTCTCGCGTGTTAAAGTTTAGAAGAAAGAAGAGGATTGCACTAGCAAGAATGAGGATACAAATAGCAAACCCTAGAAGGGTTGTACTAGCTATAGAGCACCCCACTACAGGCTAGAGCATAAGATAACATTCTGACACACCCCCATAGCCAAAGTGGGGTGTAATCAGCAGAGTAAGCAAAGGAGTACAAGCTCAGGGTGGATCACAATGTCACCACACATTCTGAGCACAAGTTCAAGAAGCAATAGTTTAAGTTCACAATTATGAGCAAAGCTAGTGGTAGTCACAACGGGCAAGTGAGGAGGAGGAGAGAGAGTGAGAGGAGAGGAGATAGGAGGCGACGGCTGAAGCTGCAGACACACAGGCAACAGGAGGCAGACTGGCACAGCGGCTACCGGACGAAGTCCCCGGAATACAGGAGTAACAGGCCCCGCGGCTAAAGTAGCGGCAGACGAGCAACGGACCCACGGGCGGCTGGCACAGCTGGCTACGACTGGGCTACCGGACGAAGTCCCCGGAATACAGGTGCTGCTGGCGACACGACGGCAACCTCCATTCAGCTTCCCCAAACTATCCCACTCCCCCCTGGCACATACCCGCTGCTACACCGCTAGCTCCACTCCCCCTTCACCCCCCCTTAGTACCACTCCACCGGCTCCAACACGTCCACCCCCCCTCAGCGGCAGCTGCAGCACAGGGAGACGGAGGAGGAGGAGGAGCAGGGAACAGTACACAGTGGGTGCACCCCCATACCCCGCACCCCCAAACCCTAATACAGTAGAATGGGGAGTAGGAGGGGTGGGGCACGAGTAGAAGCGCTGGGGGACAGTAGGGAGGGCAGGGGCAGCAAGGAGCGGGCCCACCACGGGCCTGGTAGGGTCGCCCGAACCGCGCGTAGGCGGCCTGAGCCGCGCGCGGGCCTGGCGCCGCCCGTACGGGCCGCGCGCGGGCCTGGCGCAGCCCGTACGGGTGGCGCGCGGGCCTGGCGCAGCCCGTACGGGTCGCGCGCGGGCCTGGCGCAGCCCGTACGGGTCGCGCGCTGGCCTGGCGCAGCCCGTACGGGTCGCGCGCTGCCTGTACGGGCCGCGCGCAGGCCACGACGGGCGACGGGGGGCGACGAACGGGTCCCCGTCGCCCGTCGCGGCGCCTCCCGAGGGCGACGCGACGGTTGACGGGGCCGAAGCCCGCCGCGCGCCTCGGGGCGCACGGCGGGCAGAGAACCGCCGCGCGCCTCGGGGCGCACGGCGGGCAGAAAACCGCCGCGCGCCTCGGGGCGCACGGCGGGAAGAAAACCGCCGCGCGCCTCGGGGCGCACGGCGGGAAGAAAACTGCCACACGCCACGGGGCGTGCGGCACCGAGTGTAGTGGTAGGAGTTGCAGCGGAAGCTAGGAGGTGGTAAGCCCACCCACAGGATCGATCCAAGGGGATCGACCTGCTCTGATAGCATGTTAAAGTTTAGAAGAAAGAAGAGGATTGCACTAGCAAGAATGAGGATACAAATAGCAAACCCTAGAAGGGTTGTACTCGCTATAGAGCACCCCACTACAGGCTAGAGCATAAGATAACATTCTGACATCGCGCGCACTCTCGCGCGCTCTCTCGCGCACACTCTCGCGCGCTCTCTCGCGCGTTCTCTTGTGCGCTCTCTCCCGCGCTCTCTCCCGCGCTCTCTCACGCGCTCTCTCACGCGCTCTTTCACGCGCTCCCTCACGCGCTCACTCACGCTCTCTCTCACGCGCACTCTCACGCGCACTCTCACGCACACTCTCACGCGCACTCTCACGCGCACTCTCACGCGCCATTCACGCGCTCTCTCACGCGCTCTCTCACTCGCCCACGGTGCCAGCACCCTCGAATCGCGCCCCCGCGGCGCAAGCGCCTAAGCGCAAGTGCCTATGGCACAAGCGCGCACGGGTACTTTCGCTCCTGCCTCTCCATCCCACGCTCCCACCTGCACGCTCTACCACCCTCTCTTGGCTCTCACACGCAATCTCTTGCGTGCTCGCTCTCGTGCGCACGCTCTCCTCGCGAACCCCTCTCGTTCTACTTCAAATGGGACTGCAATGCAAGAGACTAAGACACAAGACTTACGACGAGAGCAAAAAAAAAAAAAAAAAAAAAAAAAAGATGGGGAGGGAGGATGAAAGGACCGGGAACACACCTGATAACCACGGTGCCAGAAACCAACCCACGCTCTCGCACCAACCCGCGCTCGCGCACCAACTCGCGGTTGCGCCCGTGCACCTGTCGCCGGAGGCGACTACGGGGTGGGAGGGAGAGGCGACGGCGGGGAGGAGGGAGAGGCGACGGCGGGGAGGAGGGAGAGGCGACGGCGGGGAGGAGGGAGAGGCGACGGCGGGGAGGAGGGAGAGGCGACGGCGGGGAGGAGGGAGAGGCGACGGCGGGGAGGAGGGAGAGGCGACGGCGGGGAGGAGGGAGAGGCGACGGCGTGGAGGAGGGAGAGGCGACGGCGGGGAGGAGGGAGAGGCGACGGCGGGGAGGAGGGAGAGGCGACGGCGGGGAGGAGGGAGAGGCGACGGCGGGGAGGAGGGAGAGGCGACGGCGGGAGGAACGGAGAGGCGACGGCGGGAGGGAGGGAGCGGCGACGGCGCGGTGGGAGGGAGAGGGGATGGCGGGGTGGAATGGAAAGTGGATGGCAGGGTGGGAGGGAGCAGCGATGGAAAGGTGGGAGGGAGAGGTGATGACGAGGTGGGTGGGAGGGTGAGGCAACAGGTGGTGGGGAAGGAGAAGCGATGACGGGGTGGGAGGGAGTGCCTCCAAACAAGAAACTACAGTAACCGAAATGGGAGAAGGGAGGAGGCATGAAACACAACACGAAAAAGACGATGGGGCAAAACGAAAACACTGAACAGAATTTGCGCACCTCCCAGAAAAAGACGACGCATGAAACACTTCGTATATAGAAACCCGAAAACGATGGGGCAATCTGAAAGCCAGCACAGAACTTGGGCACTTGGAATCTAAAAACAAAAAACCAAACGTTGATGCCACGTGAGAACACACGCATAATCACGTGGAATTTGTGTGAGCTGGAAACACACTTTTGCTAGAACAAGAACCTGGTTGTTCAGTGTTACAAAATATCATATTGAAGATATAAAACATAGTTGTTCACTAAATTTAAATAATACTTAATAGAAACAATCAATGGCTCTATATAAATTCACCCATATTTTAGAAAAGAAATCATAAACAATCACTTTATTCCATAATCAAGAACTAGCTAGCCTGTCATACTCGTTAACACATGAAAATTAAACTTGGTGCTATATAAATACATTAAATAGCTTGTCCTCATGTTCTGTAAAATATGAATGTAACATCTACGCAACCCTTCCGACGTTAACGTCGAATCTTGTTTCACACTGCAAATCGTTCTGCCATCGTTTCAATCATGAACCAATCGAATTCTTGTACACGCTTTCCACGTGGCCGAGGTACCCTGGAGCTTTCTCTTTGGGCAGCGCGGAAATGGCGTCAAGTCGCATCTTCCCGCCAGAAGCAGCACGCCATTCTCGCTGCGCTCTTGCGCTCCGTCCTTATCTCGATGCGCGAAACTGAAACAGTTTCAAACAATAAACGTCCACTTGAATTGACAGAAGGTGCACCAACCGCGCTAAATAATCCCCTGTCGGAGCCAACGAGAGCAGGACAAGTGGCGAACTCGCCGTTCCTTGCTGACGTGTACAAGGCTCTGCTGTCAGGCGAAGGGGACGAGGAAGAGGAAGAGAGGAGGGGTCAGGCGGGGGAAGGGGAGGGAAATTGGGAGGGGAAAGGAGAGGGGGAAGGAGAGTGGGTAGGAGGGGGGGAAAGAGAAGGGGAGGGAGAGGAAGTGGGAGGAAAGAACGTACTTTGTGTGAGAGACAGAAACACCTCTATCTCTCGTCTCCCTGCGATCTCCTTTCATGGTGTACCGCGTCGCCCCCTTTACAAGCACGTGGCGTCCGCGTTCTTTCACTATTGTCACGCAGGAGGGTTGCCCTCGGCCATGCTGACGTGTCAGGGAATGGAGGAGAAGGAGGGAAGGCGAGGGGAGGAGGTGGGCCGGTGGCATGGGACCGTTATGGACGCTGGTGGCCGGCTTCTGGAGCTTATAGAGGAGCTTTGTAACGAGCACAACAGTGCTGAGGGTCCGTGGAATGAGATTAATGATTATGCAAAGATTGATCAAATGGGGAAATTGGGGGAGAGGAGGGTGCGGGAATCGAGGGTGGAGGAGCGGACGGAAGGGGAGCAGAAGGAGGGGGAGCGGAAGGAGGAGGAGCAGACGGAGGGGGAGCGGAAGGAGGGGAATATGGTTGAGCAGAGAAGAGGGGAGCGGAGGACTCACCAGCTCCATGTTCAGGCGGAATTCCTGAAACAGCTCGCAGGTTGGAGAGGAGGGGGACATTGCGTCGGAAGGGGGGGATGGTAGCGGGAAGAGTGGGGGAGAGGAGAGATTGTATTTGGGGGAGCGGAAGACTCGCCAGCTGCATGTTCAGGCGGAATTCCTGAAACAGCTCGCAGGTCTGGGGGAAGGGGGAAAGAGGGGAATGGGGGGAAGGGAAGGGGGGAAGAGAGGAGAGATAGGGGGCGAGATGAGCAGCCGAGAGGGGGGGAGAAGAGGGTGCGGGGTGGGGAAGGAGAAGAAGGTATTTGTTTCTTTGCTTCCTATCTATCATCCTAACTTTCCTAACTTTCCTATCATTCGCTCCCTTTGTTTGTTCCTGGTTGCATTGCAGAGGGAGCCAAGGAGGTGGAGGGTTTTTGAGGAGCCTCAAGAATCGTCTCAGTTTACGCGGATTCATATCTTTCACTCCCCTCCCTTTGTTTGTTCATGGTTGCATGGCAGAGGGAGCCAAGAAGGTGGAGGGGCGATGCAACCTGCCGCCCTACAGCAGGTAGGGCTGGCTGCCGCTCTAGGGCATGAGTCATGACCGCTCCTTCCTTGGCCTGTGGTGACTTTTTTGGCGTCTCAAAAAGTAGACCTTTCCTCGGCCTATGGTGCTGCCGCTGGTGCTTTCAATTGCTATCGTCAATCAACAAAAGGGACTCCGGCAGGCTTGGCTGTTGCTTTTGCTACTGGTTTCCTCGCCAGTTCAGCCTGCCTGCCTCCCGTTCACTCTCACGAATCTTCCTTCCACTCTGCTCTCTCCTCCCTCCCCTCTTCCTCGTCGTCCTCTTCCTCCTCCTCTTCCCCCCCTCCTCTCCCAGCATCATCGCAGGTGACCTTATCACATTCAACGATACCCTGACACTCGCCGTTCAGGTATGCATGCAACAAGCGAAAGCTCCTCTCCTCTCAGCCACAACTGCCACCTCCTCCCTCCTCCCCCCTTCACCCCTCTCACCCTACCCTACCGTGCCCACTTGCAGTCATACCCCTCCTTCGCCCACAGGCTCGCATTTGAATGGCTCTGTGTCTATCTATCGTGGGCCACTTTTGAGGCGCCTCAAAAGTCATTTGAATGGCTCTGTGTCTATCCATCGTGGGCAGCATAGACGGTTGATTCCTTGTGCACGATGAAACCCACCTCCCGTCTCCTCTCCCTCCCTCCTAACCCCCTGTCACACCTGCCTGCCTGCCACCATTCCTTCCCAGTCCGTGCAGTCATACCCCTCCTTCGCCCACAGGCTCGCATTTGAAGGGCTCTGTGTCTATCCATCATGTGCCGCCCTCTCCTCTCCCTCCCTCCTAACCCCGTGTCACACCTGCCTGCCACCATTCCTTCCCAGTCCGTGCAGTCATACCCCTCCTTCGCCCACAGGCTCGCATTTGAAGGGCTCTGTGTCTATCCATCATGTGCCGCCCTCACCTCTCCCTCCCTCCTAACCCCGTGTCACACCTGCCTGCCACCATTCCTTCCCAGTCCGTGCAGTCATACCCCTCCTTCGCCCACAGGCTCGCATTTGAAGGGCTCTGTGTCTATCCATCATGTGCCGCCCTCTCCTCTCCCTCCCTCCTAACCCCGTGTCACACCTGCCTGCCACCATTCCTTCCCAGTCCGTGCAGTCATACCCCTCCTTCGCCCACAGGCTCGCATTTGAAGGGCTCTGTGTCTATCCATCATGTGCCGCCCTCTCCTCTCCCTCCCTCCTAACCCCGTGTCACACCTGCCTGCCACCATTCCTTCCCAGTCCGTGCAGTCATACCCCTCCTTCGCCCACAGGCTCGCATTTGAAGGGCTCTGTGTCTATCCATCATGTGCCGCCCTCTCCTCTCCCTCCCTCCTAACCCCGTGTCACACCTGCCTGCCACCATTCCTTCCCAGTCCGTGCAGTCATACCCCTCCTTCGCCCACAGGCTCGCATTTGAAGGGCTCTGTGTCTATCCATCATGTGCCGCCCTCTCCTCTCCCTCCCTCCTAACCCCGTGTCACACCTGCCTGCCACCATTCCTTCCCAGTCCGTGCAGCCATACCCCTCCTTCCCTAGCATGCTCGCATCTGAAAGGCTGTCTGTCTAACTATCATACCCTACCCTAACCTACCCTACCCTGCACTACCCTACCCGACCCTACCCTATCCCACCCCAACCCATCCATTCCCAGTCCGTGCAGGCATACCCCTCCTTCCCTCGCATGCTCGCATTTGAAGGGCTCCCTGTCTTTCTGCCATACCCTACCCGACTCATCCCTACCGTTCCTACTAAACCCTACCCTACCCTACTCCACCCATTCCCAGTCCGTGCAGCCATACCCCTCCTTCCCTAGCATGCTTGCATCAGAAGGGCTCTCTACGGTGCTGCCCGGAGTCGAGACACTGGAGGAAGGTGCGAGGAGGTGGGAGAAAAGAGAGGAATGTGAGATGAAAGTGCAAGGAATGTGAGAAGAGGGTGAGTGGAAAGTCCAAGGAATGTGACATGAAAGGAATGTGAGAGGAATGAGGACTAAAACAGCTACAATCTAATTCCTGGTTTAATCTCGTATTTTTTCCTTTCCCTTTTGCAGGGCTGGCAGTGTATCGCCGGTTTTACTCAGAGGAGAAAGAGCATCGAGCGGGTGTGCTTGCATTACGAGTGGAGCTATGCGGGTCTGCTGACGGGGATGGGTGCCAAGCTGACGTGGCCAGATCTCAAGCTGACGTGGCCAGACGTCAAGCTGATGTAAAATCACAGCTGGAGTCCCAAGTGGCTTCGCTTATCCACCGAATCCTCGTTGTAAGCCTCCGTTCTTAAGCAAATTTTTAGGCTAAAATATCGCCTGAATCCTCATTGTAAGCTTCGTTCTTAAGTGTGGCTGTAGAAAAGGCCTATCTAGTCGCGCTTGATCCCTTTATCATCTGCGACATGTCCTCCTCCAACACTCCGCTCCCTTCCCCACCACTGCACACCCTCTCGTTCCATTCCCCCATTTCTGCACCCGCCTTCCCGTCACTCACACCTAATCTCCCACGCTCACCCCTGGCAGGCCATGGGTTCACGTGGCATGAGCCGATTGGTGGGAATGCGAGTGACTGAGGGGAGTGTGCTGGCTGCTTTCCCTCCCTCTCGCGCCGCACTTATAGCGTCCTTTCAACAGCCTGTGAAAGGGGGTGTGAAGGCGAGGAAGGAGAAGAAGCAACGGCAGAGAGAGCAGAGGCAGACAGTGCAGAGACATGAAGAGGTGGCGAAGGAACAGGTGCAGAGAAGGCAGGGGAAGGGAGAGCAGGAGCAGCAGGATGAGCAGGAACAACAGGAGCAAGAGGAGCAGCAGGAAAAACAGCAGCAGCAGCAGCAGCAGTGGCAGCAGCAGCAGCAGCAGAAGCAAGAGCAGCAGCAGGAGTTCCAGCAGCAGCAGGAGCAGCAGCAGCAGCTGTCCAGATTCATTGAATGTGCAGCGGAGAGTGCAATGTGCTGCAGTTGCCAAGTGGAATCAGAAGCGGTGAGCCATGCGGTTCAACTCAACAGGAGTAGGGTGTGTGGAGGTGCATGCAGTGGGGCATGCAGTGAGGCAAGTATACATGAATGCGGATGTGAAAGCGCCGGGGCGTCATACCTGTCTGGAGGGCAAAACCATGTCCCTTGTATGCGGGGATCATACCTGAGCGAATCAGCTCTAGAGTTGCATAGGAGGGCGACTCTGATCATGCCGTATGCTTGCAGAGAAGCAGGAGGAGGTGTAGGAGCAGGAGAATGGGGAAATGGTTCATATGGAGACCATCTAGCACCAGCTCACACTCGGGGCTCGTTTCCACCTGCAAGCACACAATGCACAGAACCACCAGCTAGCTTGCTGCTCACACAACCAGCACGATTGAAGCCCCACCCTCGAGCGCATGTGGAGGCATTGACTGTGGGCGTTTATCCTCCTGCAGCAAGCTCTCGAAGCACAGAACCACCAGCTATCTTGCAGCTCACACAGCCACAGCCACAGCCAGCACGATTGAAGCCCCACCCTCGAGCGCATGTGGAGGCATTGACTGTGGGCGTTTATCCTCCTGCAGCAAGCTCTCGAAGCACAGAACCACCAGCTATCTTGCAGCTCACACAGCCACAGCCACAGCCAGCACGATTGAAGCCCCACCCTCGAGCGCATGTGGAGGCATTGACTGTGGGCGTTTATCCTCCTGCAGCAAGCTCTCGAAGCACAGAACCACCAGCTATCTTGCAGCTCACACAGCCACAGCCACAGCCAGCACGATTGAAGCCCCACCCTCGAGCGCATGTGAAGGCATTGACTGTGGGCGTTTATCCTCCTGCAGCAAGCTCTCGGAGCACAGAACCACCAGCTATCTTGCAGCTCACACAGCCACAGCCACAGCCAGCACAATTTAAGCCCCACCCTCGAGCGCATGTGCAGCCGTTGACAGTGGGCGCGAGGGCTCTTTCGAAGCACTGCCACCGGGGGAGAGACGGTTTCTGGGGCGACGCCTCTGGACCAGGTTTGTGTAGTACTGTTTCTTTCTCGTTTCTTTTTTTCTTTTTTGCCTGAACAGCCCTGAACTAATCTGGCCGACCCTCACCTGTTCCTGTTTATCTGTCGCAGTGTATATCAACATCTTTTTGAGTCACCACGCCTCTGTTGAACCCTCCCTTCTGTCAAGTATCAGTTGACTCTGCTACACATTTTTTTCCCTTCAGATGCAAGGAAGAACCACCACATTTGCTGCATCTGAGACATTTCAAAACTACTACATGTGGTAGTAAGAAGGTACCACTTACAACCTCTGCCTCGGCTCACCCATTCCCCTTCAGATGCAAGGAAGAACCAGCATGCCTTGCAGTGTCTCACCAGCCTGTTAGACGGTGCCACGTGGATGAACGTGCATGCCCTGCCGCACGACCTGCCAGTGTTTGAAGTGAGGGGGAGCGAAGGATACGGGGCGCGATGGAGTGCAGACGGCTCTCAGGTAGGACGAAATGACTAGCACAGACATGCATGTGTATTCTTTGCCGCACGACCTGCTGGTGTTTGAAGTGTGGGGGGGCAAAGGGTATGGGGCGAGATGAAGTGCGGATGGCTCTCAGGTAGGACGAAATGACTAGCACAGGCATGCAACGGATGCATGCGCATTCTCTGCCGCATGACCTGCTGGTGTTTGAAGTGCGGGGGAGAGAAGGGTACGTGGCGAGATGGAGTGCAGACGGCTCTCAAGTGAGAAGGAATTGCTAGCACAGCCATGCAAGGGGATGAACTGTGAACGCTGCGAGCCTTGTCACATGACCTGCTGGTGTTTGAAGTGCGGGGGAGAGAAGGGTACGTGGCGAGATGGAGTGCAGACGGCTCTCAAGTGGCAACAGTTGCTTCGACACCAATGTAACATTTGGACACCACCTGGATCATTGTCCTACCACACCCATCTCAGGTGACTTTTGAGTCGACTCAAAAGTCTCTCAAGCGGCAACAGTTGCTTCGACACCAATGTAACATTTGGACACCACAATGTAACATTTGGACACCATCTGGATCATTGTCCTACCACACCCATCTCAGGTGACTTTTGAGTCGACTCAAAAGTCTCTCAAGCGGCAACAGTTGCTTCGACACCAATGTAACATTTGGACACCACCTGGATCATTGTCCTACCACACCCATCTCAGGTGACTTTTGAGTCGACTCAAAAGTCTCTCAAGCGGCAACAGTTGCTTCGACACCAATGTAACATTTGGACACCACCTGGATCATTGTCCCACCCACCACACCCATCTCACCCATCCCACTCATGTGATGTCACCCATCCCACCCATCCCGTGTTCCCGCCACCCACTTGAGTCCAACAGTTTCGGGGGTTTCTCGAGCCGCAGATGCCGGATGGTCATGCTAGAAAATGGAGGCATTGACACGGCAATACCGTGAGCGCATTGACAAAACCCGCAAACTTCGCGTCAGCCATTAGAGATGTGGAGGCGGAGGACTTTTTTAGGCGCTTCAAAAGGCGGAGGATACATTGACACTACACCCTTGAACAGAATGGCTTGCACATGAAGTGAGCAAGCAATCTTGTGGCTGACAAACTTGAGGGGGTTAATGATTTGTTGAGTTTTGTGTTTCTTCTATATCAAACTAATTGTGCAATGCCGCCGCGTTCGACCTTGTAACGAGTCCGGATGGATTCCTCGACGCTTCCCGCTTGCGTGATGCCCATCCATCGCCCTCTCTTCCCCCCGCCTCTCCCGACCAATTCGCATCTCCCTCGCAACACGGCTGAAGTGGAATCAGCATGCCATATAAAATTGACAGCGACTCCATTTCAAAAATAGACGCATCTCCCTCACATCACAACGCGGCTGAAGAAACAGCGTGCCATTGAATCTGATAGCGAGTTCGTCTCGTCTCGTCTCGTCTCGTCTCGTGCCTTGTCGCGTTCCCGTCTGCGAATTCTCGACGCTTCGACGCTCGTTTCCGCACCCAGCCCTGTCGCGTTCCGTTATCGCCTCTCCGAGTTTCCCGCCTTTCCGCCTTCGTCTTCTCGCCATCGCCGTTCCGCCGTCGCCTTTCAACCTTCGCCCTTGCTCGCACGCCGTTCCGCCTTAAACTTTCCGCGCGCGCCTTCCCCCACACGCCTTTCTCCCGCGCGCCTTCCCCGCGCGCCGTCATGGTCGGGTTCATCGTAGGCAACAGCCATCCTGCCATACCCGTTTCCGCCATCCCCACATCCGGAGAATTATCCCCCAATTCCGCCGCATTTCCCGCCAGTTCCGCTGCCGCAACCTGCGGCTGCGCCCCCAGGTCGTGCAAGCCGACGATTTTAGACCAAACGGATGGCGAAAAAAAACAAAATTCTGGCCGTCCGATAAGTTGTTGTGGAACCGACGGTCGGGATGCAGGGAAACGTACGGAGCTGATTCCAGGCCTGCCTGATGACGTGGCAGTAAAATGCCTCGCGCGAGTGTCGATCGTTTGTCACCACAGGTACACAGCCCTCCAATTGCGTCCTCCCCCCCCGCGCCTCCCCTTTCCCCTGCCTCACGAACATGCTACGCTCTCTTCTCGTGTCTCCCTCTTCTCTTCTCTCCTCGTCTCGCCTCTTCCCTCATCCCCCCTCCTGCCCTTCCCCCCGCCTGTTTCCCGCGCATGCCACGCTCTCTAGTCCTCACCTCTCCTCGCCTCTCCTCGCTCTCTTCTCCTCTCCTCTTCTCACAGTCCCACATCCTATCTTTCCCTCTCCTCTCCTGCCCTTCCCGTCCCTTCCAGCTGCAGGGCCGTCTCACGCACATGGCGCGCGCTCTTCTCCTCGCCGCTCCTCTTTGCCGCCCGGCGAATCGAGGGGCGGCAGGAGCAGCTGCTAGCACTCTTCCACGGGGATCCCTCCGTTTCGGGCGGCTGGCTGCTGCACCAATCACAGCGCTACACCTGTCCCACATCTAGCCAATCACAGGTCACGGGCCCCTCACCCTCATCCAACCAATCACGCAGCGCCACGTGGCGCCGGCGGCGCATCCCTCCCATGACCCCCACGCTCAACACCTACGGGCTGTCGGGGTTCGGCCTGGCTGCTGCTGACACGTGTCTCTTTCTGATTGGCGGAACAGTTTTCGACGCCACCGCCTATCCATCCGATCGGCCCGTTCCCACGTCCGGAGTGTTCTCCTTTGATCTTATCTCCAACCAATGGCGCCAGTGTGCTTCTATGGCGGAACCTAGAGCCTCTTTCGCCGCTGCCTCCCTCCCTTTTTCTCTGGCCAGCAGCAGCGGCAGCGGCGGCGGCGGCGGCAGCAGCAGCAGCGGCAACAGCAGCGGCAGCAGGAACAGCAAATTCACAGGCTTCTCAGTTAAGAGAGTTGGCAGATCGGTGGTGGGTGGGGAAATGGAGTGCACGGGAAGTAGGGGAGCGGTTCTAGTGGCAGGGGGGAGTCACAGCCCCGCTCCTGCGATGGCTGGCAGTGTCCAGCTGGCAGCTTCTGAGTGGTATGACGTGGCAAGTGACACGTGGCATCCTCTCCCGCCACTGCCAGAGGCCAGAGGGGGCTGTGTGGGCGCGCTAGTTTCTTTGTCTGCTGGCGGTAGTGACAGTAGGGGGGGCAGAGGTGACAGCAGCAGGGGCAGGTGTGACAACAGGGGGGGTCAATGTGACAGTACCAGGGGTAGGTGTGACAATAGCAGGGTCAGATGTGACAATAGCCGGGGTAGCTGCAGGGAGGAATGCAGCAGTGGCAGTGAGAATAACGCGATGCTGGTGGTCGTGGGAGGGTTTGGTTCGGAACCGGACTGGCAAGTACCCGCAGGAGTGGTGGGTGCTGCTGCTCCGGTCCGGCCAATCAGAGCCTTCCTCCCCTCCGCTCGTGCATGGGTCCCAAACCCTTCCGATTCCTCAAACTCCTCATATCCCTCAGACTCCTCAAATCCGTCAAACGCGGCGATGCTGAATCCAAACCTCGCAGCTGCTAGTGGTGAGCAGGATTTGAGACTCTCATCAGCTGCTGGTGAGTATGGGTTGACTCTCGCAGCAGCAGAGGCAATGAGTGGGGTATGCTTGCCATTGGAGAGAAGGAGTGCAGGCCCCGTGGCAGTGCTGCACGGGCAGCTGTACATGCTGTCTGGTAACACCATTCTCCTCCTTGGCCCTGCTTTGGACATCCCTCACCTCGCCACCACCAGTACTGCCACCAGCACCACCGCCAGCAGCAGCAGCGCAAACCTCAGCAGCGGCAACAGCAACGGCGGCGGCAACAGCGGCGGCAGCAGCTCTGGAAGCAATAGCAGCAGCAGCCATACAAAGCAGCAAGCTGAGCCATGGGTATGGCATCGAGTCACCACCCTGCCATTCGCGGACCCCACAGCGGGGTTCTTGGCTCTCAACAGCGAGCTCTTTGTCGTCCCCACCACTCACTTCCTCTTTGGTTGCGGCCGCTCCAGGCGCCTGCCCCCCCAGCAGCACGCCTACTGCCCCGTGACCAACACGTGGCGCACTGAGCGAGTGATCCCTGAGCTTCAGGGAGTGAGGATGGACGGGGGAGGAGGAGGAGTGGGAGGAGGAGGAGTGGCAGGAGGAGGAGGTATGGGGGGTGGAGGGCTGAAGACGGCTGTAGTGATGTTCATTTAGGCAGAGATGCTTGCTCACAGCAGCCACAGCAGGGTTTCTTTGTCATCCCCACCACTCACTTCCTCTTTGGTTGCGGCCGTTCCAGGTGTGTGCCTCCCCAACAGCACGCCTACTGCCCCGTGACTAACACATGGCGCACTGAGCCGCTGATTCCCATGCTTCAGGGAGCCAGGATGGATGGCCGGGGCGGGGAGGGGCAGGAGGAGCAGGAGGAGGGGAGTAGGAGCAGGAGGAGGGTGGGTAGGAGCAGCGGGCCGGGTTGGAGGTGGGGAGTTGGGGACGGCTGTAGTGATGTGCATGTAGGTGCTTCCTCCCCGGCAGCCCCGCCACCAACACTTGGCGGACTAAGGTTGGTTTCTGTGCTTCAGTGTGCGGACTGAGGGGTTGGTTTCAGTGCTTCAGGGTGCGGACTGAGGGGTTGGTTTCAGTGCTTCAGTGTGCGGACTGAGGGGTTGGTTTCAGTGCTTCAGTGTGTTGGGATGGATGGACGGGGAGGGGGGGAACAAGGAGCAGGAGGAGGAGGAGGGGGTGCTGCAGGTAGGGAGTTGGGGACGGCTGTAGTCATGTGCATGTAGGTGCTTGCAGGAGGAGGAGGAGAGGGGGCAGGGGTTAGGAGGAGCAGGAGGAGGAGGAGGGGGTGTTGGAGGTAGGGAGTTGGGGACGGCTGTAGTCATGCGCTTGTAGGTGCTTGCAGGAGGAGGAGGAGGGGGGGCAGGGGTTAGGAGGAGCAGGAGGAGGAGGAGGGGGTGCTGCAGGTAGGGAGTTGGGGACGGCTGTGATCATGTGCATGTAGGTGCTTGCAGGAGGAGGAGGGGGGGCAGGGGTTAGGAGGAGCAGGAGGAGGAGGAGGGGGTGTTGGAGGTAGGGAGTTGGGGACGGCTGTAGTCATGCGCATTTAGGTGCTTGCAGGAGGAGGAGGAGGGGGGGCAGGGGTTAGGAGCAGGAGGAGGAGGAGGGGGTGCTGCAGGTAGGGAGATGGGGACGGCTGTAGTCATGTGCATGTAGGCAGATGATTTCTTGCTACACGCTATTAGCCACACCCTTAACACCCGCAGAAGCGAGAAAGGCTGGTTCCTGTTACGGTGTTGAGAGAACAACCATTTGTTACCATTCAGTAGACTCATTGTACGTACATTACCTCGGAGTAAAAGCCTTTCCTTCCCCTTCTCATTCTCATTCTCATTCTCATTCTCATCTCGGAGTAGATGCCGCTCTCATTCTCTGTTGGCGGGCTAGGTCTTTTCCAGCCAAGCACCCTGTTGGCAAGCATGCTTTGGTGACATTGGCATGGTTCAGTAGCCAGGCTCACACTTACCTGTCGATGTCATTGATACGGTAGAAGCATCTTTTTCAGTAAAATACTCTCTCCACCATATGCATTGTCACAACTTCGCTGCCTCTGCAGCACTAGCTGGAATTCCTGTATAACACTCCGGTCCCCCTGCGTCCTCCTGACAACCTCCCTGCCCGCATTACATGGTCAGAACAGCCCATGTGTCACTCGTAAACTACTCCCCGAGAACCCTTTGGTCACTCCAGACAACCTCCCTCCCTGCTCGCATTACATGGTCAGAAAGGCCCATGTGTCACTCGTAAACTACTCCCAGAACAGCCCAAACTCACTCCAGAACTACTCACACACTCTTCATCCTTCCAACAACAAGCCCAAACAAGTCCAAGCCAAGCACCAGCTAAACTGCCAGAAACCTGCCAGCCACCTAGATTCAGAGTCCATGTCACACAGCACTACTACTACCGTAACTGCCTATTGTATGCCTGCAATGCCGCACCCCATCCTCGTATTGAGACGTCTCAAAACAAGTTAAAGCCAAACACCAGCCGAACTGCCAGAAACCTGCCACCTAGATTCAGAGTCCATGTCACACACCACTACAAACTGCCTACTGTATGCCCGCAATGTCCCACACCATCCGCTTAGCACAAGGCCTCTGGAATAAGACTCGCAGGGAGTCCGTTAGGATCTCGCAGGGAGTCCGTTAGAATCTCGCAGGGAGTCCGTTAGAATAAGGCCCGCAGTGTTCCTAAACACCCCTTCCTCCCCCACCTCCCAGCCGACCCTACAAAGGGAAATAGCTCTTGGCGACGCCAGCTCTCCTCATCTTCTTCCTCTCTATCAGCCCTTCGATCGTCCTATCCACCACATCTACAAACATACCCTCCTCTCCCACCTCCCCCTCTCTCGTATGATCCCTTAGAAGCAGCCTCGGAATATGCTTATAAAGCTCTTCCCTCATCTCCCTCTTCCTCTCCTCCGATATCCCCCCCAGCACCTCTCCAATCCGAACCTTCCCACCAATCACATCATCCGAAGGCACCATAACAGACACGTTCCGCCGAGCCTCAGGTTCGGTAGAAAAGAACCAGGGGTACTGATAATCAAACGTGCCTGGAGCAAACACTACAGGAAGGCACCCTGCTATTATCGAGTCAAAGAATGACCTTCTGGTGAGGCTATCCCCGATAGGTTGCAGGCAGAATTCAGACTGGAGCATCACACCAGCCACTCTCCTGGGGTCCATGCATCCCCTCAGCGGAAAATCCGGCTCAATTTCGTTCTCCTCCGCCTTCCCCTCCCTGCTGTCCCCCTCTTCCTTCCGTTTCTGCGCCTGCCGACCTATCTCCGCCGCTGCTGCAGTCGCAGCCTCCGCATCAGCAACAGTACACTCTAAAAAGATGCACCTCTTAGGATCGTTCTCACAATCGTTTAGCAAGACCCCTCTTAGCGAGCCCTCCCAGGTCGCATGCGCCCGCTTCCCGCCTACAAACGAGTACAGGTACGGCCGAGGCTGCTCCCGAACATGCCGAACCCACCCCTGGAGCTCTGCCGAGCCTACCGGATGGAAACAGGTTGGGTAAGGTACAGAAAACACCTCCCGCTCGTACCACTCGGGAGGAGCCTCCACTGTAAGGAGTGTGACATTCTTGAAGGTTCGACGCCACCACAGATCAGTCCCCCATCCCTCAGGCTTATCCAAATCGCGTTTAAAGTCCCAGATCGGACGGCCGAGAACGAGCACGTGATCGCCACGGTTCACCAGCCTCTTGAAATCCGCATTTTCCTCGAGTAAATACCTCTCCAGCTCAATCACCGGGTCGTCTCGCTTCTCAAAAAGCCCGTGTTCCACGAGCGACCAGATCGACCAGCCTAGGTACGCCGGGATGAACAGGAAATCCGCCGAGCCTGGGTCCGAGGTTCGGCAGGGGTGGTTCAGGAGTCGCGAGTGGAAGATGAGAGCTAGCATGGAGTTATCGGTGGCATACCACTGGTTTCTCCAACCCTCGCTCTCCGCTACCCTGCTGCCGCCGTTGCCGTTGCCGCTGCTGCCGTTGCCGTTGCCGCTGCTGCTGCTGCTGATTGAAAGCAGCCGTCGACCATCAGGTTTCGCCTTGCTGCTCCTGCTGCTAGCACGGCTGCTCCGCTCCTTCCCCTCAAACGAGTCGTCCCAGGGAGGCAGTCTGGTTCCCAGCCCTCCGTGCCTGCTGGTGGCGCAGAATCCCTTGATGTTGGTGTCCAGGCAGTCTTCTAGCAGCACGCTGTTCAATTTCGAGGGTAAATTGTACAGGTACACCTTCCGACCCTCGCACGCTTCCGAGTTTAGACCCCCGCCTTTGCGACTGCTACTCGCGCGGGGATTCCTTGCGTCGCCGTCGTTTCTCGACCCACTGATCTTCGTCCTCTTGCTTGGCGTGCCTTTGATGCTGCCCTTCAAGTTTACGGAATCGTCTTTCCCTCCCAGATTCTGAAGAAGCTCTTGTTCACGCTTCTGCCGTTCCTCTTGAGTTTCCAAGCGCGGTGTTGCCGTTTGACCCCGCTCATTCTGTTGATCCTTCTCATCTTGCCGATTCTGTGCATCCTGCTCCTTCTGATCCTGCCGATTCTTCTCATCCTGCTCACCCTGCTGATACTGCTGGCTCTGCTGTTCCTGCTGATTCTGTTGCCATGGCTCCTCCGGGTCCAGGCCGCTCAATCTTGCTCCCACCTCGTCTCCACGAACGGCTGAATCCGACACCTCCGTCGCTTTGTGCAGCTCCTTGGCATCAAAAGACGGAGACGAGATTGGTGACTTTAACGAAGGCCCGAGAGCTACGAAGTAGAGGACCAGCAGAACCACCCCGATTGTAGAACAGGTGGCCGAGGAGGAAGGGAAGCACAGCGTCGAGACTCGATCTCGATGATGTCCCATCATGAACTGCGACACGTCGCTGCTGACACCGTCTTCGAATGGGAAATAAATTCAAGTACGAAAGCACTAAGGAATACCCAAGACTGGAAGCTAGGGAAAATCACGGCCGTACCGCTGGAGATTAAATTGATCGTACGAGCTGAGTTTCACGAGCCCACTTCAGCTACGGCACTTCAGGGCAGACTTCATGCGCTCGCAACACATTGTCCTGAGCTACAAGCAAAACTCAAGTCGTGGCTAGGAGGTGGAATATGAGGCACACAACGATTGGTCTAGTCTAGAAATGAGCTTTGCTGCAACGGTTAGCAAGAAAAGCAGCGTTTGGGGGGACTCCCCTTGGGAATTCCTTCCGTTCCGTAATCTGAGGTTCAGGGAGAACCTTCGAATCAGAGACTTTTCGACTGGTTAGTCCCCGGAGCGCGCTTGCGACAGCGGGTAGCGCACAGAGTGCCAGTCAGCGAATCGGTAAGGTGCTGCGAAGCCCTTACGAAGCAGCTGGGACCAAGAGCGAACAGTTACAGACCGTACGGTCATACACACCCTCTCTCGCGCCAGACTGACAATGGGAAGTGCGTACTGTTGCTTGGACCCTAGCGCACTGTTCCTTGGACCCTAGCGATCTGGTGCTTGCAACCGAACGGCAGGTAGGTGGCGGGCAAATGCACTCCAGAGGAACGGTACACAACATTTTATGGAAGGAAACGTGCGTTTGCGTACGGTTGAGTGCGGCAAATGTGCTTATATGGTATGTTCTGGGACCATTCTGGACGCATTGATGTCAGTACAGCCGGTCCGTCAATATGGCCAATGTCAGTCTGGCGAGAAAGAGGTGCATCAGCATTCTGGCCTGACGTGCTACTGTACTGTACAGTGCTACCGTACCGACGACGAGAGTTCGCCCGATTCGACAACATTTGTCTGCCCAACTTGTGACCCTGACAACGTGTCAGATCGAGCATATACGAAGACGCGTTAGCGGATATAGTACAGGTCCTACACATCCTAATAGAAACATCCTTTACCCCCGTCTACAGAGTTAAGAGTACAAAACAACAAATCAGAATGCCTAATGAACTTACCCCACCTGATTTCCAAAATAAAAAACGCTGGGAACTGACTAGGTGTTGAACCAAGGGAAATAATCACCGGCAGTTCCAGCTTCTCTCATATTTTTCCTCTCAACCAAGCCATTGATAGTAATGTCAACCATATCTTCGAAAAGTCCCTCCTCTCCCACCTCTCCCTCTTTTGTATGGTCTCTCAGCAACAGCCTCGGAACATGAAGCTGCATCTCTTGTCTCATCTCCTCTTTCCTTTCCACAGATATCTTCCCCAACAGCTCCACAATCTTCACTCGGCCTGAAATCACATCCTCTGGATCCACCATGACTGCAATCTTCCGCCGTGCCTCCGGCTTAGGGTCAAAGAACCACGGATACTGGCTGTCGAACGTATCCGTGGAAAACACCACAGGTATGCAGCCTGCGATGATGGAGTCAAAGAAGGACCGGCGGGTTTGGCTGTCTCCCACTGGCTGGAGACAAAACTCTGCCCGCAGCATCGCGCCAGCTACTCTCCTCGGATCGGTGCACCCAGGAAGATCCACTCTAGGCTCTTCCTCATTAACTTCAGCTATCCCTTCTCCTTTTCCTGTTGCTGCAGCTTTCCGACTGGCCGCCTCCCGACCGATCTCGGCTGCTGCTTCAGTTACGGCCTCCGCATCTGCACTGTAACATTCCAAAAGTAAGCATTTCTCTGGTTCGATCTCGCATTCCCGCAGCAGAGCTCCTCTCAGCGCACCCTCTATCGTCTCCTTAGCCCGTCTGCCGCCTACAAACGCGTACAGAAACGGCCGGACGTGGTCCCGAGCGTGATTCATCCAACCCTGCAGCTCTGCCGAGCCTACAGGATGGAACGAAGTCGGGTAAGGAATGGAAAACACCTCTCTGCCGTACCACTCCCGTGTGGCCTCTACAGTAAGCAGTGTGACATTATTGAAGGTCGGCCGCCACCAAAGATCCGATCCCCACTCTTTTACCCTCCTGAAGTCCCAAATTGGGCGGCCGAGCACCAGAACATGATTCCCTTGATCCACTAGCCGTTTGAAATCCGGGTTTTCCTCCAAAAGATAGCGCTCGAGTTCGATTCCCGGCTGGTCCCGATCTACGAAGAGCCCGTGTTCCACGAGCGACCAGACCGACCAGCCCAGGTACGCCGGGATGAACAGGAAATCCGCCGAGTCTGGGTCCGAGGTTCGGCAGGGGTGCTGCAGGAGACGCGAGTGGAAAATTTCCTCGTTATTGACGCTCTCGGTTAAAAACCACTGGTTCCGCCAGCCCTCACTCGCACCACCAGCACCGCTCATCACTCCACTGCTCCCACCACCGCTGCCGCTGCCGCTGCCGCTGCCGTTGCCGTTGCCGCTGCCGTCGTTGCTGCTGCTGCTGCTGCTGCCTCCGCTGCCGTTGCCGCTAGTCGAGTTGCTGCCGCTGCCCCCTTCTGCCGCGTCGTCCCAGGTGGCGAGCCTCGTACCCAGCCCGCCGTGCCGACTGGTGAGGCAAAAGCCCTTGATGCGGCTCTCAACGCAATCGTCCACCATCCACTGGTTGAAGCGCGCCGATAGCGGGTACACGTAAATCGCCCGCCCCTGGCACGCCGCCCCTACGGGTACGCTCGCGGATGCCTCCATTTCACCAGGTGAATCTGCCGCACCAGATGCATTCGCGGCGGCCGTGCCGGGGATGTCGAGAGAAGCGGCGGGGGTGGTGGCTGTCGCGGTGGCGTTACTAGCAGAGCCCGTCGCAGCCGCGAGCTTCTCGCCCCTGCCACCTCTACCGCCGCCCCTTTCCCCGCCCGCGTCCCTTCCCCCCCTGGCCGCGCGTTTCTTTTTGTCCCCGCCAACAGCGGCTTGACGAGAATTGCTGCTGGGGGGCACACCGACGTTCTTTCGGTGTTCTCGATTTGTTTTGATTCGTTTCGTGCTATCCTGTTTCGTTTGCCCCTGCTGCTCCTGTTTCTGAGGGCCTTGTTGTTCCTGCTGCTGGGTTTGCTGCTCCGTTTGCTGCGTGCGCTGCTGCTGCGCTCCCTGCTTTTGCTGCGCGCGCTGCTCCTTTTGCTGCGTGAGCTGCTCCTGTTGCTGCGCACGCTGCTCTTTTCGTTGCGCGTCCTGCTCCTTCTGTTGCGCGCGCTGCGCCTGATGCTGCGTTCGCTGCTCCTGTTGCTGCGCACCCTGCTCCTGTTGCTGCGCGCGCTCCTCCTGCTTCCGAAGAGCCTGCATTTCTTCCCCATGCCACAGGTCCTGCTCCGTCACCCATTGCGCCTCCCTCGCTAGCTGCACCGATTTCTGCTGCTGCGTATCATCATCGCCCGGCTTCGTATCATCGTTGCCCTGCTGCGTATTCTCTCCATACTTCTCGTTGCCACTCAAGGCCCCCGCTTCCCGTTTTGGCCACAGCTCCTGCTCCCATTGCGCCTCCGGAGCCAGTTGCACGAGCTGCGCCGATTTCTCCTGCTGCGTATCTTCATCCCACTGCTGCGTATCTTCATCGCCCTGCTGGGTATTATCGTTGCCCTGCTGCGTATTCTCTCCATACTTCTCTTTGCCACTCAAGGGCCCGGCTTCCCGTTTTGTCCGCACGACCGTTACTTGCACGCTCGTTTCCAACCACTGCCCGTCCCCGTCCATCTCCGTGGCTTCGGTTACATGGACGGACGGGAAGGCGGAAGAAACGGCGGAAGGGGCGGAAACGAAGGGCCGGGTGGCTCTTGGAACGAGCTTTAACGGCGGGCCAAGGGTTGCGAAGTAGACGATTAAAAGGAGGACCCCTAGAGCGGAGCACGTGAAGTGAGAGAGCAGGAAGGGGAAACGGGACGGTTTTTCGCTGTAATGCCCCATACTCTTACGCGGATACAGTACTACGGCTAGTGCGAACTTGTGACAATATCCTGTATTTCTTGCGGCGAGGAGCGTCTAATAGGTGCGTTGCTGGGTCGCAGTTCTATTGAAGACGGGTCGGATCAAGGCAATCGTCGTATCGGCGGCCAATTTTGGTATTTGATTTGACTGGAAAATCAGGCCGTGGTCGTCGATTCGGCGGGCGAATAATGGTGATCGCACTTGTTGCAACGAACCCGTCTGATGTGGCGGAAATGTCTCGAGTTATGGTGTAAGAGAATAAGCGCGAGGTGACGGAGAAAGGGCGGCCTAGGTCGTGGACTTGTGCTAGAACGAAAGGTGCTGTTCTGACTGTAGTCTGCTCTACTTCAATCGGCAAGTTGCTGCTGCTTTGCTGCTCCTTCTGCTGCTGATAGAAAAGCTATTCACCATGGATAATAGCCTTTGCCGGTCCCTGGGCCCAGTCCCGGTCTGTAACCTGGTCGTGCTTCTCTCCTACCGGCAACATTGGCCAGTCTAGCTAACCAGAAACCAGCCGAAACTGCTGGCTGCTCGCATCATAACGCAAGCTGCAAGCTGATGGAGAAGCTATGGGGTGAAAACATCGAATCGAGTTTGCATTCTCCAACCCATCCCCTACAGACCGTCCGTTTTGCATCTGCACATTGAGATAAGGCGCATTGATGTGCGCGATTCGGATAAATCCGCACATCCAAATGCGGTTCTCATGCCTGACCATTTCGATTCGAGCAGATGCCGGTGGGGCAATTGGCGTGAGGGCGGGGCTTTGCCAAACCACATTTTCTGTGCCCTTCGGACGAAGATGATTGGCTGAGCTTCCGTAGGTTTCGCCAAGGAAAGGTTCCAGCTGACCTTGAAACACGGCAATAAGCGTTTCAATTTGCGAAAACGCGGTTCGAAATTTCACTCAAGAAGGATGGGTGGGGAGGAGTACGGCCATTTTCTGAACGTGCTCGTCTCCTTTTGGAACTTCACCGTCTTTTACCATAAATAAAATGAACACAGGATTTAATGTGATACAAAACACATATATCACCACTGCACTCCACGCGCTTATATTTCTTAAAATGAAATGCTTTTGAGAAATTCTGTAATATTTACAGATGCGCACACATTCTGTGACAACTACTTCAATAATTGTTCACGTTGAACTACTTCCTACAACTTTCTTTGCTTATATCCCTTACAACGCTATCCCCATCCCTATCCATCTTATTCTTCGTAACCCCACCACCACTTCCTCCTAGCCTAGCCTGATCTTTCGCCGTGGCGGTGGTGGTGGTGTGATATAACGAGTCTGCAACTCTTTTCAGGCTGTAACGAGCCACCGGTTGTGGTGGTGGTGGTTGTGGAGCATGTGCATCACCATGAGCATCACCATGTGCATCAGCATGTGCATCAGCATGTGCATCAGCATGTGCATCAGCATGTGCATCAGCATGTGCATCAGCATATGCATCAGCACGTGCAGGTGTGTGTTGCTTATCAACCGCATCCTCATTTGAGAGCTCCTCCTCCTCCTCCTCCTCCTCCTCCTGCTGCTGCTCCTCCATGTGCCTTTTTCTCAGCAAGCCTCTCATCCACCCTTCGGATACGGCCCGCCCCGAAGCCCCTTCCTCCTCGTCCTTTTCCCGGCTGTTTGACAGTGGCGGCATGTCCTCCGGGCTGTGTGCCAGCTCAGCATCCCGCAACCCGGTGCTACGTGCCAGCTCAGCATCCAGCAACCGGGTGCTATGTGCCAGCTCATCCGCCTCCACCAAACCACCCTGGCATCGTACATCTAGCCGATTCCCCCCATCCTCCCCATCCTTCCTCTCCTCCCTCTCCTCCCTTCCCTCTCTGTCTGCTCCTTTCTGCTGCCGAGTCTCTCCTTCTCCTCTCAACATTGAAGCCTCTGCTCTCGCCTGTGCATCCCCTTTCTGGAGCCTCTCGCATTTCAGCTCCTCTTTAACCTCTCCAACCTCCCTGTCGGCTCTCTCCTCGCTGTTCCCCCTCTCTCCTTCACCTCGCAACATCTCGGCCTCTTCTCTTGCCCACGCCACCTCCTGCTGAAGCATCACCCCTCGTAGTTCCACATGCCGCAGAAGCGTCTCCAGCTCGCTTGGCCTCACGGGTTTTGTCAGGAAGTGGTCCATGCCGACCTGAAAAACAAGAGGGGGGAAAGGGAAAGGTTTAAGGTAGTTGATTGACTTCGGAGAATCCTCACAGCTCGCTTGGCCTCACGGGTTTTGTCAGGAAGTGGTCCATGCCGACCTGAAGAACAGGAGGAGGAAAGAAACCGGTATTACATTGACATTTGAATTTTCTACAGCTCGCTTGGCCTCACAGGTTTTGTCAGATAGTGGTCCATGCCGACCTGAATAGCAGCAGGAGATAGAAGGGATGATAAATAGCGGGACGACTTTCAGTACTTTACCTCATCGCGTTACCTGGTACCACCACAAAATATGGACCGCACATTTTCTGAGTGCCCCACACCTTACTTGGGTGCACCCCATCGTACCTGACTGCACCGCACGTTACCTGAGTGCACCGCAGTCGTTCGTGCAGCAGAGCGCTGGCCGTGAGGGCAACAATGTATGGCCGACGTAGCGACCCAGGAGCCTCAGACGATGGTGATGGTGGTGGTGGTCGTGATGGTGGTGATTGTGGTGATGATATTGATGGTGGCTGTGGTGGTAATAATGGTGGTGATGGTGGTGATGATGATGGTGGTTGTGGTAGTGGTGGTGGCAAAGACTCTATTGAATGGGCAGGCGCTTGTGCTGGTGCAACTGGTGTTTCAGCACAAACCCTTTCCATCTCCTCTTGCTTCGCCTGGTCCTCTTTCTCCTCTTGCTCCTCTTTCACCCTTGGTTTCTCATCCCCCTCCACCTTCTCCCTTTCCTTCCTTCTGCCTCGAGCTCGGTGCAAGTACAGCTGTCGGATCTTCTCCGTGGCCTCAAAGCCGTCCATCACAGGCATGTGGCAGTCCTGAACGGTTGAGATTGATGGAAGGGTGGGGAGAAGAGGGTATAGGAGTCGGGAAATGAGTGGGCAGAGAAGAGAGAAGAATCAAGGGAAGAGAGTAGGAGGAGGAGGAGGAGGAGGAGGAGGAGGAGGAGGAGGAGGAGGAGGAGGAGGAGGAGGAGGAGGAGGAGGAGGAGGAGGAGGAGGATGATTTGAAGCCATATAATGTCAACATCAATCTCACAATGGAAAAAAAAAACAAAAAACAAAAAACAAAAAACCACCCACCATGAAAACCACGTCGTATTCCTTCCCCTCGCACGCCCGCACCGCCTCAGCCCCGTTCGAGGCAACGTCACTGACAACCCCGAGGCTTCGGAGCATCCTCTCTATCACCATCTGGTTCACTGCGTTGTCCTCTGCTATCAGACACGCCAACCCCCGCCGCCGCTGCTTCCTCTCCCCCTCCATCTCCCTCTGCCGCCTCTCCTCCGCTTCCCGCTTACTCCTCTCCTCCTCCACCTCTCTTTGCCTCCTCTCATCCTCCTCCTCTCTCTTGCTCCTCCTCCTCTCCTCCTCCGCCTCCCACTGCTGCCCCTTCCTCTCCTCGCCCCACTGCTGCCTCTCCTCCTGCTCATCCCTCGCAGAACCCTCCGTTCGATGATCTCCTCTCCCGCTTCCCCCGCCGTCCTGGCAAGTTTTCACCAACAGGAGCTCGTCCTCTCTGCCTCCCTGCTCGCACGCGCTGTGCACTGTCTTCGTGTGCCAGCTTTGGAGCTTGTTCGAAGGCACTTTCGGAACGCAAGCTCTTGCTCTGTGCATCTCAATTCTTTCTCCGTGCATCTCAATTCTTTCTCCGTGCATCTCAATTCTTGATCTGTGCAATGGGTTGCTCTCGACAGCCGATAGGGCTGCTGAGCTTGCAACATGCTGCCGCATCTGCTGCTGTTCCTCATGCAGCTGCCCTTTCAAATGCTGCTGCTGCTGCTGCTGTCTTGATAGCTGTTGTTTCTCCTTAAAAGAACCTGTTTCTGCTGCCGCCGCCGATGCCGCTGCTTCTGCTGGTGCTACTCCTGCGGAAGGTGCCTCAAACCTTCTTTGTTCAAGCATTCCTGCATAGCCGCTACCTGCAGCCTTCGCTACAGCTGAAGCAGCTGGCTCACAAGGGACACTCGCGGCTGCTCCTCCTTCTCTCCCGTCACTCACAGGCCCTCCGAGCTTTGCAGATCTGCTCAAAGCCTGGTTCAGCGCGAGTGGGTGGTGGTGGTGGTAGCTGGTAGTGGCACCTGTGGCCAGAGTGATGCTGCTTCCAGCCCCATTCCCAACCCCAGAAAAACCACCAGCAGCAGCACCAGCAGCAGCAACAGCCGCAGAACCACTAAGCGTACACGTCGCAACCGTTTCAGGCGCCTCAAAAGGGTGCAGCATACCGTCTCTTAGCAAAGAGTCTTCCTTAAGCGCACACCTCACACCCGTTTCAGACGCCTCAAACGGGTGCAGCATCCCGTCTCTTAGCAAAGAGTCTTCCTTAAGCGCGCACCTCGCAGCCGACGACACCGCGACATTAATCGTGAACGAAAACGTCGATCCGACGCCCACCGCGCTAACCAGACGAATGTCGCCGCCCATGAGGCTGACGAGGGATTTGGAGATGGCTAGGCCAAGCCCGGTGCCACCGTAGCGGCGAGAGGTGGAGGGATCCCCCTGCATGAAGGCTCGGAATAGACGGTCCGATGCGTCCTTGCTGATTCCCACGCCTGTGTCTGAGACGCTGACTGTCAGCCATGCACGCTGCTGTTGCTGCTGCTGCTGCTGCGGTGGTGATGTTGAATGCTGCTGCTGCTGTTGCTGCTGCTGCTGTTGCTGCTGCTGCGGTGGTGATGTTGAATGCTGCTGCTGCTGTTGCTGCTGCTGCGGTGGTGATGTTGAATGCTGCTGCTGTTGCTGCTGCTGCTGTGGTGATTGCTGCTGCTGCTGCTTCTGTTGCTGCTGTTGCTGCTGTTGCGGTGGTGATGTTGAATGCTGCTGCTGTTGCACTGGTGGTTGGTGCTGCTGCAGCCCACATTCACTCCTAACGTCAGTTCCTCCTGTCTCATGCATCGACTCACGAGTCTTAACCCGTTTGCCGCAAGAGTCTGAATTAGCCGTGTCAAATCTAACCCTCTTTCCCCCCTTTCCTTGCTCTGTGGCGTTCCCTTTGCCCGTTGCTCTTGACTCATCATACCATCCTCTTGACTCATAGCCCCGTTTCGCTAAACCCTCCAAGCAACCAACCATACTCTCTTTTACTCCCTTTCCCACCTCAATCCTTTTCACGCTCTCCTCTCCCTCACCTCCCTCCACTCCCATAGCAGCCGCACCAACAGCAGCAGAGGCAGCATTGGTATCAGGAGACGCAGTAGCAGCCGCAGCAGCAGCAGCAGAGGCAGCATTAGTATCAGGAGAGGCAGTAGCAGCAGCACCAACAGCAGCAGAGGCAGCATTAGTATCAGGAGAGGCAGTAGCAGCAGCAGCAGCACCACCATCAACAGCAGAGTCACCAGCGTTAGCAACGAGAGTGGCAGCAGCAGTAGCAGCTCCTCTTGCAGCTAGAACTTGCTGTATCTCTTCCTCAGTAGACTGCCGAATTGATACTCGCACCTCCCCACTGCTGCGTAACAAGTGAAAACAACGGGAGGAAATTAAGAGATGAGGGGAAGGGATTAGCGGCGAGCACCTCCCATTTGCAAGGCAGGAAACCTAAGCAGCCATGAAAAGGATCAAGAAAGTCTGAGTAAAAAAAAAAAAAAAAAAAAAAAAAAAAGGAACAAAATAGAAGAGAACAAAACCAAATCTGGTTTTTACCTGTATGATGTTGCACATCCTAATCAATCATGCACTCACGTCTGTGTGAACTTGATCGCGTTGGACACGAGGTTCAGAATAATTTGCCGCAGCCTCCCTGGATCTCCTCGAATGAAGCAAGGCACGTCTGAGTCGATATGGCTGTCCAGCTGTTGGAAAGAGGGGCAGGATGGGGGAGGGGGGAAGATGGTGTGGAGAGGGATGAGGGAGAGAGGGAGACGGAGGGAGGAGGGGAACAGGTCAGAGGTGGGAAGGTTGCACGAGTGATGAAGCAAGGCACGTGTGAGTCGATGCAACTGTTCAGCTCAACACCACCATCAGCCCTTCTAGGCACTCACCTGCAGGCCCTTGTCTGCTGCAGCAACGGACAGCAGGGCTGTAGCGTTTTTCACGCACGTGGCGAGGCAGAAAGGTACGTCCTCCAGAGGCAAACTCAACCCCACCCCACAACACCACCCATCAACACCGCACTCAACACCCCCATCATCCATTCTTGGCCCTAACCTGCAAGCCCTTGTCTGCTGCAGCAACGAACAGCAGGGCAGTGGCATCCCTGACGCACGTGGCGAGGCAGAAGGGCACGTCCTCCAGAGGCAGCGACTGGCTCTCGATCTTGGACAGGTCGAGCACGTCTCACTGCCCTTAGGCCCCTCCCACCCAGTTACTCACCTTCAGGCCCTTGTCTGCAGCAGCAACGGAGAGAAGAGCAGTAGCCTCTTTCACGCACGTGGCGAGGCAGAAGGGCACGTCCTCCAGAGGCAGCGACTGGCTCTCTCTTGATCTTGGACAGGTCGAGCACTCTGCCCCCAACCACTCCCCTCACGGCTCACCTGCAAGCCCTTGTCGGCTGCAGCAACGGAGAGCAGAGCAGTGGCTTCCCTGACGCAAGTTTCAATGCAGAAGGGCACGTCCTCCAGAGGCAGCGACTGGCTCTCGATCTTGGAGAGGTCGAGCACGTCTGAGATGATTCGCAGCAGGTTGTCTCCTGACGTGCGGATGATGTCCAGATAGGAACGTTGTTCCGCGGTGAGTGGGGTATCGAGAAGAAGCTCCGCCACCCCCACCACGCCTGAGGAGAGAGGGGAAGGGGTGGGAGAGACAGCACACACAGAGGTCCAACACGTCTGAGATCATTCTCAGCAGGTTGTCCCCTGAGGTGCAGATGCTCTCCAGATAGGAGCGCTGCTCTGCCGTGAGGGGAGTGTCTTGTAGAAGCACCGCCACCCCCACCACGCCTGGTGTTTTGTGTGGTGTAAGGATACGGGAGAGGGGACGGAGGGAGAGTGAGATGGAGGGTTGCTACCTGCCGTGTGTGTTGGAGTGAAATGGGCTCTCGATCTTGGAGAGGTCGAGCACGTCTGAGATGATCCGCAGGAGGTTGTCCCCTGAGGTGCGGATGATGTCCAGGTAGGAGCGCTGCTCTGCCGTGAGGGGAGTGTCTTGTAGAAGCACCGCCACCCCCACCATGCCTGGTGTTTTGTGTGGTGTAAGGATACGGGAGAGGAGACAGAGGGAGAGTGAGATGGAGGGTTGCTACCTGCCGTGTGTGTTGGAGTGAAATGGGCTCTCGATCTTGGAGAGGTCGAGCACGTCTGAGATGATCCGCAGGAGGTTGTCCCCTGAGGTGCGGATGATGTCCAGGTAGGAGCGCTGCTCTGCCGTGAGTGGAGTGTCTTGTAGAAGCACCGCCACCCCCACCACGCCTGGTGTTTTGTGTGGTGTAAGGATACGGGAGAGGGGACGGAGGGAGAGTGAGATGGAGGGTTGCTACCTGCCGTGTGTGTTGGAGTGAAATGGGCTCTAGATCTTGGAGAGGTCGAGCACGTCTGAGATGATCCGCAGGAGGTTGTCCCCTGAGGTGCGGATGTTGTCCAGGTAGGAGCGCTGCTCTGCCGTGAGGGGAGTGTCTTGTAGAAGCACCGCCACCCCCACCATGCCTGGTGTTTTGTGTGGTGTAAGGATACGGGAGAGGAGACAGAGGGAGAGTGAGATGGAGGGTTGCTACCTGCCGTGTGTGTTGGAGTGAAATGGGCTCTCGATCTTGGAGAGGTCGAGCACGTCTGAGATGATCCGCAGGAGGTTGTCCCCTGAGGTGCGGATGATGTCCAGGTAGGAGCGCTGCTCTGCCGTGAGGGGAGTGTCTTGTAGAAGCACCGCCACCCCCACCACGCCTGGTGTTTTGTGTGGTGTAAGGATACGGGAGAGGAGACGGAGGGAGAGTGAGATGGAGGGTTGCTACCTGCCGTGTGTGTGGGAGTGAAATGGGCTGTCGATCTTGGAGAGGTCGAGTACGTCTGAGATGATCCGCAGGAGGTTGTCCCCTGAGGTGCGGATGATGTCCAGATAGGAGCGCTGCTCTGCCGTGAGGGGAGTGTCTTGTAGAAGCACCGCCACCCCCACCACGCCTTATAGGGAGAGGGGGACGGGGAAGGAAGGAGAAAGGGAGAGAGAAAGGTGATTCATACTGCGGAGGTTGTATCCTGAGGTGCGGATGATGACGAGATAGGAGCGCTGCTTGGCTGTGAGAGGTGTGCCTAGCAGCAGTTCTGCCACGCCCACCACGCCTGAGGTATTGTGTATGGTGCATGGGGAAGGGGAAGGAGGGGAGAGGTAGAGGGAGACACGGGAGACACACACACGTCTGAGATGATTCTCGGCAGGTTGTCTCCTGACGTGCAGATGATGTCGAGATAGGAGCGCTGCTCGGCTCTGAGGGGGTGTGAACCTACCATTCTCCAGTATACTTTCAGACACCACAGCCAACCAGCACGCACCGTTCATGGGCGTGCGGATCTCGTGGCTCATATTCGCCAGGAAGATGCTCTTCGCCTCGCTCGCCGCTTCTGCCACTTCCTTGGCTCGCCCCTGCACCATGCACACCCCCGCACCATGCACACACTCATGCACGCCCAGCACCTACCCACCCCCTCGCACCATTCATGGGCGTGCGGATCTCGTGGCTCATATTCGCCAGGAAGATGCTCTTCGCCTCGCTCGCCGCCTCTGCTACCTCCTTGACTCGCCGCAGTTTCTCCTCCTGCTGGCGTCCTTGGCTACCTTCTGAGTCGACTCAAAAGTCCCACCCAGCCCCCCCACATGCAAGCAGGCATCCATGTATAGCCACCCACCCACCCACCCACCCAGCCCCCCTTACCATTCATGGGGGTGCGGATCTCGTGGCTCATGTTCGCCAGGAAGATGCTCTTGGCTTCGCTCGCAGCCTCTGCCACTTCCTTGGCCTTCCGCAGTTGCTCCTCCTGCCGCAGCGTCTCTGTCAGGTCGTGCCACGTGCCCACAAACACGCTGTCTGCTCCCACACGCATGAGCTGTACGGGAGTGGGGACGAGAAGGGGGAAGGAACGATGCTCCTGACTTTATTACTCTCAAGGAGCTTTAAAACTCCTTGGCTCGCCGCCGCAGCTGCTCCTCCTGCCTGAGTGTTTCTGTCAGGTCGTGCCACGTGCCCACACACACACACACTGTCTGCGCCCACACGCATCAGCTGATTGTGGGAGAGGAAGGGTGGAGGGGAAGCGAGGAAGGCGGGAAGAATGACGGGAGTGGGGGGGGGGGAGAATGGGTAAGAGAGCAAGGGAACACAGGAGGCAAGAATGGGGACAAAGTCACACTGTCAGTGCCAACGCGCATCCTGTCAGTGCCTATGGCATATGCGCGCGTATTGCCCACCTGAACGGTATGCATATCCTACATGGGGGTGAATGATAGGAACGATACAGTACATACATGGTAATGAATGAAGGGGAGAGGCTCCCCATCTCGCTTCTTGTATGTCCACGTCACCACCACCTCCCCCCTCCGCCACCTCCGAGCAGCAGCCTATAGCCACTGTAAGGGCCCGATCCGCACAATGGAGGTTTACCTGGTAGTGAATCCGAAGGGGCAGAAGCTCCCCATCTCGCCTCTTGTAAGTCCACGGCACCACCACCTCCCCTCTCTCCACCACCTCCTGCTCTACCCTACGATATTTAAGCGTGCGTGGGATATGAGCAGAGGAACATTACCTGGTAGTGGATCCGGAGGGGCAGCAGCTCCCCATCCCCCTTCCTGTAAGTCCACGGCACCACCACCTCGCCTCTCTCCGCCACCTCCCGCCCCACCCTCGCCGCTTTCTCCTCAGACCTCTCCCCGTCCGGCTGGAACTCGGGGGAGAGAGGCGGGGAGGAGCACCCCAGCGCAACAACAGCCTATCACCTCTGTAAGCGTGCGATCATGACTTGGGCTGAGGAACTTTACCTGGTAGTGAGTCCGCACCTGATAGTGAATCCGGAGGGGAAGGAGCTCCCCATCTCGCTTCCTGTAAGTCCAAGGCACCACCACCTCCCCTCGCTCCGCCACCTCCCGCCCCACCCTCGCTGCTTTCTCCTCAGACCTCTCCCCATCCGGCAGGAATTCGGGGGAGAGAGGGGGGGACGCGCAGCCCAGGGAAACGGCGTGCCGAAGGGCCGCTTTGGAGGGGTAGCGGAGGAGGAGGAGGGCTGCTGGATTGCAGTCGAGAAGCTGGTGGCTCATGCTGTATACCACTATCGGATCCTGGTGTAAGGGGGATGATGAGTAGGGGAAATGGCGGTGAGGGGGACAGCCAGGGGGGATGGCGTGGGGGATGGAGGATGGGAAGAGGCGGGGGGAGTGGAGGGGGGGGGGGAGGGTTTAAGCTGGGGCTTGGGGGAGAGAGGGGGAGAGGAGCAGCCGAGGGCAACGGCGTGCTGGAGGGCCGCTTTGGAGGGGTAGCGGAGGAGAAGGAGGGCTGCTGGGTTGCAGTCGAGAAGCTGGTGGCACATGCTGTATATTACTATCGGATCCTGTTGTAGGGGGGACGAGGTGCAGAGGAGGGGGGTGCGGCGGGGAGGATGGCAAAGAGGATGAGGATGGAGAAAAAAATACTTAAAACTGCCCGAAAATGACTTTGAAATTTGTCACCATTAGCTTCAAAATTACCTTGGATTTCTCGTAAATGCTCCTGAACAGCCCATACTCCTGCAGTGCTTCTTGTAGCCTACACGCTGCGTTTCTCGCCCACCGAACCATACCATCAGCACCAGCACCACCACCAGGAGCAGCAGCAGCAGCAGCAGCATCAGCGCCACCGTGTGTTTCTTTATAAGGCGCCTCGATACACGCTGCTGTTGTACCTGCTTCCACCGCCTCTAATGCTCCTCCTTGCGTTGCTCGGACAATCGCTCCAGCAGCAACTGCATCTGTGTCTCCTTTGTGAGGGTGTTCATCTTGTCGGGCTGCTCCTGCTCCAACAAATCCCCATGCTCCTGCTGCTGCTCCTGCTGCTGCCCCAGACCTTGTCGCCTCCGTGACCCCTCCTTGCCACGTTGCTCGAACTCTCGCTCCGGCAGCAACTGCATCTGTGGATCCTTCGTGAGGGGGTTCATCTTGTCGACCTGCTGCTGCTCCTGATCCTGATGCTCCTGCTGCTTCTTCTCGTGCTCCTGCTCCCGCTCCTGCTTCTGATGCTTCTACTGCTCTCGCTCCGGTTGATTCTGCTTCTGCTGCGCCTGCTGCTCCTGCCGCTCCATCCCCACACTCAACATTTGCTGCCTCCCCTGCTCTCAGAGAGGCAGTGCCTCCTTGCTCACTCGTTTGCCCCTCCCTCCCCCCTGCTATCTCCTCGGCAACACCCGCACCGTCCCCACATATCACCTGCATCTCATGAACCAGCTGCGGCCCCCATTCGGCCAGCTCTTCTAGGGGGAGGTGGCAACTGGGGTAGAAGAGACTGGGAGGACCAAGCGGAGAAGCATCAGTGGCGGTGATGGTGGTGGTTACGGTTGGTGCACAAGGGGGAGCACCGGTTGTTGTGGCAGGAGAGGCGGCAGGCTGAATAGAAGCAGAGGAGGTGCCTTTACTGAGGCGACACACTGTCTGGATTGCTTGATTTAGAGCTGAGACAAGTTGTGCTGTGGCTCTGCTGGTATCAGATTGTTGGATCTGTAAAGGAAAAAAAGAAAGAGCAGGAGAGGAAAGGTGTGTGGAAAGGGAGAAAAGGAAATAAATGCGTGCACCCACACACACACACACACACACACACACACACACACGAACACAAATACACACACACACACCACACACACACACACACACCCACACACACACCCACACACACACATACACACCCACACACCCACCCACACACACACCCACACACACACACACACACACACACACACACACACACACACACACACACACATGTGGCCCTCGTTTTACACATTACTACTCGCATCCCCAAAATTATAACCTACTATCGCCTCTGATTGAACACATCTATTGTGATTTGCTTCACTTTCAAGCCATGTAGACTTTGGGCGAGCAGGAATGAGCAGAAACGTTACCTGTGGGCTCAGCTCCCCATAAGTCTTCAGACGAAAGCTGGCCACCAGAAGGCTTTCAGAATCCAACTGACATGCTGTGTTGCCATCATGCGGCGTAGTAAAAGGATCACTTCTAGTAATACTACTGGTATGTGCCCTATCTTCAACTTGAAGGAGCTCCAGGGTGACTTCAACGGGAAGCGGAGCCTTCTGAAACGAAGCTTCTGGCGTGACTCTGTTAAGAAATGATGCACCTGCAGTACTGGAATCCGCAGCTCCATGATTTAGCAGAGGAGCAGTCGTAGTAGCAGTACCAATGCACTGACAAATTTTAGCGTCAGACGTTGGCAGAACGAGTTTCCCTTCAAGAATAATAGTGTTGTCTTTTTGGGAGACCAACTGATCGATAACTTCAGCCCAACTTGGGTTTGAACTAAAGCTGAAGCTCCCCTTCGATTTGCGTCTGAAAGTGTTTGCAGTTTCCGCCTCCCCAGAAAGCTTTCCCTTGGGATCTACGAGGAAAATGTCGGTGAAGTGGAGGGTCGTGAGCTGGTTTTCGCAGCAGCTGTCAAGCGCGGATAAAGCTCCTCTGCTGGCGGCGATGATGCGAGAATCTGTTGGTGAGAGAGCGAGCTGCGATGTTCCTCGGTATTGCCGTAGAAAGCGAAGCATTGACATGTTGGAGAACACAAAAATGGTAAGTTTGGAAGCGCCTGGTGGAAACGACGAGGAATGCAATAAGTAGTAGCCGCGCTCAATCACGGAGTAGCAACAGCCACATCATTTTTTCGCAAGCAAAGATAGTAGCAAGCGTCCAGATCTGATTTCTTTACCAGAATACTATTTTGCAACAAATCTCGTGCAAGCAGGAATGTCGGCCCTGAGTTCTGCCTTCGCAGTGCTCAAAGCTTTCGTATACATTTGAAAAAGGGAGGTTCAAAAGTTTTGAAATTTGAAATATTGGTAACCCAGAAACAGCTAGTTTCACTCGCTTCACAAGGGAGGTGATCTCCCCGTCACCCAGGGCTCACTGGTGATTCAAAACTTTTGGAATAACAAAAGTATACGAAATCCAGTCCATGTGAGATCTACGCCACTACGCTCAACAGGCAGCATAAATCGTAGCAAAGCACATCGCGACAACAGCCAGCGCAAATCACTCCCGTTTCCGACACAAACTTAGACGCGTGGGGCAGTTTAGTGTAATTACACGTCCGAGCCAACGTCAGTTCCGCCCTCTAACACGGCGAGCCCGCCGGACCCCTTCTCACAGCCTCGCCTCGTCGTCCGTCGCGTTGCCTCACCACGCGGCCTCCTCACGCCACCATGAACGCGCACGCTGCGTCTCAAACTGCCGAACACGCACGATCACAGTCGCTTCCCGATCGCGCGACCTCGCTACCACGTTTCCGCAGTAGCGGCGGCAGCCGCAATTGAGGTGTCGCGAGGGTAATCAGAAACGATTGCTCCCCATTACCTCTTCCCGCCTCCCCGTTTCCCCTTCCCGCCTCCCCAATTCCCCTTCCCGACACCCCATTTCCTCTTCCCGCTCCCCATTACCCCTTCGCGCCTCCTCGTTTCCCCTTCCCGCTCCCCATTACCCCTTCCTGCCTCTGCAATTCCCCTTCCCGCCACCCCATTTCCTCTTCTCGCTCCCCATTATCCCTTCCCGCCTCCTCGTTTCCCCTTCCCGCTCCCCATTACCCTTTCCCGCCTCCCCAATTCCCCTTCCCGCTCCCCATTACCCCTTCCCGCCTCCCCAATTCCCCTTCCCGCTCCCCATTACCCCTTCTCGCCTCCCCAATTCCCCTTCCCGCTCCCCATTACCCCTTCCCTCCTCCCCGTGACCCCTTCCCGCTTCCCCATTACCCCTTCCCACTCCCCATTTCCCCTTCCCGCCTCCCCAATTCCCCTTCCCGCCTCCCCGCTTCCCCTTCCCACTCCCGATTATCCCTTCTCGCCTCCCTTCTCAAACTGCCGAACACACATCACAGTCGCCGCCCGATCGCACAGCCTCGCTACCACGTTTCCGCACTAGCCGCGGCAGCCGCACTCTCATTTCCCCCCTTGCAGACTCTCATTTTCCCCCTTGCTCACTCTCATTTCCCCCCCATGCTCTCCCTCATTCCTCCCCCCTTCTCCCTCTCATTCCCCCCATGAAGCCCCTCATCCCCCCCTTTCTCCCTCTCATCTCCCCCCCTGCTCCCTGTCATGTCCCCACCTTCTCTCTCTCATGTCACCCCCTTCTCCCGCTCATTCCCCCCCATTCTCCCTCTCATTTCTTCCCCTTCCCCCTCTTATATCTCCCCCTACTCCCTCTCATTCCCCCCATGAAGCCCCTCATTCCCCCCCTTTCTCCCTCTCATCCTCCCCCCTGCTCACTGTTATGTCCCCCCTTCTCTCGCTCATGTACCCCCCTTCTTCCTCTCATTTCCCCCCCTTATCCCTCTCATTCTCCCCCCTGCTCCTTCTCATTCCCCCCTTAACCACTCAGTTAAATGCCACATAACCTCCCTCTCATTTCCCCGCATTCCCCCCCCCTTCCCCCTCTCGTTTCCCCCCATCTCCCTCTCCTTTCCCCACGTGCTCCTTCTCATTCCCCCCCCCTTCTCCATCTCGTTTCCCCCCCGCTCATTTCCCCCCATCTCCTTTCATTTTCCCCCCTTCTCCCTCTCATATGCTTCTAACCCCTACCGTACCCTTGGATGATCGCATGCCATACTCATCCATCCGCTGCCATACACCGCCACACCCTTCCATCTCCTCCCATACCCTTCCATACGCCAGCCAAGCCCGTCCCTCATTCTGCCATACCTTGCCATACTCTGCCATACCTTTCCTTCCCTAGCGTAAGTGTACCATTCCCTTCCATACCCCAGCCATACCCATCCATCCCCTGTCATACCCTTCCATTCCCTTCCATACCCTTCCATACCTTCCATTCCCTTCCATACCCTTCCATTCCCTTCCATACCCTTCCATTCCCTTCCATACCCTTCCATTCCCTTCCATACCCTTCCATACCTACCATTCCCTTCCATACCCCAGCCATACCCTTCCATACCCTTCCATTCCCTTCCATAGACTTCCATTCCCTTCCATACACTTCCATTCCCTGCCATTCCCTTCCATTCCCTGCATTCGTGCACAGGCATATGACTAGTCACGTGATTGGTATCGAAGAATCCAGGGTTGGGTGATAAAGGTTATGTATATAGTGATACAATTGTAAGGACTTTTTTTATAAAACATGTTGTGAGGCTACGAGCTTGATTTTGGTCCTGAAGTGCCAAAAATGTACTAGAGTTGGGAGTGTATGCATGCTTCTTGAATCACAAGTGCATAGTAATAAATACGCAGGGAGCTGCCGCACAAGTTGGCGGCTGCTGTTGTATGCCTGGCGTTGGTGTGCAGCAGAGGGGAGCGATGCATTGTGTGCTGCTTGGTGGACCTGCCGGTGAGAGGAGTGGGGGGGGTCAGGGCTGAGAAAGGGACGAGGAAGGGGAAAAAGAAGGCACATATCAGGGTGAGCTCAACCAAAGCCTGGAGAGAGTGCCCTTAGTCATCCAAGTGGCGTGAAAACGGTTGTCTAGGCAAGTCCCAAGGCATGCGATGGGACGCGCACAGTACCTGAGAGGCGTGAACGATGGGACAAAACTTGAGATGAGTCGAGCTCGCTTGCACGCACCATCTGCCGCAACAGCCTCGCTACCTCCTCCTTCTCCCTCTCCCTCCGCCTCGCTTCCTCATCGAGCCTCACACCCTGCTCGCTCCCCAGTCCACTGCTGACATGGCTGCTTCGATAGTGTGCACCCATCGTGAGAGACCCGCATGCTGCATCTCCTGCGGCTTGCGCACTCATGAGCGCGCTCGGCTGTGAGACCGCAGCAGGGCTCACTCGCTCTTGGTTCTGCTGTTGCTGCCCATGCACCTGCCGCTGTTCTTGCAAGATCATCCCAGCTCCAACTCCTCGTGGGAGCTGCTGCTACATTTGCTCCACAAATGCTAGGTCCAGTAGGAGCTCAATCCGCAGGAGCAGAAGTATGGTCAGAACCGGGGCAGTTGCAGAGTCACACGGGTTGGGGCCAACAGCCGGCGTCGGCAGTCCATAGTCAAAGGAGTGGGGCGAACAATCCTCCCCACTGGCTGCTCCTCGCCTCATGTCTCCTCCTCCTCCACCATGCCTTCCCCTCCTTTCCTGAGCTACCTCCTGCTCCGGGGGGAACACCAAAGGAAGGAACACTGGGTGTGGCAGCAGAGGCAGCTCCGGCAAAGGCAGCAGCGGCGGCAGTATGGGCAGGGACTGAAGGAGCGAGTGGGATCTCATGGGAGGTGAGATGACCCTGGAAGGAGGGGGGATGAGAAATTAAGGCATGGCGATGGGAGAGCGTGGAAGGGAGAATGGAAGGGAAATGAGAGGGAGGAGGGGGAGAGATGAGAGGAGCAAGGGGGGAAATGAGAGGGAGGAGGGGGAGAGATGAGAGGAGCAAGGGGGGAAATGAGAGGGAGGAGGGGGAGAGATGAGAGGAGCAAGGGGGGAAATGAGAGGGAGGAGGGGGAGAGATGAGAGGAGCAAGGGGGGAAATGAGAGGGAGGAGGGGGAGAGATGAGAGGAGCAAGGGGGGAAATGAGAGGGAGGAGGGGGAGAGATGAGAGGAGCAAGGGGGGAAATGAGAGGGAGAGGGGGAGAGATGAGAGGAGCAAGGGGGGAAATGAGAGGGAGGAGGGGGAGAGATGAGAGGAGCAAGGGGGGAAATGAGAGGGAGGAGGGGGAGAGATGAGAGGAGCAAGGGGGGAAATGAGAAGGAGGAGGGGGAGAGATGAGAGGAGCAAGGGGGGAAATGAGAGGGAGGAGGGGGGGAGATGAGAGGAGTAAGGGGGGAAATGAGAGGGAGGAGGAGGGGAAATGAAGGGGAGCAGTGGGGGAAGTGAGAAGGAGCAGGAGGGGAAATGAGGGGGAGCAGTGGGGGAAGTGAGAAGGAGCAGGAGGGGAAATGAGGAGGAGCAGGCTGGGAAATGAGGGGAAGAATGGGGGGAATGAGGGGGAGAAGGGTTAGAACTGAGAGGGAGAAGGGGGGAAAATGAGGGAGAGAAGGGGGGAAAATGAGGGAGAGAAGGGGGGAAAAATAGGGGGAGAAGGGGGGGAAATGAGGGGGAGAAGGGAGGCAAGTGGAGAGGGAGTAGGGGGGGTTGTGAGGGGGAGAAGGGGGGAGGGGGGGTAATTAGAAGAGGATGCGCTTAGCGGGAGAGGCGCTATGCGGGCGCTAAGCGGGAAAGGCGCGCAGCGGGTGCGGCGCTAAGCGGGAGAGGGTGAGGCGACACGCGGGAAAGGCGCACAGGGGGTGAGGCGCGAAATGAGAGAGGCGCGCAGCGAGTGATTCGTTGCGCGGGAGAGGCGCGCAGCGGTTGCGGAGCTAAGCGGGAGAGGCGCGCAGCGGGTCAGGCGCTAAGCGGGAAAGGCGCGCGGCGAGTGATACGCTAAGCGGCATGGCGCGCAGAGGGTGAGGCGCTAAGCGGGAGAGCTCCCAGCATTGGAGGCGGTAAGCGGGAGACCCGCGCAGTGGGTGAGGCGCTAAGCGGGAAATGCCTACCGAGCGGGTGTTGAGAGTGGCGGCGTGGCCAACGCATGGAACGATGCGATCCCGCCGTCGGCTCCGTAATTTTCAATCGGCTTACTCGATCGCACCTACCCAGCGTGGTGATGCAACCCGTCGAGGCGCCCTTGACAGGGCTTCGACGGGGCCCATCAATGCAGCACGACGCGCTCGACGAATGCAGAGCCTTTCCCTCTCCGATTGCCGCTGAACGGCGCAGCAGTGGAAAGGAGCTGGCGTGCAAGCTAGATGTATTTTCCCACTCGCACAAGCCTATAATGTTACCTAAACTCATCTCACATGAGAATATCTGAGCGGTGTCGATGCTCCGCATGTTCTTTGTCGCGCCCCGGTTCCTCTATCTATGCTTAGCGTATGTTAGTCACATATCATGGTTCCTAGTGAAATCTGACTCCAAGGTTGGGTGACGGGGGAGTTTCCTGTGTTTGGAACTCCTCAAAGCTGCAATTTTTCGCCAAACCTCTCGCCACGCTCAGTTGTTTCGTTCTGGCGAATTTTTCCCTGGCTACAGTGCAAGTCCAAACAGTACTTGCAAATGTATACGAAAGCTTCAAGTGGGGTTGGGTGTTGGTTGGGGTGGTGGGGTGGGTTGAGAAGGGGGAAGAATCTTCTGCACGGTGGACTTGCAGGCACGCGTGGAGGAGGGTCCCCTCGAGCTTGCCCTCTCCCATCCCATCCCAACCCAGCTGGTGTTCCCCAACCCAAACCTGCTCCGCCCCGCCCTGATCCATCGCCCTATATGTTATCTCGAACTCTGCCAAGCGGAGATTGCCCACCAGATGGGGTAAAATGCGGAGGTGGTGGATTCGGGTTTGATGCGGGGTAATCAGATCGGCGAATGTGTAGTGCCAAAGAGAAAAGGGAGCTGGGTTTAACGCAGAACGGTTGAAAACGTGTTGGGTGGGTACGTAGGGGTTCGGGGTGTCCTTTGACCATAAACCTGGGCTGGGAGGGCGGAAACTCGAGCGCCAGTCCCCAAAACAAGGCACCCACTGGGAATTGCTGGCGGAATGAAATGAATGGATGGATCATCTGCCTTGGTGCTCACGACCAACCATGACCTTGCGATCGGCCATCACACCTCAACCAGCGCAAGCTACATGCTTTGGCATCTGCTGCAACTCTAGGGTTTCTGTCGTGTTGGTTGGTTGGTTGGTTGGCAGGGGGAGGCTGCTGGATGGACAGGAGGGGTTTGGGGCTGGGCTGGGGACAGGGGTGGAACAGACGAGAGCTAGCCAGCCAGCCACACAGACGCAGCCCGCCAGCACCAACACAGTTTTGAGCGCATCGAATTCCAGCTAGAAAGGATAGGATATGATTTTTAAAAAATTGATCAGAGGGGTGTTTGCCGTAAAAAAACGCCAATGACTGCAAAGGTGCTAACCTTCAACTTCACTGTACAGTGTGAGGAATGATTGGAAGAAAAAAACCCTTCCCAAATGTGCATCAATCCAAACTACAGCAAGATCAGTAGACGTCTCTGTCTGTTCTGAACCACAGACGGGCAGGACTCATTCAACGCTTGAATGCAGCAACCCCAATGGGGAAATTATATAGGAGGTCACACTGATGCCCGTTTTATCAAGTTTGGTCACAGGGGTATCATAAACAGTCACAGTACAGTAGATTTCTATCGCGGGTGATCACAGTGCTATCACGGATGGTCACACCTCCCCCCGAAAAGCTATCACGTTTGGTCACTCGATGAAACGATAATAATAAATTTGAAACCACGAAAGAAACAGTAGAAATTTAGGGAATCCCAACCTTGATTGCTTGTTACCCCGCGCATTATTCTAGCCCTGACATTTAGGGAATTGAAGAAAAAAATAAAACCCCTACTGGATGGGACATCCTTCGGGAGGCATCAACCCTAAACACTATGCGACAAGGTGTTTAGGGTTGATGCTCCCGAATTATATCCCATCCGAACGGGTTTTAGTTTTTGTATACGGAGAAAAATAAACCTTAGAGTTTCATCCGTCTAAAAGTGATATTCTTAGGGACATTATGCATCGATCGAACAGTGGACATTCGAATAGTAAAGAAGAAATTGCATATGGTTTTAACGAGTTACCGAGAGTTGTCGCGAAACTTTTTCGTGATACTACGGACAAAACGGCGCGCGGGATAAAATTTCCCCTGAATCCCTACAGTTACTCGAGTAGTTACAATTCTCGATTGGGCGTTTCATATATGACCAAACGTGATAAACTTGCGGGGCAAGGTGTGACTATCCGTGATAGCACTGTGATCACACGCGATAGTTACGAGGTGTACTGTGACTGTTCGTGATACCCCCGTGACCAAATATGATAAATCGGGCCTAATTGTGACTACCTATATAATTTCCCAACCCCGATGTGCCCATCATGTCACACGTCACGTACTGTAGTTGTCCTCGTCCCCAACTCAGCTGACGTTTTCTGTCATATGTCATCCACCCCTCCAACGGGCAGCGACGTCTCGATTCATGATTTGTCTGATTGGAACGAACTTCCATCCTTTGCGGTCCACCATTCTGGCGGGACCTGTTCTTTCAGATACACCCTACTTCGCGCTATAATGGGTTCCGTTATATATCTAACGCACACTCAACCACCCATTTTCACGAGTCCCACAAACAGTCTACTCTAGCAATGGTACAACTTCAAGGGCAACGCCCCAATCTTCAACGACAAAACATATATATTCTTGACCGCGCAAAGTTTAACCCAGTTTCCCTTGCAAAACACGAAACGCAACCCAGAAAACTGGGAATCGTAGTTGCAGTGGTAACTCTAGTACTGTTTTGAGTCCGAGTTTGCCCCTACCAAACCGTTACGCGGTTCACGCGCAAAGTGCCGTTTAAAAAAAAGTGGAGAGAACGGGACCTCAAGTGCACTCAACCATGGGGCTGACTGCGCACAAGAAGGAGTTATAGTCAACTTTCGCATCAGTGCGATTATTACGTTCGATGGCGGTCAATCAAACTTTTGGAAGGGCTGGGTGGGGAACTTATGATTAAAAAATATTTGGACCAACCACGTGCTATAGACGGTTATAGTCAACACATCGAATTTGTCCAAGGGACTACACAACTATTCAGTATGTTTTCGAAGTTTCTAGTAGCACGAAACATGGGTCCGGTTCGACAGGCCTTTTGATGGGATCACGACAGGATCACGAATCCCACCAGCGCCTTCGTGATCCCATCAAATTAGGGCTTAGGCAAGGGCAGCCCCCCAAAATTGTGCCGAAGCTGGCAATCATATTCGAACCTCGGTGGAATCACTGAACTTGCAAACACCCACTTTTGCTGAAAGGATCCGGGGATCACGAATGCGCGGTGCACTTTGGCACCACTTGCAAGAGTAAGAAGCAACTAGAAGGCTATAAACAGTCCATAGCCGTGCGACGCAACAGTATGGACAGGGACGCTCTTCTCTCTAGCTTGCAGCAATGGTCTGAGACCGCTGAAAGTGCCTCCGCGAGACAAGCTGCGACTACTCCTTCAGCTAGCACCGCGCCGTTTAGCACAGCCATTAACATTGCTCCGCTCTCGCGTGACCAACCTTACGTGCCTCATTATCGCCCAGTAGCCAGTGATCCTCCATGCCTCGAGGGAGTGGCCGGGCAATCGAGCATGCAGGGCCCTCCTCTGCCCTCCGCAATAGATTTAGAGGACATCACATATAATTTAGAGAGCGACACCGTTGAGATGGGTCGCCATACCTGGAGCGATAGCCTCACAGCCAACCTCTGCAGCTGCGTGATCGCGAACTTTGTGTCCCATTCGTAAATTATCGTTGTGGTGTCCCATGAAAGCGAACGAGAGTGGGGAGAAGAGGAGAGCAAATTATTTTTGCATTATTTTATGCCGCATCAATCTAACCGAGGTCAGTTTCCAAGTACCTTCATTGCCTCATTAACCGAAGATTACTGCTGCGTCGACGTTGCCATAAAGGCCCGAAATTAACCGCGTGCAACTTTTCGAAATTGGTTCATAGGTACATTGCAATCTGCCCGATACGCCCGTTTCGAGCGTAAACTAACCCTCCTCCCAACATAAGATATAATAGCACAACGTTGTTAACGGTCAGCTTTTGGGCGCTTTTGCCTACCCAGTACACATTGGGGGGCTTATTGTCACGGCCTCGCATAGCTGGTTCGGACGCTCATTCGCACATGAGAGGGCGAATTGCTCTGCACTAGTTGTGCGGACAACTGACGGTGTCTTATAGGCATACGGGCTCAGGCTAGGCAAAAGCTATACCAGAAAGGAAACTTCCTCGCTAAGAAGTCTCCTCTCGCCCATCTGAGAATTTTCAACGCAAGGGGGCGGAAGAAGAGGCTACAGCAGAGCGAAAATTTGGCACCTCATATGCGAAACTTTTGGGGTCGGTTCCTGCGCTGGATATAAAACGTACACCAAATTTCGACAAGGTGCACTGACACACGCCCACTGGAGGAGAGGCTGAGTAAGGATTTTCATGCTCGAGTGTTTTTTAAAGGCATTCAATGCAGCAAGGGGGTCGGACATATAAGAGCGTGTTCCTGCGGCCTCATATCAGGCAACCTCGTATCAGAGTCGTGTCGAACCGCACTAAAACGCATCCAACCGCAGTCGAACATGTTGGAGGTTGCGTGAGGCAACCTTGCCCCCAACCACCGAACGGTGTTGGCTTGGTGCTCACTTTCGAGTGAGTTGCAGGTTGGCGTGGGGTTGAAGGATCGACTTCACTGCAGGTGTCAAGAAGGTGCAGGTTGACTTCGGAGGACTTGCACTTCGGTTCCACATGGCAGCACAAGAAGAATCGAGACTCAGGGAGAATTCGATTCGGTGAAATTCGAGAGTCGAATTTCACCCCTTCAATGTTACTCGAACATTCGAGTGTACCGCGGTTCGAGGTTACATGTGCGATTCGACGTTTTGCAGTTCATATAAATGATTTTGCTTTGTATTGCATGGTGAGTGAGAACCAGAGTTCTTTGTACGTGGTACATTCGAACCTGAAATTCCAGAGAGCTTCTATACTTGCATTCAAGAGCACCACCTAGCACGTGGACGCCTATATTTCGGCGGATACTTATCGATCGACGTGTTTGACGGCTCGTTGGAAAGCTAAGACAGAGCTCTATTGCTTAGAACATTTCCCAGTTCCTTCCAACTAGAGGATAGTCCTCTACAACAGTGGTATCAGAGGTGGTCGGAGGAGTCTACGTGCGCGACAAGGAGCAAGCATGATGACGTCAAGCGAGGCCTCCCGCACTTCCTTGGATGGTGTCGTTGTAAATTCCGGCGAACCCTGGGCAACCGCGACGATGTTCGACACGTCAGCGGTACCGATTTTCACGGGACAAAACTACTCCGCGTAGAAGTTTAAGTTCCAAGTGCTCATGATGGAGCGGGGACTTTGGGGTTTCTTCGATGGAACGGAGACGAAGCCGGACAACGAGAGCGACATCGCGGTATGGAAGAAGAAGGACCAAAAGGCGTTCGCTACGTTGATTTCGCGCATCGGCATCAATCTCGTGAGCTCGGTGCGCATGTGTATCAAGCTCGAAGCGTCGGCGCATGAAGCGTGGAGACCATCCACGTGAACAAGACTCTCCACGGCAATATCCTAGCCCGGAATGCGTTCTACACGGTGAAGATGCGCGCGGGCGAATCGATGCACGAGTATGCGACTCGTGTGGAGGAACTCGGGGAAACGTTCATAGACCTCGGTGGAACGGCCACGGAGGAGGATTGGATATTGACCTTGCTTTGCGGCCTTCCGGAAGAGTGGTCGACGGTGATTACGACACTCGATAGCGTGCAAGACACTTGGACGAAGGAAATGGTGGTCGGTCGGCTTCTCCACGAGAAACCGCGTCGCCGACAATTCGTTAATGAGAGCGCGGGGACCGCCATGTACTCCGGAGGGAGTTCCGGAAAGAAGTCCAAGTGGAGCAAGGGTACGACGAATGAATCGTCGGGTGGGAGCGAGCATCGTGGCAAGTGTCACTATTGCCGCAAACCGGGACACTTTTGGCGTGAGTGTCGAAAGCGGCCGAATGATTGGACTCCATCGATGGCGCGGGACCAAGAGGGAAACGCGCACACGGCATCCGGCGAGGCGGATGATTCAAGGGAGTCGCTCGTGTTATTGGCCGGCAACGGGAACAAAGCACCAAGCGACGTGTGGTTCCTCGATACCGGCGCAACGCAACACATGACGCACTCGGCGTCGCTCCTCAACAACATTGGCGCTCCGGGAGATGTCACGAGCATCGTGTTCGGAAACAACAAATCACTACCGGTGGTTGGAGTTGGGAGAACGCGCCTCATCGTCGATAGCGGACCGGTGGACGTCACGAACGTGCTTCACGTCCCGGGGTTGAAGGTGAACCTTCTATCCGTCCCGCAACTTGCGAAGAAGGGCGTGATCGCCACCATCGACGGTGGGAAGATGAACCTCTTTTGGAAGGGGGAGCAATTCGCGCAAGGTGTTCTCAACGGAGAACTCTACCAACTCAAGACGTACCCGAGAGCGGCTTCATCCAACGTGGCGCAAGGCTCCAAGGCGACTCTCAAGGCGTGGCATAATCGGCTTGCGCACGCCAACTACGAGTCGGTCAAGGAGTTGGCCAACAAAGGACTTGTGAAGGGAGTCGACGTGATCGCCGGCGACGACGAGAAGGGCGTGTGCGCGGCGTGTGTCGAAGGAAAAATGGCTCGGAAGCCATTTGGTAGCCGTACCTCACCCCTCGCTAAGGACCCGCTTGCGCTTGTTCACATGGACGTGTGCGGACCGATGCGGCATGCATCAAAGGGAGGAGCGCGGTTCCTCTTGGTGATGCTCGACGACGCGACACGGATGTGTTGGACCCGGCTCTTGAAGGCTAAGGGCGATGCGGCCAAGGCGATTCAAGAGTGGGCGCTCGAAGTTTGCGACGACGACAAGAAGCGGATCAAGTGTATTCGCACCGACGGTGGAGGCGAATTCGTGAACACGGAGCTTGAGAAATGGATGAAGAGCAAGGGCATAAAGCACGACGTCACAACACCCTACACACCCCAACAAAATGGAGCAGCGGAGCGGCTTAATCGCACGTTGATGGAGGCCGTTCGTTCACTTCTTCAACACTCCAAGCTTGGGAACGAGTGGTGGGGAGAGGCGAGTGCGCTAGCGGCATGGATTCGTAATCGTGTGCCGACAAAGGTGCTACCGGGAATGACTCCGTTCGAAGCATGGACCGGAACGAAGCCGAACCTATCCCGCCTACGCACCTTTCGGTGCCTTAGCTACTACCATGTACCGGATCCTCTTCGCCACAAGTTGCAACCGAAAGCTCGTGCGGCGATCTTCTTGGGAGTTGCGCCAAACGAGCGTGCATGGCGAGTGTGGGACTTGGGTGAAAAGCGTGTCGTCACGTCTCGGGACGCTGTTTTTGACGAAGACAAGTTCCCGTCGAAGGAGAAACCCACTCAACAACTCACCTTCATTCTTCCGCCACGAGAGGAGGTTGAAGAGAGTGAGTCTCCACCTCAAGTGGAGAAGGAAGCCGATGGAGGGGGAGAGAACAACGAGGAGAGCGTTGATGATGTCGTGAGGTTCGTCCTCCCTCCAAGTACGCCGACTATGCTACGGTAGTCGTTGGGGAGATGGATAAGGAGGGCGCGGCATATTGCTTTGCAACTCTCGGTGATGATGAACGAGTGGATTCTCTCACGAAACCACTCCCTATAGGTACGTTCCGTACATGCTATGAGCATGTTGGATTGAACACCTAGTGGCTTGGGTGTAACGGCGCTTGACGCATCAACCCTCACCAACGCGAAAGCATCCAAGTCCCGCTCATGTGCCCTCCACAGCGGTTGCTTCGGCGAGCGCGTCGCTAAGGACGCGTCGCTGAGAGCCATCAGCGGGAAAGCCGCTCTTTCCGGCCTTGTGAAGGCGCAGAAGGCTGGCCGAAGCGGCGTTGCGCTCGCCTCGCTAGATCCTCCCAAGACTGTCAGCGCGGACGCACCGCCGGCCTTCACGGCGTGGGGCGAAGACGCGCTGAACCCCGCTGGGAAGCGCACGGATATCAAGAAAATCATGATCCTGGGCGCTGGACCCATTGTGATTGGCCAGGCCTGCGAGTTCGACTATTCTGGCACCCAGGCGTGCAAGGCGCTGAAGGAGGAGGGGTACGAGGTGGTGCTGATCAACTCCAACCCCGCCACCATCATGACGGACCCTGGCACCGCCGACCGCACCTACGTCGCGCCCATGACTCCCGAACTCGTCGAGCAGGTGATTGCCAACGAGCGCCCCGACGCGTTGCTGCCGACGATGGGCGGGGAGACGGCGCTGAACCTCGCGGTGGCGCTGTCGGAGCGCGGCACTCTCGATAAGTACGGCGTGGAGCTCATCGGCGCAAAGCTGGACGCCATCAACAAGGCGGAGGACCGCGACCTGTTCAAGCGCGCCATGGAGAAGCTTGGGATTAAGAGCCCCAAGTCGGGCACTGCTAACACGCTGCAGGAGTGTTTTGACATCGCGCGCTACATTGGCGACTACCCGCTGATCATCCGCCCGGCGTTCACGCTGGGAGGGTCGGGAGGCAGCATCGCGTACAACGAGGAGGAGTTCGAGACCATCTGCAAGGCCGGGCTCAGCGCCAGCGCCACGTCACAGGTGCTGATCGACAAGTCGTTGCTGGGGTGGAAGGAGTACGAGCTGGAGGTGATGCGGGACCTGGCGGACAACGTGGTCATCATCTGCTCCATTGAAAACATCGACCCCATGGGCGTGCACACCGGCGACTCCATCACTGTCGCGCCCGCTCAGATGCTTACTGATAAGGAATATCAGCGTCTCCGTGACTACTCAGTGGCAATTATCCGCGAGATTGGAGTGGAGTGCAGGGGCTCCAACGTGCAATTCGCCATCAACCCCAAGGACGGCGAAGTCGTGGTCATCGAGATGAACCCGCGCGTCTCCCGCTCCTCCGCACTGGCGTCCAAGGCCACGGGTTTCCCCATCGCCAAGATGGCCGCCAAGCTGAGCGTGGGGTACACGCTTGACAAGATTCCGAATGACATGCTATCAGAGCGAAGGTCTCGGGTTCGAATCCCAGTGTGTGCACTTCGGGCATCCCAGTGCGGGGGGGTGTCAGAGGTCCACTGGAGATCCCTGATTGATCCTAGGGAAGGGATACAGGCACGTTGGCCTGGGGGGTTATGGGCGCACTTACCCGCTACACAAACAAGCCCTTTTATCCCGGTGGTTAGTGGCTGGGATTCTGACAGAACACACTGAAACGTATTTCACCACCCGAAGCTGATACGCGATGTGTCTCATACGAGGTGTAGGAACACGCTCTAAGTTTGCCCTACAGGTGGAGCAATGTTTGGTTTCACCCTCTGCCATAGCCCTATACTATCCCCTCGTCATTCCACCACTAGGTTTAGCTAGTTGTGAGATCAGGAAGGCTCAAGGTTCGTTCCTCCTTCTTGGGACCGTCTCCCAAGTGGCTGTGGTGTTCGACAGGCAGCCAAGCCCTTCCGCGGAACAAGTGTGGAGGTTTCGTAATTGGGTTTTTTTGGCTGGTCAGCCCATAAATTATTGCCGAATCTATCAAACACTCCTGAACCAGCCAAACAAATTCAATGCCTGTCGAACCCTACTTTAACGCTTCAGGTTTTTCCCCACTGAAACGTTCAACGCCCTTCTCACACCCGTAGAGATGAGCCTAGCTCCAGCCCAGCCCTCGCATCCCCAAAATGGAGGTTGGCCAAGGGATAGGCTAGGGTTCTATATGGGAGGGGATACCCACCCCATACCCCACGAAAGTTTTCCCACCCGTACCCACGCTCCAACCATTCCCATCTCTGCCCTGAAAAAGTCCCCGTCCCTGTCCGCTTGATGGATGTGTGGGTTTTTTTTCCCTGATTTTTACCCAGGTTCCCATGGCATGTGGTGTAAACTTTTGCATCCTGCTCACGATGAAGATGGTGGAAGGAGGGGTTGCAACATCGCCCTGACGACCCCCTCCTTCCGATCTCGGGAGGCGCTGCTTCCGATTTCGTCGGGGGGGGGGGAGGGGGGGGGGTTAGCCTAGGGGAAGTTACTCCGAAAACTCCCCTGAACATTAGCCTAACACGAGCCCTGCAAGGAGGTGGCTGCCTGTCGAACAGGGCTGGCATGTTCTGCCGGCTATGCTATCCCGTCGCGCAGCTGCGCCTGACTTGCTTTTTTTTGTGGCCTAGACGCCAGCCGCCCAAATTTTAGCCGTCAAAAGCCCACAAGCAAGTTCCGAGGAGGGACTCAAAAGCCTGCAGAAGAGGGCCATTCACTAGGCGAAGAAGGAACGAGGAAACATGGCGCGGTTAAATTTGTGCGTAAAAAAAGAGCGGTTATGAAGGCATTCGTGCTTAAATTGGTGTATCCTGGTTTGGAATGAATGTGCTTGTAACCGAACCACGATAAGTGTTCTCCTGATGCGCTGAGAAGGTTTCAAGATGGAGGTTTTTGGGCGATTAAAGCCAGGATCTCAAGTAGTTCGACTGTTTTGCAGTTGGTGAATTTAGCTAGGCTATGATTGGCTAGCGAGGTAGAGAAGTTGACGAGGGCTGAAACGAGGGATGCTAAGCAAACACAAATCGCATGGTGCTTCCGAACCACTTAAGCACGGAAATCTGGTTGGGTGCCGAAGCTACCTGCAATGTGTTTCAGCTCCCGAAAAATCTCATGGACCATTTTCAGGTGCAATCTCTATAGTACAGAAAATATGTTCAGGTGGGAGCCCGGCACATCTTTCAAAGTTTCTGTTGCGCACTGTACACACGTGCCGGAACAGAGCCTTGAAAAGATGCGCCACTCAAATCTGTACTCGCTGAGTGAAATTAATGCGCTCACACACGCTTCGTTTACCCATGCTACCAGGAACTGCTAAGACATACCCCAAAAAACAAACTAAAAGCTACAGTGACGTTGGACACATTTTTAGAAGATCACCCTAAACACGGGAACCTCCTAGTGTTTAGGGTTGATGCCTCCCCAAGATTTTCGTAAAAATAAATAAAACCCAATCGGAACGGAATTGAATCGGGAAGCATCAACCTTAAACACAATATGGGTTCCCGTGTTTAGGGTTGATCCCTCCCGAAAAGGCTTCCAGGTTCTCTAGGGGTTTTATTTTGTTTTTCGGGTGGCATTTACCGCTTCGGGTAGTTTGGTGTGTTGTCTGTTTGATTTCCGTTAGAATGTGTAGACAATAAAATCCGTCAGCTGAACAGTGAGTGGGTGGCGTGCTTGTACCAGGGCCTGTTGCGGCACGTGTGCACAGTGCTGGAACAGTGCCCGTAACAGTGCCCGTAACAGTGCCGTAAAGCTGTTGGGCTCCCACCTGAGCACATTTCCCGTACTGATGGGATTGCACCTGAAAATGGCCCAAATCTCATGCACCACCAATTTGTTTTGCAATTGCTTCACGGCCAAACGGAAATCTGTCGCACACTCAACCTCCAAACCAACCACTCGATCTCGCCTACAGAAACAGGGTGACTTGAGCTTCAATTGTTTTGAAAGTGAAGCCAATTTTTCTTACTTTAGATCCTGGCTTTAATGCCAAAAGAACGTAGCCTCAATCTCGGTAAAGGGTAAGGATGCATTCTGAAGTGATGTTCAACAAGTTAATATTCTTTTGCCTCTGTAGTAACGAGAGTCGCCAAACGAGTTCGTGTGTTCGTGTTTTAATCGGTCACCGTTCGCGAGAGTTCGACCGAATCGTTCTGTCCTCTGACTCAGTCCAAAGCGGGCTGTAAAACACGCCCTAGATTGGCTCGAGACATGGCAGAGGCCGATACACCCGGCTCCTTTCGTGCATGATAGCAAAGGATTGCTGCGGATTACGAGGCAGCGGCGCAATGGCAGCCATGCTCGTGGATATCGGAGCCTTCTTGACAGCTCCTCCTTAGCTCGGAAGGAAAATCTCAACGGACCAGGCTTCTAACATAGTAGTTCGTTGAGACGAGGAACAGGACTGGAATCACGTACCAGGCTTATTTTGTAACATACGTGGCCCGCGGGAGGCGTATTTTGAGACGGGGGAGCAATGGGTATCGCCGCGCAGTCGAAGGCGGATCGAGCGTCGAAACCGGACTCGCGAGGCTCGAAAAGCGAGAGAGGGTCGAAGGCGGAAAGAAGCTCGAAAACGGAGCGAGGGGGGGTGAAAGCGGAGAGAAGCTCGAAGGCAGAGAGAGGCAAGAAGAGCGACCTAGTAGGTCAGCTCGTGGGTCACTTAGTAGGTCAGCTACAAGGGGCGGTGAAAGCGGAGAGATTGGCGGGACTGCTCGCGCCCGGTCGCCGTGCGATTCCGCTGATTGTCATTGGCGCGCTGTGAGTGACGCATCTCGACCTTCCAGTCTCCTCGTTCCCTACCCTTTGCCATTCCTCTCCCCATTCGTCTCCCATTAGTCTCCCCATACGTTTCCCCATTCCTCTCCCCATTCCTGACCCATTCCCATCCTTCCCCGTTCCCCGCCCTTCCCCGTCTCTCCGCTTCCCCCACCCTCCCATTCCCTTCCCGCAGGTCCCTTCTCCTTCTCCTCCTGCTCTATCTTCTCCGTTTCTCCCCTCTCCTCCACTGTACTCCTAACCTCCCAAACACCACCAAAAGATTTCTGGGCAGCACCAGGAGGCTTTTGGGCAGTAGGTGACTCAAACTTCTCCCCGTTCCCTACTCTATATCCCTTCCCTTTCTCGCAGGTCCCTTCTCCTCCTCCTCCTCCTCCTCCTCCTCCTCCTCCTCCTCCTCCTCCTCCTCCTCCTCCTCTACCTCCTCCGCATCGCCCCTCTTCTCCACTCCACCTAGAGCCCAAGGAGGAGCAGCAGCGCATGCGAACAGCAGCAGAACTCGACGAATACTCCGACGCTCCATTCGACTCTTAAACACCACCTCCAGGAGATTTTCGGGCAGCACCAGGAGGCTTTTGGGCAGTAGGTAGATGACTCAAGATATTCCCCGTTCTCTGTTTTCTCCCTTCCCTCCCTGCAGGTCCCTTCTCCTCCTCCTGTTCTACCTCCTCCGCGTCTCCCGTCTCCTTCACTCCACCACCCAGAGCGCCAAGGAGGAGCAGCAGCGCATGAGAACAGCAGCCGAACTAGACGAATACTCCGAGCCTTCATTCGACTCTCAAACACCACCAGGAGAAGGTTTCCGGGCAGAAACAACAGCAGCAGGAGGAGGAAATTTCCGGGCAGAAGGTGGCTCCCGGGCAGCAGGAAAAACTTTTGCAGAGGAGGGTAGCGAATCCCAGCCGTCGTCCAGGCACGGGCTGGTTAGCAGCGCCGACGTTCTTAAGAATCCCTCAGCTTTTCGGGATCTTCTAGCAGGGAAACGAGGGCGGTGGGGGGAAGAGGGGGATGGGGAGGACGGGGGAGGGGTGACGGATGGGGGGTTGGGTTTAGGTGCGTGGGAGGGAGCGGAGAGGGGAAGCAAGGAGAGGGGTGGGGGAGGAGCTGGGAGGCAAGGCGAGCGACAGGAGAGAGGAAACGCGGTGGAAAGGCAAGCTAGTAAAGACAGCAGGGAAAAAAGCGACAACGGCTCAGGCGATAGTTCTGGAAGTAGGTCCGGAAGCAGGCTTGGTGGTAACCCTGGAGCTGCGGCAATGGGTAGCCCTGGGGATATCCCAGTGGTGCAGTTTCTTAGGGCGAGGACGGGGTGTGGGCGGGGCCGGTACGCGTTTGAGACGCTGAAGCAGGCGAGAAAGTTGAACTCGCGGGTGATTCTGATCGGGCCACGGGTGTGCAAGAGAGTGCTGGAGGCGGAGGGGGTGCAGGTGGAGGATTATGAGGAGTACAAAGGGGTAGAAGAGGAGTTTGAGAAGAGCGTTGGGGAAGTGGTGTCGTATCAGGTGAGTCCAGTAGTGGGAGATCTCAGGTGAGTGCAGCATAGGTGGGTGGTGGAGGCGGAGGGAGTGCAGGTGGAGGACTATGAGGAGTACAAGGGCGTGGAGGAGGCGTTTGGGAAGAACGTTGGGGAGGTGGTGTCGTATCAGGTGAGTAGTATCGAGAGATCCCAGGGGAATCCAGTCCAACATAGGAAATGCTCCCCTCTTCATCCCCCCCCCATCAGGTCCGCTGGTTCATCCTACACGAGTTCATGCGCCGGTGGGCCATGCCCCGCATATTCCACATGGACTGCGACGTGCTGCTCTCCCTTCCCTTCCCTTCCCTTCCCTTCCCTTCCTTGCCCCCACTCGCCCCACTCCCCTCGCCCCTCAATCCCACCAGGTGCGCTGGTTCATCCTACACGAGTTCATGCGCCGGTGGGCCCTGCCCCGAATATTCCACATGGACTGCGACGTGCTGCTCTCCCTTCCCTTCCCTTCCCTTCCCTTCCCTTCCTTGCCCCCACTCGCCCCACTCCCCTCGCCCCTCAATCCCACCAGGTGCGCTGGTTCATCCTACACGAGTTCATGCGCCGCTGGTCTCTCCCTAAGATATTCTACATGGACTGTGACGTGCTGCTCTTTGCAAATGTCACCCAGTTCGTGCACTCGCACCTGCCCAAGGCGCAGCTTGCACTGGCTGGGCGCACCCCCACGTGAGTGAATGCATCTTGCCCAGCCAATCATGCCTGTTGTGTTGCATTGGGCTTTCACCCCCCCGCATATTCTACATGGACTGTGACGTGCTGCTCTTCGCCAACGTCACTCAGTGCGTGCACACTCACCTGCCCAACGTGCAGCTGGCCCTAGCTGGGCGCACCCCCACGTGAGTCATCTCATGGACTGTGGTGGTGGTGAGATAAGCCCTCCCCCACATTTTCTACATGGACTGTGATGTGCTGCTCTTCTCTTCGCCAACGTCACTCAGTTCGTGCACACTCACCTGCCCAAGGCCGAACTCGCACTTGCCGGCCGCACCCCCACGTGAGTCCAACCAACCTACCATACCCATTCTTGACAGCCGAAAGTCTCAAGAGTGGCTGCTCTTTGCCAGCATCACCCACTATTGAGGCGCCTCAAAAGTCTTTGCCAGCATCACCCACTTCGTGCACACTCACTTGCCCAACACGCAGCTCGCTCTGGCTGGCCGCACCCCCATGTGAGTGTCTATCCAGTGTGACAGTGCTACTAGCCTGGTGTGCTCCAGTGGGACTGTGACGTGCTGCTCTTGCCAGCATCACCCACTTCGTGCACACTCACTTGCCCAAGGCTGAGCTCGCTCTCGCTGCCCGCACCCCCACGTTAGTGATGAGCGAATGCCCAACCTTTCATGCATGTTCTCAAAGCAGGGACTTCCCTGCTTATGCCACTCGCACGTCAATGCGCTTCCGTTTCCACTCCTCCATCCCCCTCGCAGTGAGTGCGCGCGTCTCCATTTGTTCACAGTGGGACACGTCTCTCAACTCGCCCGTTTCCCTCCAACCAGCTAAACTTCCCCCCCACCTCCCCGACACTTCCTCTCCCTTTCCCTCCACCCCTTGCAGCATTCACGTGAGGGCAGTGAGTGCGCACGTCTCCCTCTGGTCGCAGCAAGCACTGGGAGATTTCCTCACCTTCTTCCGCCTCTTCTTCCAGGCATGCTCCTTCCCTTCGCCGCGGCCTCGTTTCCTTATCACTGACTTAGCATTTGCCTAGCGTTTTCTTACCGTTTGCAATCACCAAATACCTTTCTGGTCACAAGAGGTACTGGGAGATTTCCTCACCTTCTTCCGCCTCTTCTTTCAGGCATGCTCCTTACATTCTCAGCTTCACACTTAGCATTTCTTTGCATTTTCTTAGCGTTTTATCAGCAGTTCCTTGGCACATTCATGTTCTAATTTTATTCCATTCTTGGTGTATATATCTATATCTATATAGCTTGGTGTCGTGGGGATCGATCCCTTCCGTCCCAGCGCACATACAACGATATGGTGCTGCTGGGGTGGTATGCTGCTCCCCCTTCTGAAACACGTCCTTACCTTGTCCCCCCTTTCTTCCCTCACCCCTTTTTCGAATCCAAGCAGCTTGGTGTGATGGGGGGCACACCTGGCGATCGATCGCTGCCAGCTCAGCGCACATACAACGACATGGTGGTGCTGGGGTGGTATGCTATGCCGCTCCTCCTTCTGAATCACGTCCTTGCCTTGTCCCCCCTTTCTTCCCTCACCCCTTTCTAACCCGAGCAGCTTGGTGTGGTGGGGGGAACACCAGGCGATCGGTCCCTACCAGCCCAGCGCACATACAATGATATGGTGCTGCTCGGGTGGTATGCCGCTCCTGTGTGCTGGACCAACACGCCCAAAGACCGCATTCCCAAAGACGTGAGTGCGTTGGTGGGTAGCTAGCAAGCAGGCTAGCGGGGAAGGGGCGTATGTGCTTGTGGGACATACAACGACACGGTGGTGCTGGGGTGGTATGCTGCTTCTGTGTGCTGGACCAACACTCCCGAAGACCGCATTCCGAAAGACGTGAGCGGGCAACAAGCAAGCAACTAAGCGGGCCTAGGGTGCATGCCTTGTGTTAGAGGGCGCAATCAGTGTGAGTGGGGTGGGGCATACAACGAAAGGGAGCTGCGGGATTCCTGTGTGGTTGTCCAACCAACCCCTCCCAAGGGCACCGTAATAATAGTAATAATAGTAGTAATAATAATAGTAATAATAATAATAGTAATAATAATAATAGTAATAGTAATAGTAATAGTAATAGTAATAATAATAATAATAATAACAACAATTGTCAATTTCAGCAGGTCAACAGGCCAGCAGCCCTAATTATCTTCGTGTGCAAGGATGGGACCAATTCACCCCAGCAGGCTAGGGGGCCTTCAGTCCGAATCCCTCTTTCCCCTTCACCCTTTCCTCTTCAACCCCCCCCATCTCTCTCCCCGCAGTGCCTGGCCCCATCAATGCGTGTGATGTGTGCAAGGATGGGACCAATTCACCCCAGCAGGCTAGGGGGCCTTCAGTCCGAATCCCTCTTTCCCCTTCACCCTCCGTCTTCAACCTCCCCCATCTCTCTTCCCGCAGTGCCTGGCCCCATCAATGCGTGTGATGTGTGCAAGGATGGGACCAATTCACCCCAGCAGGGTAGGGGGCCTTTAGACCAAATCTCTCTTTCCCCTTTCCTCTTCAACCTCCCCCATCTCTCTCCCCGCAGTGCCTGGCCCCATCAATGCGTGTCATGAGTGCGAGGATAAGAGGCAGGTTCACCCCGGCAGTGAAGGTGGATTCACCTCAGCCCCCTCCTCCCACCACCCCTCCCCCCCACACTGACACCCTCACATGCACCCACCAGTGCCTGGCCCCATCAATGCGTGTGATGTGTGCAAGAATGGGACCAATTCACCCCAGCAGGGTAGGGTGCCTTTAGTGCAAATCTCTCTTTCCCCTTCACCCTTTCCTCTTCAACCTCCCCCATCTCTCTCCCCGCAGTGCCTGGCCCCATGGATGCGTGCCATGAGTGCGAGGATAAGAGGCAGGTTCACCCCGGCGGAGAAGGCGGAGTCGCTTTGTGCGCCCTCCCCCCCATCTTCCCTTTCTCCCAACCCCTAACCCCCCCACACACACCAGTGCCTGGCGCCATCAATGCGTGTCATGAGTGCGAGGATACGAGGCAGGTTCACCCCGGCGGTCAAGGCGGAGTCGCTTTGTGCGCCCTCCCCCCCATCTTCCCTTTCTCCCAACCCCTAACCCCCCCACACACACCAGTGCCTGGCGCCATCGATGCGGGTGATGAGTGCGAGGGTGCGGGGCAGGTTCACCCCGGCAGTCAAGGCGGAGTCGCTGTGTGCGCCCAGGCAGTGCGAGAGGAGTGGTTGGAGCGATGCTGGGTGGTGTGCCTTCGATAACAACTTCTCGCTCACTGTAAGTGTGGTGGGGGGGTGTCTGGGAGTGTGGGGAATCTCAGGCAGTGTGAGGCGAGTGCTTGGAGCGATGCTGGGTGGTGTGCCTTTGACAACAACTTCTCGCTCACTGTGAGTGTGATTTCCATTACGTTTCTCCACGACAAAAAGAAGGTTGCGCAACGACCAAGTTCTCTAATCTCCATGTGTCTGTCTATCTATTTGTCTGTCTGTCTCCTCCGAATTATCCGACCCTTATCTTGCAACCTGCCTTCCTTTTACAGAACAACCACACTACATTCCACTACAATCCATTGAAGATGAAGACCCCAACATCCATGCATTACGACCATTTCACTAATTTCATGCATTTCGTTCCCCACCTTCCCCACCGCACAGAACAACCACACGACCTTCCATTACGACCCATTGAAGATGAAGACCCCTACATCCATGCACTACAACCATTTCACCGACTGGGTCGGCAAGCCGCAGGACAAGCCCGTGCAATTCCTATGTGTGCACTTCCAAGGCCCCAGAAAGTCATTGAAATTCCTATCCCCATCTTGCTTCCTCCCCCCTCCCCTCTCCCCCCCGCACGACAGAACAACCACACTACATTCCATTATGACCCATTGAAGATGAAGACCCCTACATCCATGCACTACGACCATTTCACCGATTGGGTCGGCAAGCCGCAGGATAAGCAAGTGCAGTTCCTATGTGTGCACTTCCAAGGCCCCAGAAAGTCGTTGATAATGCAACCAGATCCTACAAGCCATTGGGGCTCAAGCCCTGATTAGCCAACGCCTTCTTTTCAACAAATGTATAACGTTCTATATGAATAATAAATAATATAAAACCGTTAAGTACCTCTCTGCACTCCGTTTTTCCGATTGTAACTCTTTCCGGTTGCTCCTCAATCGAGTCGGGTGGGCACCAAATTTCTTCCGTACAACCATCGAAACAGGCAAGGCAACCCCATCTGACCGAAACTGGTAGTGTTGTGTGTAGATACCACCCAGCGCTACGCGACGCTGACCTAAGACGGGATGGCGGAAAGGCGCAACCTTTTGCGCGCGCAGGGCTGAAGTGCGGAAGCCGTGACCGTGACGTCAACGGCGCGGAGGGCGGGCGCGTTCTAAAGGCGCGTTGAGAGGAGGACGCGTTTAGAGGGCGCCGCTGCATCATCATCGCGGAAAAGGACTTGCTGCCAGGCTTCCGAAATGTTGCAAAAAAGTCACTAAAAATATACCTGGCCCCCGAAGCTTTCAAGTCAAGGGCAAAAGCATCGGGAATCCCAATATAGATGACCAGTGCGCCAATATAGCTCATTTCCATTAACGACTTGAGGGCGTGTCAATCAGTCTAGATGGCGGCGCGGAGTGGGCCGGCGTCTGTCCTCCTCGTGCTGACCGCGTTGTGCGTGAGTAGCGGCGTGGTGTGGTGTGGTGTGGAATGGTGTGTTGCGGTATGGAGCAGTATGGCATGGTAAGGTGTGGTGCGGTACGGCATGGCTGTCGCTGACCCCATGATTCGTGAGTCTCATGGCATGGAATGGTATAGTATGGTACGGTAGGGCTGCTGCTGCTGACCGCGCTGTGTGTGAGTTGTGGGGCAAGTATTGTCCCCCCTGTCTTTCTTTCCCCCTCCACCAATCCCCCCCATGCAATCGACTTTCTGCTCATTCCCCCTACCTCTCCCCCTACCCCTCCCCCTACCTCCCGCTTACCTCCCTTCTACCTCCCCCCTGCCCCCCTCCTTGTTCCTATCCTTGCAGGGCAGTTGTACTCGCTATAGTGTTCCTCCTTTTCGCGGATGTGATCCTGATCGGCATTTTCAAGCGCTTTCCAGGCCATTCAGCCGATGGGGGCCTATCGGCCCTCCATTCCACGTCAGCAGCCAACGTGTCAGTCATATCGGATCTGCTGCAGCTGGAGGAGATGCGTCAGCAGCAGCTACGTCAGCAGCAGGAAAAGAACGAGAAGCTTCCTATGTTGACCCTCCTCCTGCTCAGCACAAAAAATCCAGCATTGCAGGCTCGTGGGAACGCTGTTGCTGCTAACCCTGCTGCTACTTCTCCTCCTGATAGCCCTGCTGCTCTCACTAACCCTGATTCTGCTAACCCTGCTTCTGCTACTCCTGCTGCTGCTGCCACTGCTTCTGCTGCTCCGGCTGATGCAGATGCTGACAGTGTTCCTATGGCGGCACAAGGGGCGGCTGATAATGCTGCTGTGGTTGCTGCTGCTAGCAGCATTGGTGCAACTACCCTCACTACCTCCACTAGCGACACTAGCGCCACTAGCAGGACAGTTCATGCCAACACCCAATCAGGCGGCGCCACCCGTGAAGGTCTGATCCCAGTGGTGCAGTTTCTGCGGGGGGAGGCAGGCTGCAACCGGGGGAGGTACATGCAGGTCTCTCTTCGCCAAGCCCTGCTGCACAACACGTGGGTCATTCTCATTGGTCCACGCGCGTGCCGGGAAGAAATGTCCGAACTCGGCATTGAGTTAGAAGCATATGAAGATTATGAAGAGTCTGCGCGGATAGAGGAGCAGTATATAAAGGGGATAGGGGCGGTCAGGGCGTATCATATCCGCTGGTTCTTTTTACACGAAATGATGGTCCGGAGGAATGTTTCCAGGGTGTTTTACACCGACTGTGACGTGCTTCTATTTGTTAACGTCACACAGTTCGTGCAGTCACACCTGCCGGAGACAAAGCTTGCGCTGGGAATGCGGTCGAACAGTGTGCGCATCAGGGCGGTCAGCGGGCACGTCTCTTTGTGGTCCGTGGAAGCACTAGCGGACTTCCTCGCCTTCTTTGTTACCTTTTTCCAGGCAAGTGCGGGTGTATTGTTGTGTCAACTGTCATTCCCTCGGGCATACAGTGTGCGCATCAGGGCAGTCAGCGGGCACGTGTCCTTGTGGTCCGTTGAGGCCCTCGCGGACTTTCTGGCCTTCTTCGTCATTTTCTTCCAGGCAAGTGACAGCTCTGGGTGTGCCGTTGCCTACCATGCGATTCAACAGTGTGCGCATCAGGGTAGTCAGCGGCCACGTCTCCTTGTGGTCCGTTGACGCCCTGCGCTGATGGGCTTGCAGCGGATCGAAACCAACAAATTTCAAGGGTATGGGTATGCGGCTGTCATTGTGGTGTTATGTTAGCTATGGGCATGCGACAGTCACCAGTGTTATGTTAGCTATGGGCATGCGACAGTCACCAGTGTTATGTTAGCTATGGGCATGCGACAGTCACCAGTGTTATGTTAGCTATGGGCATGCGACAGTCACCAGTGTTATGTTAGCTATGGGCATGCGACAGTCACCAGTGTTATGTTAGCTATGGGCATGCGACAGTCACCAGTGTTATGTTAGCTATGGGCATGCGACAGTCACCAGTGTTATGTTAGCTATGGGCATGCAACAGTCACCAGTGTTATGTCATCAGTGTCAGCAGCGCACATACAACGACATGGTGCAGCTGGGGTGGTGCCTCATTTCCCCTCCAACCCCCTCATTCCTTCACGTTCACTCCACAGGAGGCAGTAGCAGGAGGGACCCCAGGAGACCCCTCGCTGCCCTCTCAGCAGCGCACAGACAACGACATGGTGCAGCTGGGGTGGTGCCTCATTTCCCCTCCAACCCCCTCATTCCTTCACGTTCAATCCACAGGAGGCAGTAGCAGGAGGGACCCCAGGAGACCCCTCGCTGCCCTCTCAGCAGCGCACATACAACGACATGGTGCAGCTGGGGTGGTGCCTCATTTCCCCTCCAACCCCCTCATTCCTTCACGTTCAATCCACAGGAGGCAGTAGCAGGAGGGACCCCAGGAGACCCCTCCCTGCCCACTCAGCAGCGCACATACAACGACATGGTGCAGCTGGGGTGGTACGCCAGCCCTACCTGCTGGACCTCCCCCCCTGACCAAGCGCCCAAAACAGTGAGTACCCCCCTGTGTGAACACGCTGGGGTGGGGTGGATTGGGTGGTACGCCAGCCCTACCTGCTGGACCTCCCCTCCAGAGGAGCTGCCCAAAACGGAGAGATTCAGGCCTGTGGGTTAGCTGCTTCCCCTCCCCCTCTCAGGCCTCTACCCCTCGCCTCCTCGCCTCCTCTCCCCTTCTTCCCCTTTTCCACCTTCCTCGCAGTCCCTGCAGTAAATCCAGATTCCCCTTCCCACGCCTCTTCCTTTCTCCTTTCCCACCCCCCTGTCCTTCCCTCCTGCCCCAACCCCTTCCCCCTGCCAGTGCAAGGACAAGGAGAAATCAGCCCCTTACCCACGCGTGTATGGCAAGTTCCAACTGGCCTTTCAAGTGGAATTACAGCTGCTGGCCTCTAAAGCGGAGTCGCTGTGTGCAAAGCACCTGAAGTGCCCACCCTTTCCCTATTCCCACCCCTCTCCCTTCCCTCCTGCCCCTCGCCTCCCCCTGCCAGTGCAAGGACAAGGAGAAGTCAGCCCAGTACCCGCGCATTCACAGCAAGTTCCAGCCAGCCTTCAAGGCGGAGTCCCTGTGTGCGCCCCTCTTCCACTCCTCTTCTGCCTCTTCCACCCCTTTCTCCCCCACCTGCCAGTGCAAGGACAAGGAGAAGTCAGCCCAGTACCCCCGCCGGCACGGCAAGTTCCTTCCGGCCTTCAAGGCGGAGTCCCTGTGTGCAACGCAAATGACTTCAGATGCCCATCCCTTCCCATAATCACCCCCGGGCAGTGCAAGGACAAGGAGAAATCAGTGCAGTACTCGCGCCTGTACAGCAAGTTCCAACCAGCCTTCAAGGCGGAGTCGCTGTGTGCAACGCACTCCTGATGCCCATCCCTCCCCCTACCCCCCACCTTCCTCCCTTCGTTCCTGCCCCCAACGTCTACCTAACCCCCTGGCAGTGCAAGGACAAGGAGAAGTCAGCCCAGTACCCGCGCCTGCACGGCAAGTTCCAGCCGGCCTTCAAGGCGGAGTCGCTGTGTGCGCCCCGGCAGTGCGAGGCGAGTGCTTGGAGCGATGCCGGGTGGTGTGCCTTCGATAACAACTTCTCAGTTGTGAGTGCGCTGCAAAGTTGTACAACAGATTGCGAGGTGACTTTTGAGTCGACTCAAAAGTCACCTCGTTGTGAGTTTGCTGCAAAGTTGTACAACAGATTGCGGCGTTGTCTGACATTGTCTGGCATTGTATGGCATTGTCTGCATTGTAATGTATGGCATTGTAATTTAAGATCCTGGCATTATGAAGTACAATGCCTGATTGCCGTCCCTTCTGTCCAATCTTTCGTTGTGTTCTGATCCCAGGGCAAGAAGAGAAAGTTTCACTTCTGCCCGAGAGAAGGCATGAAGACACCAACCTCAGTGCGTTTCGAATATTTCAAGCCGTTTGTGAGCAGGGGGCAAAACAAAGGGGAGGCTGTGCAATTACTGGCGGTACACTTTCAGGGCAGGAAGAAAACACAACTGAAGGACGAGGATCCATGTGCTACATGGGGATCTAGCAAGGATTGATACGATCATGTTAATGTTTCTGTGTAATGGATTGAAGGGAAGCACGCCCATAAATCAAATCCCCAATTTAAACAAAGAAGGCACTATGTGCTAATATTAGTACACTTCTCTTCTCGATTGTCCCGCTATCCGGCTGCCCCGCAATCGAGTATGGCTAATGCTCCAATTTACGTCCGTACAACCGTGAAGGCGCGAAAGCTCGTCCGCACAACCGTGAAGCCGCGAAAGCTCGTCTGTACAACCGTCCAAATTGCAACCCCACCCCATCCGATCTGTGACTGAACTGATGAAACTGGTAGAACTGTTGTACACCCTATTCTCGATAGTTGCACACCCCCTACCCCTTATTTCGAAGGTACCCTGTACGTTTTCTGTCTCGATGTGACGGACACCCAAAGATTGACGAGGGTAGTTATCGAGTCTCGCACTTAATTATCCGAGTGAGTAGTAGGGGTGGATGGCTGCCCTTGGAACTCCAGTTTCTTTTCTTCCATTCGCGAGAAGGTTGCGAGATCCCCTCCTCCGATGGTCTACAATCGTTGCTTGCTACCCTACTTAAACGTTTAACCGAGAGTATTTACCCCAGGGTGTGCGCTTAAGGGGTGTGAAATTATCGAGAATAGGGTGTAGATACCACCCCAGCGCAACGCTGACCTAGACGGAATTTCCGCTAGTCCCCTCCCCGCAACTGCGCGATTTCCGCTAGTCCCCTCCCCTCCCCGCTACTGCGCGATTTCCGCTAGTCCCCTCCCCTCCCCGCTAGATACCACCCAGCACTGCGCAACGCTGACCTAGACGGGATTCTCGCCAGCCGCTCCCCTTCCACGTCGCGCTTTCGCCGCACCGCGATCGCCCCGTCTCGCAGCGGCTGCTCGCCGAAGCGCAAGCGATGCGGAACGACGCACCCTTTCTCGCAAATCTCTGTCCTTTGAATACCGTGAATACTGTCAGGTCCAAAAAGTCAATTGACGTTTCTGGTGGAACCACCCAGGAACGGCGCACCCTTCCGATCGCCCCGTCTGGTAAATCTCTGTCCGTCAAATACCGTGAATACCGTCAGGTCCAAAAAGTAAATTGACGTTTCTGGTGGAACCACCCAGGAAAGGCGCACCCTTCCGCGCCCGCAGGGCTGAAGTGCGGAGAGCGGAGGGCGGAGAGCCGGGAGCTGAGGTTGGGGGGCGAAGAGTTATTATGGCGGAAAGGCGCACCCTTCCGCGCGCGCAGGGCTGAAGCGCGGAAGCCGCCGCGACCGTGACGTCAACCGCGCGGAGGGCGGGCGCGTTGGGAGGACGCGTTTAGAAGGCGCGTTTGGGAGAACGCGGTTAGAGGGAGCCTGCGCGTTTATCGCCGGGCGCGGTTACTTCAAAAAGCAAAGAGCATCTCTGATAGAGACAATATACTTCTTCTTGATTAAAGTCTTGAAGGTGTATCAAGCTGTCTGGATGGCGGCGCGGAGCGGGCCCGCATCCTTCCTCCTCGTGCTGCCTGCGTTGTGCGTGAGTAGCGGGGCGCGTAATGGCATGATATGCTGCGGTGGGGTGCGGTGTGGTGTGGAATGGCGCGGTGTGGAATGGCGCGGTGTGGTGTGGTACCGAGTTGAAGGTGCGCCCAATAGAGTGGATGGCGGCGCAGAGTGGCAGTGGGCCCGCATCCGTCCTCCTCGTGCTGCCCGCGTTGTGCGTGAGTAGCGGAGTGCGGCATGGTGTGGTGCGGTGCGGTGTGGTTTGGTACGGTATGGCTGCTGCTGAGCACGTTGTGCATGAGTTATGGGATGGCATGGGACGGCATGGCATATGAGATGGCATGGCATGGGATGGCATGGGATGGTCGATCTTGTCCCCCCTACCCTTCTTCCCACCTCCATTAATCTCCCCACCCAATCATCTTTTCCCCTCATTCCCCCTACCTGCCCCTTACCACCCTCCCCCCTTCACTACCTCCTCACTACCTCCCCGTTACCTCCCCCAACCTCCCCCCCCTGTCCTCGTCCCTACAGGGCAGTCGTACTCGTTATAGCGTTCCTCCTTTTTGCGGATGTGTTTTTAACCGGCCTCTTGACGCGTTTTCCAGGCCACTCAGCCGATGGAGACCCGTCTGCCTTCCATTCGACGTCAGCAGCAGCCACGTCAGCAGCAGCCACGTCAGCAGGCAACGTGTCGGTCATCTCGGATATGCTGCAGCAGGAGGAGATGCGTCAGCAGCAGCCACGTCAGCAGCAGCTGCGTCAGCAGCAGGAATGGAACAAGAACCTTCCTCTGCTGACCCTCCCGCTCAGCACCAGCGTTCCAGCAATGCATGTTCCCGAGGTCGCTACTCCCACTAATCCTGTTGCTACTGCTCCTCCTCATAACCCTCTTCCTCCCGCTAACCCTGCTAACCTTGCTGCTGCTACTCCTGCTGCTGACGCTGACAGTGTTCCTATGGCAGCACAAGGGGCGGCACAAGGGACAGGGGCGGCACCAGGAGCGGCAGCAGCAGCAGCAGCAGCAGCAGCAGCCGAGAGCAGCGATGCCACCACCAGTAGCGGTACTGACAGCAGCATTGCCCCTGATAGTGCCGATAGCGCCACAGCAGCTCATCCCACCACCCAATCAGGCAACACCCATCCAGACATCATCCCAGTGGTGCAATTCGAGACGTCTCAAAAAACAGGCAACACCCACCCAGGTCTGATCCCAGTGGTGCAGTTCCTGCGGGGGGAGGCAGGGTGTTTCCGGGGGAGGTACATGCAGGTCTCTCTTCGCCAAGCCCTGCTGCACAACACGTGGGTCATTCTCATTGGCCCTCGCGCGTGCCGGGAAGAAATGACCGAACTCGGCATTGAGTTAGAAGCATACGAGGACTACGAGGAGTCCGCGCATATAGAGGAGCAGCTTGTAATGGGGATAGGGGCGGTCAGGGCGTATCATATCAGCTGGTTCTTTTTACACGAAATGATGGTCAGAAGAAACATTTCCCGGGTGTTTTACACCGGCTGTGACGTGCTGCTGTTCGTTAATGTCACGGAATACGTACAGTCACACCTGCCGGAGACAAAGCTAGCTCTCTGCGTGCGGTCCAAAAGTGTGCGCATGAATGCAGTGAGCGGGCACGTGTCTCTCTGGTCAACGGAAGCTCTGGCGGATTTCCTCGCATTCTTCATACTCTTCTTCCAGGCGAGTGCCAGCTCACTGCATCCTTGCGCACCTACCATTGCCACTGCCTACCATGCGGTCAAACAGTGTGCGCATGAATGCAACCAGCGGGCACGTGTCTCTCTGGTCAACGGAAGCTCTGGCGGATTTCCTCGCATTCTTTGTGCTCTTTTTCCAGGTGAGTGACACGTCCGGGTCTATTACTGGTTCCATCAGCGGTGGGTGGTACTGCTCGGAAGGTGCTCATCTCTTGAGTCGACTTTTGAGAATTCTCAAAATCAGCTCGGAAGGTGCTCACCTCGTTCCCTCTATTACTGGTTCCATCTGGGGTGGTATTGCTCCGACAGTGCTCATCTCTTGAGTCGACTCAAGAGTCATCTCGTGCTCATCTCATTCCCTCCTCGCATTGCGCGCCCCTCGTTCTCTCTTTACAGGTCGCGGTGAAGGGAGGAACCCCGGGGGACCCTCCCTGCCAGATCGACAGCGCACATACAACGACATGATTCAGCTGGGGTGGTATGCCATCCCTACCTGCTGGACCTCCCCTCCTGACCAAGCGCCCGCAACGGTGAGCTCTAGGATGTGGAGGGGTGGGGTGCGGTGGGGTGCTATGGGGTGCGGTGCAGCTGGGGTGGTACGCCAGTCCTACCTGCTGGACTTCCCCTCCAGACCAAGCGCCCGCAACGGTGAGCTTCTGTTAGGTGTAGGGATGTGCTCCCACCAGTCCGTTTCTCTTCCTCTCTGCCCCTCCCTCCCTTCCGCTCCCAGCCCCTCAAAACCGTGAGGTAGGTACATGGATGTGTGCTGCTTCCGTGTTTTGAGTCGACTCAAAACAAAACCGTGAGGCACATGCATGGAAATGCTGCTTCTGTGTTGAGCAGCTCGAATCCAGATTCCCCTTCACTCACGTTTCCTCATCACTTCTCCCCCCTTGCTCCCTTCCAACCTTTTCCCTGTCCATTGCCTTTCTTCCTTTCCCTCATCCCCCCAACCTCTCCCCCCCCCCTTAAACCCCTTCCCCGGGCAGTGCAAGGACAAGGAGAAATCCGCCCCGTACCCACGCCTGTATGGCAAGTCCCGGTGTGTTTTGAGTCGACTCTAAAACTTCTCCTCTTCGAATGCCTCGTCTCCCCTCCCCACCCTTCTCAACCCCTCTCAACCCCTCACTCTGGCAGTGCAAGGACAAGGAGAATTCCACCCAGGACCCGCGCCTGTACGGCAAGTTCCGGTGTGTTTTGAGTCGACTCTAAATCTTCTCCTCTTCGAATGCCTCGTCTCCCCTCCCCACCCCTCTCAACCCCTCTGCCGGGCAGTGCAAGGACAAGGAGAAGTCAGCCCAGTATCCACTACTCCCCACCCTTGTCCTTCCCTCCTGCCCCCAACGTCTATCTACCCCCATGGCAGTGCAAGGACAAGGAGAAGTCAGGCCAGTACCCGCGCATGCACGGCAAGTTCAAGCCGGCCTTCAAGGCGGAGTCGCTGTGTGCGCCCAGGCAGTGCGAGGCGAGTGCTTGGAGCGATGCCGGGTGGTGTGCCTTCGACAACAACTTCTCAGTTGTGAGTACGATGCAGTGTCGTACGGCATTGTAAGGCATTCTTAGGCAATATACGGCATTGTTGTACAGCTTTGTCTGGCATTGTTCGACAGTCTGTATTGAAGTATCCGTTTGAAGCATTTTGCATCTACCGTATCAATTGCTGCCTGCCCATCCCTTATGCCTATCTTTTATTATGTTCTGATCCCAGGGCAAGAAGAAAAAGTTTCACTTCTGCCCGAAAGAAGGCATGAAGACGCCCACCTCAGTGCGCTACGAGTATTTTAAGCCGTTTGTGGGCAGGGGGCAGAACAAGGGGGAGGCTGTGCAATTACTGGCGGTACACTTTCAGGGCAGGAAGAAAACACAACTGAAGGACGAGGATCCATGTGTTACATGGGGATCTAGCAAGGATTGATACGATAATGTTGTGCTAGTGTAATTAAATGATAAATAATACACTTTTCTCCCTTCGTAATTGTCAGCCTTTCCGGTTCCCCCTCAATCGAGTATGGCGAAAGCACCAAATTTTGTCCGTACAACCGTGAAGGCGCGAAAGCTCGTCCGTACAACCGTGAAGGCGCTAAGCTCGTCCGTACAACCGTGAAGGCGCGAAAGCTCGTCCGTACAACCGTGAAGGCGCGAAAGCTCGTCCATACAGCCGTCAAAAACATCCAAGCAACCCCATCTGATCTGTGACAGAACTGAAACTGGTACTGTTGTAGATACCACCCAGTGCAGCGCGATGCTGACCTAACCTAGACGGGATTATCGCCAGCCACTCCCCTTCCACGTCGCGCTTTCGCCGTACCGCGGTCGCCCCGTCGGGCAGCGGCTGCTCGTCGAAGCGCAGGCGATGGCGGAAAGGCGCACCCTTCCGCGCGCTCAGGGCTGAAGTGCGGAAGCCGCCGCGACCGTGACGTCAACCGCGCGGAGGGCGGGCGCGCTGGGAGGACGCGTTTAAAAGGCGCCTGCGCGGTTAGAAGGTCCCTGTGCGTTGGCGCGTTTAGTAAAAAAAAAAAAAGCATCTCCGATAAATACATTATACCTCTTCTCGATTAAATAATCGAAGCTGCATCAATCTTCCTGGATGGCGGCGCGGAGTGGGCCCGCATCCTTCCTCCTCGTTCGGACCGCATTGTGCGTGAGTAGCGGGGCGCGTAATGGCATGATATGGTGCGGTGCGGTGTGTTGTGGTGCGGCGTGGTGTGGAATGACGCGGTGTGGTGTGGTGCATTGCAGTGCAATGCGGTGTGGTACGGACTTGAAGGTGCGCCCAATAGAGTGGATGGCGACGTGGAGTGGCAGTGGACCCGCATCCGTCTCGTGCTGGCCGCGTTGTGCGTGAGTATCAGGCGTGGTGTGGTGAGGTGAGGTGCGGTGTGGTGAGGTGAGGTGTGGTGCGGTATGGTTTGGTACGGTATGGCTGCTGCTGAGCTCGTTGTGCATGAGTAATGGAACGGGGCATGGCATGGGACGGCATGGCATGGCATGGGATGGCATGGCATGGCATGGGATGGCATGGCATGGCATGGGATGGCATGGCATGGCATGGCATGGCATGGGATGGCATGGCATGGCATGGCATGGCATGGCATGGCATGGCATGGGATGGCATGGCATGGCATGGCATGGGATGGCCGATCTTGACCCCCCTCCCCTTCTTCCCACCTCCACCAATCTCCCCCACCCAATCATCTTTTCGCTCATTCCCCCTACCTGCCCCTTACCACCCTCCCCCCCTCACTACCTCCCCACTACCTCCCCCTTACCTCCCCCCTACCTCTCCCAACCCCTGTCCTCATCCCTACAGGGCAGTTGTACTCGCTATAGTGTTCCTCCTTTTCGCGGACGTGACTTTGATCGGCCTCTTGAAGCGTCCAGGCCACTCAGCCTATGGAGACCCGTCTGCCTTCCATTCCACGTCAGCAGCCAACGTGTCGGTCATATCGGATGTTCTGCAGCAGGAGGAGATGCGGCAGCAGCACCTGCGTCAGCAGCAGGAAAGGAACGAGAAGCTTCCTCTCCTGCCCCTCCTCCCGCTCAGCACCAGCATTCCAGCAATGCAGGCTCCTGGGCTCGCTACTCCCACTAATCCTCACGCTTCTGCTCCTCCTGTGTTTGAGTCGACTCAAAAAAATCCAGCAATTCATGTTCCCGGAACCGCTACTCCCACTAATCCTCATGCTTCTGCTTCTCCTCATAACCCTCTTGCTCCCGCTAACCCTGCTAACGCTGCTGCTGCTACTCCTGCTGCTGACGCTGGCAGTGTTCCTATGGCAGCACAAGGGGCGGCATCAGGGGCGGCACAAGGGACAGGGGCGGCTGCACCAGGAGCTGAGAGCAGCGATGCCACCACCAGTAGCGGTACTGACAGCAGCATTGCCACTATCACCACAGCAACTCGTGCCCCCACCCAATCAGGCAAAACCCACCCGGGCATCATCCCAGTGGTGCAGTTCCTACGTGGGGAGGCAGGCTGCAACCGGGGGAGGTACATGCAGGTCTCTCTTCGCCAAGCCCTGCTGCACAACACGTGGGTCATTCTCATTGGCCCTCGCGCGTGCCGGGAAGAAATGTCCGAACTAGGCATCGAGCTAGAAGCATATGAAGATTATGAAGAGGCTGCGCATATAGAGGAGCAGCTTGTAGAGGGGATAGGGAAGGTGAAGGCGTATCATATCCGCTGGTTCTTCCTACACGAGATGATGGTCCGAAGGAACATTCCCCGGGTGTTTTACACCGACTGTGACGTGCTTCTATTCGTTAATGTCACGCAGTTCGTACAGTCACACCTGCCGGAATCAAAGCTTGCTCTCTGCGTGCGGTCCAAAAGTGTGCGCATCAATGCAACCAGCGGCCACGTGTCTCTCTGGTCAACGGAAGCTCTGGCGGATTTCCTCGCCTTCTTCGTGCTCTTCTTCCAGGTGAGTGTTGCTCCAGCCGTGGGTATATGCGGGGGTCTGTCTGGGAGACAAGGCTTGCACTGGGCATGCGGTCCAACAGTGTGCGCGTCAGGGCAGTGAGCGGGCACGTGTCCCTCTGGTCAACGGAAGCTCTGGCGGATTTCCTCGCCTTCTTCGTGCTCTTCTTCCAGGTGAGTGTTGCTCCAGCCGTGGGTATATGCGGGGGTCTGTCTGGGAGACAAGGCTTGCACTGGGCATGCGGTCCAACAGTGTGCGCGTCAGGGCAGTGAGCGGGCACGTGTCCCTCTGGTCAACGGAAGCTCTGCCGGACTTTCTGGCCTTCTTCGTGCTCTTCTTCCAGGCGAGTGTCAGCTCACTGCATCCTTGCGCACCTACCATTGCCACTGCCTACCATGCGGTCAAACAGTGTGCGCGTCAGGGCAGTGAGCGGGCACGTGTCCCTCTGGTCAACGGAATCTCTGGCGGATTTCCTCGCATTCTTCGTGCTCTTCTTCCAGGTGAGCGCCGGTCCTGTTTGGGAGTACATTAATATCAGCTGTCCTTGCGCTGGGCTTGCGGTTGCTCCAAAAGTGTGCGAGTGATCGTAACTCATGGTTTCTCTAGCACTGCAGTTGGAATGGGTGCTTCATCTCACCTCTCACTCATTCCCTCCTGCTCATTCCCTCCCTCTCCTGCTCTCATTCTCCTGCTTTACAGGTGGCGGTGAAAGGAGGAACCCCGGGGGACCCCTCGCTCCCATCTCAGCAGCGCACATACAACGACATGATTCAGCTGGGGTGGGTGCTTTTTCTCCCCTCTCACTCATTTCCTCCTGCTCCTCCCTCTCCTGCTATCATTCCCCCTCCTTACAGATGGCGGTGAAGGGAGGAACCCCAGGAGACCCCTCGCTGCCCGCTCAGCATACATACAACGACATGATGCAGCTGGGAGTTGCTTCATCTCATTCCCTTGTCTCATCACATTGCGCCCCCCTCTTTCCCTCTCTACAGGTGGCGGTGAAGGGAGGAACCCCAGGCGACCCCTCGCTGCCCGCTCAGCATACATACAACGACATGGTGCAGCTGGGAGTTGTTTCATTTCATTCCCTTGTCTCATCACATTGCGCCCCCCTCTTTCCCTCTCTACAGGTGGCGGTGAAGGGAGGAACCCCGGGCGACCCCTCCCTGCCGGCTCAGCAGCGCACATACAACGACATGGAGTTGTTTCATCTCATTCTCTTGTCTCATTGCAACCCCTTTCTTTCTCTCGTTACAGGTGGCGGTAAAGGGAGGGACCCAAGGAGACCCCTCCCTGCCAGATCGGCAGCGCACATACAACGACATGATTCAGCTGGGGTGGGTGCTTCATCTCCCCTCTCACTCATTCCCTCCTACTTTACAGGCGGCGGTGAAGGGAGGAACCCCGGGGGACCCCTCCCTGCCAGATCGGCAGCGCACATACAACGACATGATTCAGCTGGGGTGGTACGCCATCCCTACCTGCTGGACTTCCCCTCCAGACCAAGCGCCCAAAGCGGTGAGCTCTAGGATGTGGAGGGGTGGGGTGCGGTGGGGTGCTATGGGTTGCCATGCAGCTGGGGTGGTATGCCAGCCCTACCTGCTGGACTTCCCCTCCAGACCAAGCGCCCGCAACGGTAAGGTCTAGGCTGTGGAGGGGTGGGGTGCGGTGGAGGGGTGGGGTGCGGTGGGGTGCTACGGGGTGCGATTCAGCTGGGGTGGTATGCCAGCCCTACCTGCTGGACTTCCCCTCCAGACCAAGCACCCGCAACGGTAAGAGCCAAACGTGTCGGGTAGCCGAGGGACACGCTTGGCTCCCGACGAGCCGAGGGACACGCTTGGCTCCCGACGAGCCGAGGGACACGCTTGGCTCCCGACGAGCCGAGGGACACGCCACCCCGCTCCTGCTACCGCCATGCTGCTGCTGGGATGGGGTGGGGTGCGGTGCACTGGGGTGCGGTGCGGTGGTGCAGCTGGGGTGGTGCGGTGGTGCAGCTGGGGTGGTGCGGTGGTACAGCTGAGAATTTTCAGAAAAACTTTCCCCCCCTGCTCCCTTCCAACCTTTGTCAGAACATTATAGCTTATGCTGTTGTGTAGGCTATAGTGGGGTATCACATAGGGGGTACAACCAATTAGGGTTTCATATTTGTATTCACTTCATTTTCATAGTTCACTCATTCTCGTTCTCATTCTCACATGGAATCAGAGCAGGTCCCCTCCTAGGGACTGTTCCTTGGGCCCACCGAAGCGCGCCTCGAGTCGCGCCTGCCTTTTTTTTTTTTTAGCGACCCGTCGAGTCGCACCTAGCGGCCCGTCGCGCCGCCCTTACGGTCGCGTCGAGCCGCCCTAGCGGCTGCGGCGCGCCGCCCTTTTCCCGGCCCGTCGCCGCCCTTACCCGCGGCTTTGCGCCGCCCTCACCGGCGGCTTCGCGCCGCCCCTACCTGCGGCTTCGCGCCGCCCAGGCCCGTCGCCGCCCTTCCCGCGGCTTCGTGCCGCCTCTACCTGCGGCTTCGAGCCGCCCCGGCCCGTCGCCGCCCTTACCTGCGGCTTCGCGCCGCCTACGGCCCGTCGCCGCCCTTTTCTGCGGCCCCGCCGCCTCTCTCGTTGCGGCCCCGCCGCCCGTCTTCGCGGCCCCGCCGCCATCTCTCGCTGCGGCCCCGCCGCCACTCACTGCGGCCCCGCCACCCGTCTCAGCGGCCCCGCCGCCCGTCTTCACGGTCCCGCCGCCTCTCTCGCTGCGGCCCCGCCGCCTCTCACTGCGGCCCCGCCGCCCTACTCAGCGGCCCCGCCGCCCGACTTCGCGGCCCCGCCGCTTCTCTCGCTGCGGCCCCGCCGCCTCTCTCGTTGCGGCCCCGCCGCCCTTCACTGCGGCCCCGCCGCTTCTCTGCAGCGGCCCCGCCGCCCGTCTTCGCGGCCCCGCCGCCTCACTACCCAGCGGCCCCGCCGTCCTTCTGCAGCGGCCCCGCCACTCCTCTACAGCGGCCCCGCCGCCCTACGTCAGCGGCCCAGCCGAGCCGCCCAACAGCAGCGCAGCCGAGCCGCCCAGCAGCAGAGCAGCCGAGCCGCCCCGCCGCCGAGCCGCGCTGCAGCCGAGCCGCCCGGCCGCCCACCAGCCGAGCCGCCGTGCAGCCGACCGCCCAGCCGCCGAGCCGCCGAGCCGCCGAGCCGCCCAGCGGCCGAGCCGCCCTGCAGCCGAGCCGCCCGAGCAGCCCTGTCCGGTGAGCACAGACCCTCTGTCACTGCGTGCTCTTCCCCTACTCCTTGCACTGCTGGTCTACTGCTGTCATGGCTACCCCTAGTGTCCTCACTTTTGACGCTGAGGGTCGGGCCATTGACTTTGAGGTCTGGATAGATGACCTACAGCTGTTCTTACAGTGCGATAGGGCGGACGGCCTCTCTCTCTTTGACCTCACCTCTGGCGCTTCCCCTGCCCCTGCTGCTGATGCTGACGCCACTGTTCGCTCCCAATGGGCCACGCGCGATGCTGCTGCACGTCTTGCTGTGCGTCGCCACCTCCCTACCTCCGAGCGTGCGCACTTTAGTCAGTACAAGAGTGCTCAGACCTTGTACGCCGCTGTAGTCGCGCGCTACTCCTCCCCTTCCACTGCTGCACTGAGCCGTCTCATGCTGCCGTACCTCTTCCCTGACCTTGCTTCTTTTCCCACCGTTGCTGACCTCATTACGCACCTCCGCACTAGTGACACTCGCTACCGCGCTGCACTTCCTGCTGACTTCTGCACCGCGAACCCCCCCCCCATGTACATCACTCTGTACTTCCTAGTCACTCGCCTCCCTGACTCCCTTCGAGTAGTCAGGGACCACTTTCTCTCAGTCTGTCCCACCACACTCACTGTAGACCTCCTCGAGAAGGCCCTCCTCGCGATAGAAAAGAGCATAGTCGCTGTAGGAGCCTCTCGAGGTGACCCGCGCACCCCCATCTTTGAGGGGTGTTCTCCCTCCCCCCTGCTGCCCTCTGTTGCCTCTGCTGCTTCGGCCGACCTCCTTGGTCTTGAGTCGGTCGGTGCGGCGTCTGCCCCTAGCGGGAGACGCCGCCCTGGCAAGGGCAAGGGGGGCAAGGGAGCTGGAGGAGCGGGCGGTGGAGGTGGAGGTGGAGGCAGTGGGGGGAGTGGGGGTAGCGGTGGAGGTGGAGGTGGGGGTGGGGGGTTCGGTGGCGGCAGTGGAGGCGGAGGCCGCGGCGGCGGTGGCGGTGGTAGCGGAGGTGGCAGAGGAGGCGGCGGTGGAGGAGGCGGTGGAGGCGGCGGCGGCAGTGGAGGCAGCGGAGGCGGTGGAGGCGGTGGGGGTGGCGGTGGAGCTGGTCGCGGGTCTTTGCAGAGGAGTGGCTCCGGTGGTGGCTCGCGCCAGCAGCAGCAGCGTGGTCGTGCGACCCTGTCCCCTCAGCAGCTCCGTGAGTGGTACACTGCACGCCAGCGGGGTGGGGGTTTTGGTCCGTGTACCTACGTCCTGCGCACCGGCGACCGTGCGGGTGAGCAGTGTGGGGGTGCGCACCCCACTCCGCGCTGCTTTGGCCGCCTGACGGACGCATGGCGTCACCAGTTCCCGGAGGCCTCCGAGATCCCTCGCTGGGACGAGCTGTCTAGGGCGGGGGTTGCCATCTTTGATCTGGACTTTGATGCTATTCTCTCTGCCATGTATGCTGTGTCTATTAGTGATGAGGGTGACTGTTACCGGTGTTTCCAGCCCGATCCGGGCATTGAGACTGCTGCTCTAGGTACTGGTGAGGCTGCTGCCCTAGGTGCTTACGACGCTGCTGCTCTAGGTGCTGGTGTGTCTGCGTCCTCAGGTATTGGTGAGTCTGCTCTCTCAGGTACCGCGTCGGCTTCGGCCTCCCTCACCTTCACTCTTGACTCTGGGGCGTCTCGCTCCTTTTTTCGGGACCGCACCACACTCACGCCGCTTAGTCGGCCGGTTGCGGTGTCTCTGGCTGACCCCTCTGGGGGTCCGGTCCTGTCTCGTTTCTCCACAGTCCTCCCGTGTCCGGCGGCTCCCTCTGGCACCCTGTCTGGTCTCTACCTCCCCTCGTTCTCGACGAACCTGGTGAGTGGTGCTGACCTACAGGATGCGGGTGTCCACCAGTTCACTCCTGCACGTCAGCGAGTGACCCACTGTACAGAGGCTGGCACAGGCCGACACCTGGCTACGTTCACCCGTCAGCCGGGGTCGAGCCTGTACACTCTGACCACTGCGTCTCCTCCAGTTGCTGTGTCTGGTAGGGTAGTTACGTCGGGTCAGGTGTTTGCTGCGGCGTCCAGGTCTGGTCCTGAGTCTGCCCCCTGTTCGTGTCGTCTCCTGTCTCACGAGACTCTCCTCTGGCACCACCGCCTTGGCCACCCCTCTCTGCTTCGGCTCAGAGGTATGGCCTCCCGTCTTCTTGTGTCCGGTCTCCCCCGGTCCCTCCCTCCCCTTCCTCAGGGCCCTGGCCCTGCCTGTGTCCCCTGTGTCGAGGGGCGCCAGCGTGCTGCCCCTCACTCCTCCCAGTTTCCTTCGACAGAGGCCCCGTTGCAGACACTTCACATGGACGTGTGGGGCCCAGCCCGCGTCCGTGGACAGGGTCACGAGCGCTACTTCCTGCTCGTTGTTGACGACTACTCGCGTTACACCACAGTCTTCCCCTTGCGCAGCAAGGGTGATGTCACTGAGGTGCTGATCGACTGGATCCGCGCAGCTCGTCTCCAGCTCAGGCAGAGCTTCGGCTCGGACTTTCCTGTTCTGCGTCTGCACTCGGACAGAGGCGGAGAGTTCTCCTCTGGCCTTCTGCGTGCCTACTGTCGTGCACGGGGCATCCGTCAGACCTTCACGCTTCCGGACTCACCGCAGCGAAATGGGATTGCTGAGCGCCGCATTGGCATGGTCATGGACGTCGCTCGTACGTCTATGATGCATGCGGCTGCCCCCCATTTTCTGTGGCCGTTTGCGGTGAGGTACGCGGCGCATCAGATCAACCTCCACCCCAGGGTCTCCAGGCCGGAGACCTCCCCAGCCTTGCTGTGGACGGGGAAGGTTGGCGATGCGTCGGCGTTCCGGGTCTGGGGATCTCGGGCGTTTGTCCGCGACCTGTCTGCGGACAAACTATCCCCTCGTGCTGCTCCTTGCGTCTTCCTGGGGTTCCCCCTTGACGCGCCTGGGTGGCAGTTTTACCACCCCACCTCTCGCCGTGTTCTGTCCTCCCAGGACGTCACGTTTGACGAGTCGGTCCCCTACTACCGCCTCTTCCCCTACCGCACTCCGTCCCTCCCCCCACCCCCACTCTTCCTGGTACCAGGTCCCCCCCAGGTAGACCCCCTCCCCCCTCAGGGTCCTGCCCCTTCAGGTGTGTCCCAGGTAGACGCAGTCGAGCCTGTCGAGGTCACTGGTGACTCTGGTGCTGCTGAGGGTGCTGAGGCTGGGGGTGCTGTACCTGGGGGTGCGGAGCCTAGGGGTGCTGGGCCTGGGGGTGCTACGTCTGGGGGTGCTGAGCCTAGGGGTGCTGAGCCTAGGGGTACTGAGCCTGGGGGTGCTGAGCCTAGGGGTGCTGAGCCTGGGGGTGCAGAGCCTGGGGGTGCTGAGCCTGGGGGTGCTGAGCCTAGGGGTGCTGAGCCTGGGGGTGCTGAGCCTAGGGGTGCTACGTCTGGGGGTGCTGAGCC